AATTTAAAACCAAGCTAACGTAAACATTGAATATTTTTTTTACTTTCAAGGGAAAAATACCATCACTTATAACAAAACTTTTCCTGCCATTAACTTTGACTCATGATTACCCATAACAGTTATACATTTATAGATTAAAGCTTATTTAACATTTAATGTTAACTAAACAAGATTTATATTTCATTAAAATTATTAATAAAACACCCTCAACTATGCTGTTTAAGATCTAATACCCCACATTACAATTTTTACAATTTCAACATACCATTCTATTCAATACATTCCTGAAAGGACTAAACTTGCAGATATGGTACCTAATAGCCTAAGCCTAGACTTCCATACCCTAATATTTAATAGGTTTTTAGCAATTAACTTCTACCCTCTAATTCCAATGTACACAACACTACTTACTGTAGATCTGCAAGTATTTTGTTGCCAGGACCTTCCACAACCTGTCATGTGAACAGTAAATATTACTAAAAAGTTATTTGCATAGCGATGTTATTTTGTTCATACCTGTACCACCAGTTTAACAGTTGCCATTTTAAATGGCACACCAAGTATCTTGTTGTCCCATCTTTATTAATTACAAACAAAGCTATAGTCATTTCAAGTCAACATCCTATACAAATTTTATTTTCCAACAACTTTAGTCATGAACATTTTTCTGGAACATTGCAAACAAACTTTAATTTAACAACCATGTATAAAATTTGAATAAAAGCAATACAAAATATATGTACAAATTATTATTCTTTTGCAACCACTGCTTACTACTAGGGGGACAAATTTATTCTGTTGAATTATGTACCAAGCTTTTTAGTCTGAAAATTCATAATTAACCCAACTATACTACCAAGACAATGTGATTTTACTAAATTTAGTAATATTTTTACACTAGCAACTATACAAGGCCATATTCTCTAGTTATCACCACACTTCTGCAGGTGTAAGGTTCTATCTCCCCCATCTGCAGCACTTATGACCACACTTGGTCTTTATTATAAATTTCTTTATGAACCTGATACAGTACTGTTAATGGATTAAATGTTTTGTGGGAACAATTTAGCTACAGTTCTGCCAAAGGAATGATTAACACACCATGCAAGCCAACTAATATTAAAGTTAGAAATATTTATTAAAAGCAGAAGTTTTTATATCATATGGGATGTTATTTTAGAAGAATGGGTGGTGTGGTGGTTATGTTATGGTTGAGTAACATGGTACAAGAGGGCAAGTAGTTGCTGAGCAAGTATGCCAATTTCAATTTCTAGCAAACTGGCAGATACAGCAGAAGTGCACACTTTCTGCATGGATTCTAATGGCTAGAGAGTTACTGGTCACCATTCACTAATGACTAGGGGAAGTTAGCTCAGAGCATCTTTGATGTGCTTTGATGGCAACGAAAATGTTGCCCCCTTCAAAAGTTAAGCTTGTCTACAGCATTTCGTTTTTAATTAACTATGTAAGGGGGAGATTCTGAATAGCAAGTGCCAATAGGCACTGCCACTGGCTTATGGCAAAAGATTCTGTAGCAATAGAACTATAAGCCACACTTTCTCCCCCCCCCCTTCCTCCCAACTGTTCAGTGTCAAAAGGGAGGGGGGTGTCCATTTACTGTACCACTTACATTTTAGTGTGGGCTTCATCCACTATTCTGATGTTAGCTGGAACATTTGTGCCAGCTGCTGGTTTGAAAGGGAGGCATACCATGTGCCAATTCAGGAAGCTTTCCACGTTCCTCACTGCATGTCAGCTCAGGACCTCACTACCATGTTGGGAGGCAGTTGAAGACTAACCAATCAACATCCCAGGCTGGAGAGCAGTGCCAGCTCGGGGAGAATTTACCACCTGCAAAAAATTTAATACTCTTAACAATCTACAACATCTATCTCATCTTTACCTAGCCCCCAAACCTTACATTTGTCAGCATTAAACTGCATCTGGTAGTCTTAACCATTTCAAAACTATATAGGGCATCGGTATCTTATTTGCCAATTCTGCAACTATTGCAGTCTAAACCATAATCTTGCGAATAACCGAGGTCCAAGGAGAGCTTTTAGGCACTACTTACAACACTTCTCCCAACTTAACCCCATTTATACTAATTTCCTTTGGTATAGCCATGACCTAATCAACTTCAGTCAGCATTCCCAATGATCCGAGCCCCTATCAATTTTGCGCCACTATCAAAATCTCTGCTGAAGTCAAGGTACACAAAATCACAAACCTTATCACCATTTCCTCAACTATGCAACCTAATCCATGAACATTTAGTAATAAAACTATGCGATTCATGTATCTAGTCATGTTTCTCAAAAAGAGTAGAGAAATGGCACTTGCAATGTTAGATTCTAGTAACTTTCCTCACAATAGACTAAGCTAATTGGTCACTAACTTAAGCGTTAAAGTTAACTCAAACCTTTCCTTTAAAACTTGCTATATTAGGAACTTTCCACGACCGGCCTTTACCCGACATAATTAAATAGGGTAAAAACGGTATATTAAATGCAGTAAAACTACGGTAAATTCCGTAGATAAATGATAAACTTGCATTCTTTAAGCATGGGCTGCATAGCAAGTGAACTAAACTAAATGTTAAGCACCCTGGCAAACCACTTCGTTCTATTCAATTTCTTTATTTAATCACTTTGTCCGGCTAGAATTTTTAGATTAGATTAAAGGAACACCCTCCCTGGTAACGGCTGAACTAGTTAACCAAATACAAATATTTAGGTAAAATACTTTCATAAAACCCGTCTACTTCCCCCACCAGTAGACTTGTTCAGCTAAAGGCATAATGTAATGTTCCACTTTAGTAAATAAAAACTTAAAAAAACACTACCCCATCTGTGTAGTTACCGGTTACCTGACATTCTACGCTTAAAATAACCCATCTATTCCCCATAATTGTTCGATATAACTTACCTCTCACCCGCTGGTCGAGTACACAGCAGTATATATCCTCCTCCATCACTCACCGCGTGGATACTATTTCACTCTGGCCGCAAATTGCCTCAAATCACCTACGTTGTCCATAAACATATATAGAAGAGCAACTGACCGTAACACCCGTATAGCGATCATCACATAACGTGGGAACATTAGTAGTACTGCTGTCAAAACATAGATGGCGCCAGGACAAACGGTAATTCCTATGGACTCGCCTAGTTATGCCTAGGGAATTGAGCTTCAGCTGTTTGGTCCCGCCCCTCAGCTGTATTCACCAAGTTGTACTCACCTAATTTGTGCTTGCAGGGGTTGAGCTTTGGTTCTTTGGTCCCGACTCTCAACCGTCAATCAACAGTTTACAGATCCAGTTTCTGCCGTTCTTCTGACATAAAAAGACCTTTGGTTTAATAAGTTATTAAGATGTTTTCAACAATATTACTAGGGCGTTCACCGATTCTAACATGGGCGACCCTTTTGGAAACGCAACACATGGGTTGACCTGATTGATATATGGATCAGATTCCATTAAGGTTCGGAAGAGTAACAATAAATGGGGAAAACTCTCTGAGATGGAAACAAACTTCAGGGACATCTCCATCGAGCAACACGTTAGTAAAGTTGAAATGGGGATATATTGGGTTGGTCTGGACATTAGCTTCAACTACATGTGGGTCACTGTGTACTTATCTGCCTCCTGGAGATGCTACATCATCTGTAGGTAGCTGTGGTCTCTAGGAGCAGCTGACTAATGTGGGATAATGTCAGGCGCCGCAGCTGCCCTCCGCCAGGTCAACAACAGAGTACCACTCATTTATAAACAATACCACTCCTTAAAGTGGTATTTCCATTTTTACACTAGATTATTGTTCTTAAACAAGCCCCCAGTTGTAACAACAATCCCGAATTACTCAGCAAAAGTGTGCAATTAGAGCAATACCAAACTGTAGTCCCAGACACCACTGTGCTCCTTCACTTGTTGATGGTGGTGCTTTACACCTGTCGGCACACGGGTTAATGTTGAGACTGACAAGGTTTCAAAGGTGTGTGTAGCCTTGTGGTGTAGAGAGGAGTGGCGCCCTGTTAGAGGGAGACTTGAGCTAGGGCGAGATGTTGTGTTTATGGCGTCAGCTGATCCTTGGTGCTCCTGTGTTTGGCTGCCCGTGGCGCCAGGTTTAAATGTGGCGCGGGTCACATGTGGACCAATTTTTAGGTTGATTGGAGGTATTTAGCCAGTGCTTTGACTATTTGATGCCTTCTTTTGATAATTACTTACTTGACTATTTGATATTTTTCATGTAACGAGTAGTCACCTCCTCCTAACATATGCTCGATGGTGAAGGGTATTTTAAGTGTGATAAGTACTGTACTTGTTTGAACTTTACTCTGGCACTATGATGTCGTTAACAGTGAAAGAGATAGTGTTCGATTGTTTCAGGCACCTGACATTGGATGCAGAGTTCGTTAATGTCTGTTCTGTACTTAGAGCTGTGTGCTGGCAGTTTGGTGTGTCCCAGCCTTAATCGGGTCAGCGTTACATCAGTTTCTCTGCTTTTATATCTGACATGTTTCCAAGTTTCTCATTTCTATTTTTATGTACCCATAGTACAATGATGAGCATGACGTTTTCCATTTCATTACAAAATCTTGGGTAATGGTATCTTTGAAGGCTCTGAAAAATGTCAGATCCATCTGTGTAAATCGTTGCATGGTATTTGGGTAGCAATTTTTCATTGTTGAGACAAAGACTGAGGCTAAGCCGTATAATTGAGTAAGGTCTTTAGCCATGTTTATGTTTAGATAATGAAAGAGAATTTTGATCTAGTGCTTTTAGTAGTTTATTTGTCATCAATGTATTTATTGACTGATCTGACATTCTGGTTCAATACCGATAGATTTCTGTTAATTGTAAGCTTCTTGAAGTGATATAGAAAGTTACAAATGCTTCAGTTTTATCATAAAAACCACAACCAAGCGAATCAATTCTAAACAGGAATTTCAACGCAGTACACAAAACGACTGCATAATTGTTAGGGGAGAAAAACACATGATAATAAAATTCACATATATTTCTCGCGTAAAAGCCTTATACAAGTTACAATGGCAATTCTCATACAGTTATCGTATGTGCTATCTGAGCGCGCTGTCCCGTACTTTGTCAGTCAGCTGATAAGCTGACACATGTTGCTATTGGCAACCATGTCATCGTAGTTGTGTATTGTGATTGGTTCATGTACTGATGACGTAGTAAGGGGCACAGCGCAGGGACCTATATGATTGGTGGTTAGGCTGATGACGTACAACGACGAGAACATGGCGGGAACTTTGTAAAGAGAGAAAGAGGCGTTGATTGACGGAGACATTCGGAGAGGCGGTAAGGGTGACAATCCACAGTCATATGAGTTGTGGTGCAATTCCAACCCATACAAGAGCGGGTTGCCCCATCCTTCCGAGGTTAGATTACGGCAAACTAATAAAGACTGTGAACAAAACGCTATTAAGAATCAAAAGGGGTTAAAAAGATATGTAACAGTGGACCGAGGTCAGCAGGAACTGCGAGGGACACAGCCGTAGGTGTACTGGAGCCTCGTGTGCGCGTGCAGAGTTCATCTCTTCGCGAATGCGCAGATTCTCTCAGCTCTCGCTCGGTCCTCGGTAACAATACATGGAGTTCCCAGTACAGGAGCAATTTACAATGCTGTGAATTCGACACAAAACTGAATACATACATCTAGTTCACATATTTCCACAAAACTTTGATATGATGGCAATTCTTTCTCGCCTCAGACACATCTCTTCCACACCAATAGGTTTGCTATATAGCTAATAATTGTATTAATAATAAATCATCTCATAGGAAAAATACATGTAGCACAGAAGCGAACATGCACACAGTCACTATAACACGATGAAAATGCTAGCTCTAGGGCCGACTCAGCCAGGTTAGGCTCGCTGAGTGGTCCTGGAGTTCGTCAGTCGGGTGGTGTCTGGAGCATACCGACACTCACGCGACTATGGCGGCCACGTGGTCCAGTCTGCAAAGCAAAACCAATAACAAAATTATAATGAAGAATAAACAGAATTCTAATATATCCCGATGCAAGATCTTTCTGTATTGACATTAAAATTAAACATTATTCATGCGAGTCGTTTCATATCAATTGTAACCCACAGAGGACAGAATACGTACCATGATAATGATAATTTGATTTAGGGCTAAGAATTTAATAAATTTAAAATTCTGTATATCCAAGGAAATATATAGATTTCTCTGTTGATTTTAATTTCTACATACATGTAACTCATTTCTAAAGAAGTAATTATCAAAGAAGGCACCGAGCCGGGAAGGCTATGTAGCACCATTTCTAAAGAAGAATAAACAAGAAATGCACATAGGCTGAGACTGAGAGAATTGTGCACTCCAAGGAAACATTGAAGCCACTACATGCCTTATTTACCCCAAGAGTAGCGAGACTGGTGCCAGTACCTTAGGGGGAGGAGAAGGGGACAAGTCACAGGTCGTCGGAGGTGTGAACGTTGAGGGAGAAGGCAGCGGTCGTGTCGCCTTTCTTCGAGGTGGCTTTCACCACGTACTGCCCAACGTCCGTCGGCAGGCAACTGGGGATCTCGTACGAGAATTCCTTTTTGCCTTCCTGCTGGAATTTGAAGCGTGGTGAACTCTCGTCTACCGGTTTGCCATCCTTGATCCACGACACCTTGAGCGGGTCCTTCTCGAACTTGACGCTGAAGGTGGCCGACTTACCTTCCATAACCGTCTGTGACCTTGGGAACTTCTTGAAGGCCGGTTGCTTCTTCTCCTCTCCTGGGACTGTGAGGGTTATTAATACCACATGTTAGCAACTAATAACGACTGTAGCAAACATAAAGCTGGATCGTATGACAAATGAGAATAAGGGTGCCAGAAAAGAGGCTTATTGCAGAAAGGTGACAATAGATATGGCTAATATTTCATTATCAAACTAATTTTACTTATATAATCTATAGTAGTCATCCTGGAGCGTGTATCACAACCTTTCAATACAATTAAATTTATGTAGATTGATTTTCTGATGACGCAACACGAGCACCTTCACCAGCTTCAGGCGCAAAATTTAAAATAAAAAATGAATTTCAAATTCCTTATATAAAAAGGGAGAAGTGTGAGACAGTAGGAAGGTTTGTGTGCACTTACTGATCACGGTTAGTGTGCAGGTGCTGAAAGTCTCGCCCACGTCGTTAAAAGCTTCGCAAGTGTATGTCCCGGCGTCTTCGGGGAAGACCTCGGCGATCTTGAGCAGGTAGGTGTCTCCTTCGGTCACATATAGGAAATCTTTGGATGGTTTGATCTCCTTCTCGTTGTGAAGCCACACAACGTCGAATTTGGTGGCTCCGCCAATCTTGCAGGAGAGTGTGTGAGCAGTGCCGTCTGGGACCTCTTGAGACAAGAGGTGTTGTGTGATTCTGGGCAGTTTGTCGCCCCGACCGCTCTTACCGTTAATCTGTTGCTCCATAGGACTTATGGAGAGCTTACACTTGGTCTCGGCGGACCCTAGCGAACTGGTCGCCTTACATACATAAAGTCCTTCGTCTTCTGGGAACACTTCGTTAATAGTGAGAGACGCTAGACCCTGGCGGTACTTGAGATCGATGATATCGGAAGAGCTGAGAGGTTCACCGTCCTTGAACCAAGAGACCTGAGGTTCTGGATCACCCTTGACAGTGCACTTAAGACACAAGGCTTCACCATCCTTAATGGCCAGAGTTTTGGGCAGCTCGCCAGAGAACCCGGGCGGACCCATCAAGGAGTCATCAGGGGGCACTGGGGACAAAAGGAGAAGTGTCAGAGAAGCTCATCTTGTGTTGTACTACACTTGACAACCCACAGGCAAACTGTCGGTTATATACACTCATCTCTACCTTTAAATTGGTTAATTTAGTGCAACTCCAATCACATAAGGTGTGCAAGATGCTGAAACCTCCCAAGAATGTTTTTCACCATTCTAGCAGTAAAATAGGTACCTGGATGTTAGTCAGCTGTCACGGGCTGCTTTCTGGGGGTGGAGGCCTGGTCGAGGACCGGGCCGCGAGGACACTAAAAGCCCCGAAATCATCTCAAGATAACCTCAAGATAACCATTTATACGAGCAATATACTAATAATAATTAGTGACAATTCACTGTGTCGGGGACAGGCAGCTAGTGTATATATACATGTTGGGTCTATATCAAGATCGAATTACTGGCCCTCCCCACAACAAACTGACTAACTCCTGGGTATCTATTAATGCTAGGCAAACGGGGGCATTAGATGACAGGAACCGCACCCAACCATTTCTGTCCTGCCCGGGATTCGAGGTGCCAAAATTCCCGATTGTAAGTCGAGAACGAAACCGATTGTACCACCGGGACCCTGTTTTCAATGATCCATATACCACACACCTATACCATCTTTCAGAGGCAGATATGGGTTGAACCGAATTAAGTGACAGGATTTGGATGATGAATGATAATCGATGGGAGACGTCAGTCATCCACCGCATGATACGAAGTACGTCTCGCTTACGTGTATTGACCTGGATGGTAAGACACTACTGATGTCATGCAAGGGTCATCATAACATATGGTGTAGATGTACAGCATCAGCGTTCACAGGTGCAGTGCACAAGGTAATTACTGAACAAAACGAGTAAAATTAATGTTCCATTCAATAGTTGGCAATACGAGGTGTCTAAAATATCGACACACAGGTCTGGTTCTTTAACCCTTGAACTCTCAAAGGTGAGTTCAAGAGCTAAAATTTAACTTGGATAAACTATACACTTGTATATTTATAAAGTATAAATACACCAGTTCCAGAACTCAACAGCCACTCACACTCAAGGTTCTGGCCGTAGAACAAGCTATTAGTGTAACATTTCATGGTTTCTGCTTCGTAGCTTAAAAAAAATAGTTGTATTCTAGACTGAGGTTTAAGGAACGCTTCACAATAATGTTCCACAACTCAACAACCACCATAATCTCAGTTCCAGTATACAAACGCCACATATATTCCTCTAGTTCCCAGACGGCTGAGCGAAGGTCTCGCTTCATGCAGGTCGGCGTTCAATCCCCGACCGTCCAAGTGGTTAGGCACCATTCCTCTCCCCCCCCCCCCGACCCATCCTAAATCCTTATCCTCATATTCCTTCCAAGTGTTATATAGTCGTAATGGCTTTGTGTTCTCTCCTGATAAGTACCTAGTCTTTGAGTATAAATTATGGTGTTATTTGATGGATGATAAAGGTCCCAAGCTCCCGTTGTGGCTACAGAACAAAACATCCCAGAACACAACTTACGCTCAAGTTCCTTGGTGGCGGAGCGCGACCTGGAGGTGGAGCCCGTGGAGTCTTGCCTCTTGCCGTAGGGTTTGAGAGTTCTCTTGGCCCCGGAGGCGGCGGCGCTGGAGGTGGAGGAGGAGGACGCCGCTTCCACCTTGGTGGAGGTGCTGGAGCGGCCGTCCTGACGGATCGACGTACTGGTCACGGCTATGGTCGCAGCCGACTGGTGTGGTGGTGGTGATGGTGGTGGTGGTGGTGGGGGCGGGGGGGGGGGGGCATAGTGTGGTGATAGTATGGTAGTGTTGGTGTAGTGGTGGTGGTATGGTGGTGGTATGGTAGTGTGGTGGGGGTATGATGGTGGTATGGTAGTGGTGGTGTGAGGGGGTATGGTAGTAATGGTGGTTATATAATAGGGGTGAAGGTATGGTGGTGGCGTGATAGTGGTGGTGATATGGTAGAGATGGTGGAGGTAGTCGTGATATGGCCAGGATGAACATCACCAATTGATTAATGGCATAGTCAGCAACAATGATGGTGGTAGTGTGGTGCAAGCGTTGGTATTGGCGGTGATGAGAATGGGTGTGGTTGTGGTGGTAGTGGTGGTAGTGGTGGTAGTGGTGGTGGTAGTAGTGGTAGTGGTGGTAGTAGTGGTAGTGGTGGTAGTGGTGGTAGTAAGCGTGAGAATGAAGGAGAGAGAGAGAGCACAAGTTATCTCCATTATTAGTTAATAGTTACAGAGTTAAATTATTAGTAACTCCTTAACTGAAAACGTTAAAAATAAAATGTTTCAAATAGAACAAAATAAACGTTTGGCTCAGCATAATGTCTTAAATTGAAAGCATAAATATGTTTAAAATAATAAAAAATAAACGTGAAAGGGACCAGTACCAGTTTTATTTTTCAATGCCATAAAAAGTCCAACATCTTACTACAGTTTAAACTTAATTTGAAAGTAGTGTACTTAGACAACTCTTAAGTATAGTTAATTATTATGCCACAGACAAAAGCGCTCATATTAGCGACATACTGGAGAGTCGCTCACTACAGTATTATTATTATTATTATTATTATTAAATTTTGTTTGATAAAATAAACCATAAAAACAATCAGATTAATCGAATACAAATCATTGGATCAAAGCTTGTTATATAATTCAAATTAATATTAATTATTACTGAGGACTTTTATGGCACCATTTTTGCCGGGAAAATTCAAATATAAAAAAGCGTAACGTTCTTAACCGCGAGAACTAGGGGGGGGGGGGGGTTAGAAATAGCCTAAGCTACTCTATCCCTTTGAGATGTAATTTTTCTTGTCTCAATAAACATACTTGAACTTGAACTTCAGCTTTCATCCGATTTTGATCACATTTCTAGACTGCGCAGCAAAGCTAACAGGGTTTACAATTTTATTATTATACTTATTCTAATTTTCAAATATTTAACGCATTTGTTTTAAATTTTTTATGTTTATTTTTTAATTCAGAATTTTTTGTGTCAATTATTAAAAACTATATTATATAATTGTAATGAAAATGTAAGGACTTTATTTTCATATTTTCAGTGATGCCAAATAAATGAGTTTCCAATAATATTAGTTTGAACAGAACCCATTCCCACCCCTTACAAAAAGTCATGGGGGGGGGGGGGAGGAGAGATCCTTCAGACCACACACTAATGTACAAAGCAAACACACACACACACACACACACAAATACACAAATACACACACACACACAAATACACAAATACACACACACACACACACACACACACACACACACACACACACACACACACACACACACACACACACACACACACACACACACATGTACAAAGGGTTACCCAAACTTACATAAGTGAAACATTGTTAAGAATAAAATAGGTACTGCGCCCCATAACGTTTGCTTTAGTATAATGTCATCAATTGTAAGGGTTAAGAAAAGCATGTTTCAGCACTTCATTAATCGAGAAAACAGAAATGTCTGTTACTGTGAAATGAGTTAAAGCCAAAACGCATTCAACAGCAAATTTGGAAATATCGAAGGAAATATGAGACATCTCCAGAGACATTAACAAAATTCAACATTAGGTAACTTATCTAAAAAAATATATACATCTAAAAGCAATTTCTTATTTCTAAGTAAATAGAGCTTCATGAATATATTTCAAAAGGTTGTTTGTAATAATAATGTAGATAGTCTCAGGTTAGGTTATGGATATGGGATGGATTAATTGTACTTTGGTACAGCCAGACCTTCTCCATGTACCTGTAGTCTGATATCGTCTCTTGTGTGGTCCCACGTGCTCTGTCATAGTCTTGTGTGATCCATTCTAGTCCAGTATGGTCCATTCTAGTCCAGTATGGTCCATCATAGTCCAGTATGGTCCATCATAGTCCAGTATGGTCCATCATAGTCCAGTATGGTCCATCATAGTCCAGTATGGTCCATCATAGTCCAGTATGGTCCATCATAGTCCAGTATGGTCCATCATAGTCCAGTATGGTCCATCATAGTCCAGTATGAATCAGCACAGTCTAGTATGATCCGTCATAGTCCCCCTATGATCTATTGCACACTAATTCGGCCTACCGAGGTTCCAAAGTTCCTACTCTATTTAAATATGGTGTGGAATTATTCCATAAATTCTATTGCGTCTTAACATGATCCAGTAAGCTATTGTGGCTTAATATGGTCAGTCTTTTAATAAGATTCAGTTTGGTGTATGGTGTTTAAAGCTGACCCAAGATGGTCTCCTTGGAAGGGTATGGTGGAGGCCATCATGGGGCGTCTAGTGCCCACTTACCTTGTGTGTGGAGGTGAAGTAGCTGGAGGAACTGGTGTCGTCTACTCTGATGGCTGGCGTGGGCGGTGGAGGCAAGTCCTTGATTGTCGTCTCGATGTACCTTCGGTCTATGGGTGTGTGGGGGGTGAATGTAGCCGTTTGTGTTGGCGTAGTTTTTTTTGCATGGGAGTCATTGGTAGTGTAGGCATGAATGATGTTGTAGTTTGTGTGGCCGTGGGAGGTAGTGTGGGGGTGGGCGGCAGTGTGGCCGTGGGAGGCAGTGTGGGGGTGGGCGGTAGTGTGGCCGTGGGCGGCAGTGTGGCCGTGGGAGGTAGTGTGGGGGTGGGAGGCAGTGTGGCCGTGGGAGGCAGTGTGGGGGTGGGAGGCAGGGTAGTGGAAGCAGTGCGAGTGAGGTGGGTAGTGTGGAGACGAGGAACACCATCCAGCAGGCAGGGTCAAGTCAGGAACGAAAAGAACACTTATATTAGACATCAGGTGCACCAGAGCGTGTACACTGTATGCAGTGTACTGTGACAATGTACACTGTGACAGTGTACAGTGCAATGACTGTGTTAGTCATTGCTAGCGCTCCTCTTTGACAATGTTGCATGTCATAATTGCAGGAAAATACAGATTCCACTGAGAGTATATTTGTAATAGAACAAAATTGATCTACAGTGAGCAACTCTTACCGTATTTGATATATACATGGATATAAGCCATGGTAGGCTAGGCTACGTTATTCTGAAAACGAATATCGTGTTTAACAGTAAATGATAAATGTAGGAGCACTGAGGGCAGAGATCCAATATTATAATTAGCAACCTAGTCATCAGTGGGACCCAGAAACATAACTCATTTACAACAGATATAAGAATTCCTGTATGGCTAATTCCCCCTTCAGTTACTAATTCTAAACATAAGGGAGAGGAGATAAGCTACATTAAGGGGTTGCAATTAAATGCTAAAATATAAAAAAAATATCTCCCATGTACAAAATATAAAATGTGTTCAAAGTATTTTAAAAAACTGGAAATATTGTACACCAAACATGTGACGTCATCACTCATATGAGGTCGCTGTAGTCTACTAAAGAGCTTCTGGGTTCCAGTATGAACCAGAAGCCACTTAGCTCACTTTTACGCTTTATTTAATAAATATACATGATCTTTAATACATAGCAAGCTAAACATTACCCCATATCGTTAATATTCTGTGTAATGAGCCATTTACATCGTCTGATAGCAACAGTTTTAAATCACTGCGATTTAGTGATCGCGTTAGTTAGGCTGCCGACGCCGCCGTGACAACTGCGGTCAGTTATCATGGCAAAATGAACATTCCTGACGAAAGAGGAAGGTGCTGGATCCTATCTAAACATCGTAAGATCAAACTCACGCATTGCAGCAAGGCCTAAGATTAGGGAGGATTAAGGGCATGTTTGCCTAACTGGAACTGCAGGCGATAAGTCACAATAACGTGGCTAAAGCTTGTTGATCAGACCACACACTAGAAGGTGAAGGGACGACGACGTTTCGGTCCGTCCTGGACCATTCTCAAGTCGATTGTCGACTTGTCTCAAGTCACAATCGACTTGAGAATGGTCCAGGACGGACCGAAACGTCGTCGTCCCTTCACCTTCTAGTGTGTGGTCTGATCAACAAGCTTTAGCCACGTTATTGTGACTCATCGCCTGCAGAGGAAGGCTGTTAAGTTTATCGACGTCCTCCTAGCCAGCTACTGGTCATTCTCCAGACTGCAACCCACGACAGTTGTCTAACTCCTGGGTACCAATATACTGATATGTGAACAGAGGCATCAGGAGAAAGGATTCTGAAAGGACTGCTCGGCAACTGAACCGAAGATCAATGGGTTGTGAACGGACTAGGTCAACAACGGTGCCTGGACACGGCGACAACTCACAGAGTAATGGCGTCAGTGCAGGGGGTATATATAGGTCACCACAAGCGTAAATAAACAGGGAGGAACTCACAAGCCTCCTAGCACGATGCACATAGTGTCTGGTCTTACCTGGACTGATGTTACCGCTACGCATTTCTATAACTAACAACCATGATGCATCTGTCACTACTTCAGATAATAAAGCTACACTAGGCTACAATAAGCATAGTCCTCATTGCTTTGAGGCGCTTGGAGGTTGTAACTTGAAGCATAGAGATAAAGGTGACCGATGCGATATATGTGAGGTAAAGCTAGGTGCTGTTTCTGGAGCTCCAACAGTACAAGACATGTGGACGGAGCAAGAGAATCTTCTCCACTTAATCAAGGAACTTCATGTCGCCTATATTGAAGGATTCTTGCTAGGTCATCAAAATGCTGGTTATGGCCTAACTGCAAACCACACAAAAGACCTTCTCAATTTAATGGCTAAATATGGAGGATACATTAAGTTCGGTAGACAACAAATTTCAGTGTCAGACATCAGGAAGTACGATAGCCATCCATCCGAAAAATTAAATCTACTCAAGATAAACGAAAACATAAGAATTCTAAGATAACTGGAGGCTTAATTCACAAGTTAACACAGGTTAAGGAACAGTTAAAAAAAAAAGACTTTTGTGGTCAATGGGCGTAATTCCTGAGGTCGTGAGGACTCTGACAAGGGTTAGGCTCACACCACGCTGCTTTAGATTACCTTCACTTGATAGATTCTTTAGTAGGCGGGTCTGTTCGTCTGTTACCTCATTACCTTGGGTTTAATGCAGGAAAAAAAAGAAAACAAGAAAGTGGGTGTTAGATAAGCAGTAAACACACGAGTCTTTAGTGTTCGCGGAGGCGCCGCCGAGACATGCAAGCCCGCCCTCGCCTCCTGCAGGGGGCCAGGCGCTCGGGGCACGTCTTTAGCATGGGGGCAAGTTCTTAGGTAATTTATAAGGTTTTGGACAGCGATGGCATGTCCATTAAAAATATAAAAATTAAAATAATCTTGTGAAAAATTAATATAATATATATATATACATTATATATATACATATATATATTATTGTTTTAATTTTTTATATATTAGTATTAGTATTTAAGTTTTTACATGACCATGGTCGGCGTAATTTAATTTAATTTATATTCCATAAACATCTGTGGCTTCCAAAATTTCACAGGGAAAAAATGTACAAAATATATGGTGGGGTGTGAGCAGCGAGGCCCACCAGGGAGTTGGTCCTGGGGAGAAGAGGAACCATGATATATTGTTAGAGTTCGTGGTTGAGAGTGAACCAAATTATTACCGGTCAGGGAGTGGTTGTTTATCATGTTAACTGAACACTGATCCATGTGAGAATCATGAATAACCTCGTCACGAGGTTATATCATAGATCCCTATGGCTACAACGAGACATACAGGCGGCTGCCAGTGACCAGCTGATGCACTATATAAGAGCACAAGCATTAGCGGGACACGCTATACAACGCCCGCCTGGGGACGGCAGTGTGCTAGCCACACCAGGCAGGTCAGTCAGCCCGGTTACAACCAACTGTGTCTTGACGGGAGGGGGGGGGTTATGGAGCGAGGCCTAGTGTGTATATATGTGGCCTGGGGAGCACACAGTGTGGTGTAGTGTGGCCTGAGGAGTATAGTGTGGTGTACTGTAGTCTGGGGAGCACAGTGTGGTAACTGGGGTGTAGTGTGTGTGAGCTAGGGAGTAGCGTGCGGCGTATGGGAGCTGGTAAACATTCAGCGCGCGGATTTAAAGTGTTTGGTTGAATTAAAAAGTGATCGCGTGTACTTTTGTCCTGATACCTAGTACCTAGACATTTGTCTAGGCCTAAAGTTAACTATCAAGTTTATATGCACCGACCATTAATAAACACCTTACAGTGTGGATGTATTACATTTTTTGTTGGGCTTAAGGCCTATGAACCACGGGTTGGCTTACTAACCAATTATTAAATGTACTTTAGTCCTCCCTTTAATATTGAATCATAGTATACTCGGTGTATAATCACTGGGAAGTAGAGTATATCGGAAGGTGTATTTCTCCCTCTTTGTGATACGTCTGCACGTTGACTTGTCATGCTTGTGCACTGCTGTGCCTGAGGGTACACAGTTCCGGACAACACCGCGTTATGTGTATCAGGTGAAGCCTCTATGTCATCCTACAGTATTCCCCTGATAGATGAAGATTGATTGATGAAGATTAAGCCACCCAAAAGGTGGCACGGGCATGAATAGCCCGTAAGTGGTGGCCCTTTTGAGCCATTACCAGTATCAAGAGCTGATACTGAAGATCTGTGGAGGTGCGACTGCACCCTGCGTGACGGGAGATGTCTCCCGTGAGTATTCTCCTACTATACCAGTACACATATACGCCCCTCCTCCTCGATACACTTCACATACACCCCCTCCCTGCCTCCCTGGCGCACAGATGGTTGTAACCCGACCTCCAGTACACACTCCGTCTCCGGCTTTACCTGAGAATTTCAGATTAGTCATCAGCGTCTTCTGTTCTTGGGTTCGATCTCCGACGCCTTTTAGGAGAAATCGAAAATGAGTTAACTATCAGTTAATATCGGGATCTGAGGGTTATCATCATATAGTGGCTACTAAGCTGCTCCCATTTGTTACTTAGTTGACAAGCAATGTGTTATTAAGGAAGAACTTTAAAAATCCTTTAGATAATTAATACAAAAGTAAGCTCTCTGAATGGGTTGCTCAAAGCAAAGCTTCGTGATAAAGCATATTGGAAACAAACATAAAGCCAATCTCAGTACTCGCTTCCTCAGTGCTTGTAAGCCGGAATGTTAGTTTTGCTTGTTATACGTAAAAAACAATAAATTCGAAAATTATAGCAAGATTAGCTGAAATTACTACGCGTTCGTATCCACCTGAGGGCAAATTAAGATAAACAATTGAGTTTGAGCCGCGGATATAATTAGAGAGACTGAGTTATGTAAGAGACGCGGAATTAACTAGAAAGAATGAGTTGTGTGAGACGCAGAACTAACTAGAGAGAAAGAGAGAGAATGAGTTACGCAAGAGACGCGGAGCCAACTAGAGAGAGCAATAGTTGGTGAGGTGAGGTGCGAATACTACTGTTCAACGCTCTTCTTATGGCCAAAAACACAGTAAAATAAATTATAACAATGCATCAATTTAAACAACTACAAACTACTTAGGTCACTACTTAGATTTTGAAATATAATGCAGGATTAATCTCTTACATTATAAATACATATTCAAAATTTTGAATTAATTTCCTAATACATATTAGGAAATTTTCACACATTAGGTTACCCGATTGAAAATATTATCAACCAAATTTAGACGTTTTTTCCATCTAACCTAAATATATATATATATATATATATATATATATATATATATATATATATATATATATATATATATATATATATATATATATATATATATATATATATATATATATATATCCAGGTTCAAATGTCATGACTATATGGTGCTAGTACTTGCAAACAATGGCCTGCTAGACTGAAGACGACATCAAGAAGTCTGGTAGAGTACATACCTTCAACTATGACGACACAAGACGTTTCGTCCGTGCCCAGTGAATTAGTAGCCACACATCTGTATTTGCCAGAGTCAGCGGGTTTGCAGTTGACGATTTCGATAGTAACCACACCGTCGGCGTGGCTCTGGGAATAGTCGAATTTGGAGAGCTCCTGAGAACCTTTGTACCACTTGACAGTGGGGACGGGCTTGCCAGCGAGACAGCATAGAAGTTTGCAAGTCTGGTGGCACTGGATAACGCGAGGACGAAGAAGGAAGGTGAAGCTTGGAGCGCCCTCACCCTCCTCCTGCCACAGCTTGTAGGTGAGTGGCTGTCGGCGGCGGATGATCTGTTCTTGAGGTCTGTACGGTGGCGCCTCCGGCGGTAGAGCTGAAGGGGAGCACGTAAGGTTACTTTCCTGCTCAGTAGGGTCTAAGACTCTCCCTACTGAATGCACCAACACATGACTAAGATGCACACATGGGGGAAATGCTCTAACAAGGAGGCTTTAATAAATGAAGAAAGCCTGATTTATCCAGTTAAATTCAATACGACACGACAATAGCTCACGTTTTTAGTGCCACTAATCAAATACAATTTTGTTTAGGCCTATATTATTTTTTGTATCATTCTGCTCCAAAAAATACAAAATATTAGTTAGAGAAAAGAAGGGTAAAAATATTTGAAAATTTTATTTCTAAATAAACCCAGTGGCACATTCTGCACTAGAATAATACCGTAATATATCGCTTTGCTCCTCTGAATTTACAGTATTTTAGTTGACATGGCAAATAAGGACGCTACCATAATAAAATTTATGGAGGAGAAGTAAAGAGGATGAAGAGAGCGGCCATGTTGGAATACTCACGCTGGACGTTGAGGAAGACGGGCTCCTCGCGGGCGCCATAGTGGTTCTCGGCACGAATGATATACTCGCCGCGGTCCTCCAGCTTGACACGGTTGATGACAAAGGAGTAGTCCTCGCCAGAGTACCTCTTCATGTACTTGACAGACTGTCTGAGTTCCATGTTGTTGTGGAACCAGCAGACTGTTGGGGCAGCCACGGCCACGATGCGGCACGAGAACTTGACACTCTGGCCCTCGTAGGTGAAGGCGTTCTGTGGCCGGATGACGAACCTGGGCGCGCATTGACGTCGGTCTGAAGAACACCACAACACTTATTAACTAACAGGCCTCCCATACTCTAAGTTGTCAACAGCGTCTGTATTGTATATTGTCAACAACTGCCATGCTGGCATAATACAACACAGGTGTCTTGTGTCCTTGTTAAAGAAGCATACAAGACAATTTTACAACACTAGCATATGAACAGCATTAAATTTAAACAACATGCATGAGCCTTATAATCCAAGAATGTAACAGTTAAAATGTGTTGACAAAAACGTTCACATCTAATTATTTAACTGTCGAGAGGGCCGGATTAGCCAATAGGCCAAGTGAGCCGTGGCCGAGGGGTACGGACACCACCACCAAATTTCTTTTGTCATAAAAAAATACTTGGAATAATCAATATTTTATTAAAAGCTTTCAGAATTTTTGACTGTTTTTACGGATATTGCTATTTTCTGGAAAAAGGAATTAAACTTATATAAGTATAGGAATATGGCCTCAATGTATTACTCGGCAAAACTATGCATATTATATCTTTGACAAATAATCATTACATACTATTATGACATGAAGTGTCTACATGTATGTGTTTAGCCTTTAAACAGCCCCACTGACCAGAGGGCGGGGCCCGGTACGGAGCGTTACGGAGCCAAAATAGTTAGATCCGGCCCTGACCAGACCTGAGGGTCACGCTTGGCAGAAAAGACTAAACACTCTTCAATAGGATACAGCATATATACTGTATATATAATATTATATACAGTGTATATATAATATTATATGAGGCGGGGGTTTGGAGAGATCGTGGGGAGGGAGGTAGTGAGGTGAGGAGGAGGAGGAAGGCTGGAGGCGAGAGAAGAGAGGCAGTACAACTCACCGAAGTGCGTGTCGTGTATCCTATATTTGTCCAGATGTAGTTTTCTGAGCGAGGAATATTCCGCGAGACGACCGATGGGCAGGAGGAACTTGGCCCACTCCTTGTACTTGGCGCGGATTTTATCGCGAATGGGAATGTAACGCATCATATCGATGGGCTCCAGACGGGGCGAGTAGTCACCCCGGAGCCAAGCGTGCATCAGGCACTCGTGCGCGGTCATGCGCTTCCTGCAGGAGGCATCGTACAGTTACCACAAGGTGCAGCCAGTTCCACAAAGATGAGGGTTAGTTGGGTGTGTGTGGGGGGGGGGGGGTTGATGGTTTGGGAGACAGCGTTGGGGGGGGAGTGGTTGGGGGGCTCAGTGAGGTTCTGGGTGGCAGATGATCTGATAAGCAGTATGGGCAATCAGAATATATTTCTCTTGGAATGAGTTAGACTTGTCTAAGGAACTCTACAGTGCTGAGGCAGTGATGGTATGAAATGAGTAAATATATAGATATATGTCCGTGTGTAAGCATAAATTGTTGTTAATGCATAAGAAAAAAGAAAATACTGGAGCAACAAGCAGTAGAAAGACTCACTCTTTGTTTTTAATGAGCAGACGGCGGATGAAGTCCTTGGCCTCGTTGGACACATTGCTGAAGGCTTCTTCATCGAAGTCCCAGTCGCAGGCCTTGACATTCTTGAGGGTATCGATGTCGTTCTCGCCAGCGAAGGGCGAAAGGCCGCTGAGGAGGACGTAAGCGAGAACACCTACAGCCCACATGTCTGTGTAGAAGCCCACGGGTTCTCTCTCAACGATCTCGGGCGCCGCGAACTCCGCCGTTCCCGTCGAGATCTTCACTACCTCGTTGGGGTCGAGCTTGGTCGCGAGGCCGAAGTCAATGAGCTTGACGTTGGTAGAGGTTTTGGTCTGGCACATGATGTTCTCGGGCTTAACGTCTGTAGGAAAGGGAATTAAACGGCGTCACAGTGGTCATTCTCCGAATACCCTCTACTGGACACGTCTGAAGGACACGTGAATGATACAAACTAGGAAGGCTAATGTGATCACTGAACTAGGCAATAACCTCAGCACTCTTAAAGTAATACATACACAAACACACACACATATGCCTCAACTTTACGACCATTCTTCAATAAACACACAAACCACTAATCCATAACATTCCTTATAAACGTACAAGTAGAGCAACAATCCTCCTCTAAGCTCGATACAGTAACGCTAAGCTTAACCTGGATACGTACTTAATCATATAATAATATGATTAAGTATATATTCCACATATTATATGTGGAATATAATAATATTCCACATCGGAATATCGGCCGCGGGGATGGCAGCAACAAATTAAATACTATCTTATTACTATATTAATATTTTGTCTTTGTCAAGCAACAGAAAACGGCGTTTAAATTAAGGCCAAACCCTGGAAGCCTAAGGAACCTACTTTTTTTTTTTTTTTTTTACTAAATACATTCGTAAGAGTGGCTCAAGTTTTGTTTAGCCCTAGTTTGACAATATGCTTTGATACGAAAAAATGGCGGGGAGCTTTGACAAGCCGCCAACTTTCTGTCTCCGTCGAGGCCACTACAGCGAAAGGGGGGAAGGGGGGAGCGGTAGCCATCAGGTAAATAAATTATGTTAAACAAATAAACATTGCTCATTTTTATATATTTTACTTGCAATGTTTGACGCATCTCTCCTGGTAAAATTACTTCCACATGGAGTGAAAGGTTAATCGATAAACAAAATATCTGACAAAAGATAAACATATGAGTCATACAGACACATGTAACATGAGTCATACAGACACATGTAACATGAGTCATACAGACACATGTAACATGAGTCATACAGACACATGTAACATGAGTCATACAGACACATGTAACATGAGTCATACAGACACATGTAACATGAGTCATACAGACACATGTAACATGAGTCATACAGACACATGTAACATGAGTCATACAGACACATGTAACATGAGTCATACAGACACATGTAACATGAGTCATACAGACACATGTAACATGAGTCATACAGACACATGTAACATGAGTCATACAGACACATGTAACATGAGTCATACAGACACATGTAACATGAGTCATACAGACACATGTAACATGAGTCATACAGACACATGTAACACACAAACTTGAGACAAACTTCCCATACACAAACACATGACACAGATACACCCATGATACACACACTAATTATATGCTGTGGTATTTCCTTTATACCTCTGGATATCATCTGGCTGTGTACACCCCTGGATATCGTCTGGCTATGCATATTCCTGGATATCGTCTGGCTATGTATACACCTGGATATCACCTGGCTATATATTTATACGCCTGATTGATGACTGATAAAGATTAAGCCACCCAAGAGGTGGCACGGGCATGACTAGCCCGTAAGATGGTCGGTATATACACCTGGACATCACCTGGCTATCTATATACACGTGAACAACACCAGCCTACGTATACACGTGGACAGCTTATGTATACCCAGTAATAATATAACAGAGAATGTGTTCGTCATAGGCTGTAAGATGGTCAGACGTGTGCGACCAAGGTCCTACGGGCTATTCATGCCCGTGCCACCTTTCGGAGGCGCCTTAATCTTTATCAATCAATCAGTTGACCAAGGTTACTGGTGGCAACACGGGCGACCACTCACCACCTTGACCACACTCTCTGGCGTCTTCATCTTTGGTGCATACATACACCTACCTTGTCCATATGTATGGACGAAACGTGTATAATTAGTGCGTGAAGAGCATTCAATAAAGACAAAGAAATGAATATTCGTATATTTTATAACCTAACCTAACGAAATAAAGCATTTTATAAGTTCAGTCTAAAAGACTAATTATATATATATATATATATATATATATATATATATATATATATATATATATATATATATATATATATATATATATATATATATATATATATATATATATATGTGTGTGTGTGTGTGTGGTTGCAGTGTGTGTGTGTGTGATGTGTTGAATACCACAAGAGTGTTCAAACAGTTTATAACTATCTAAGTACTTATAATCAATTAATTAATACAAAAATCTACATTAAAATTGACTGATCACATGAAGCCAAACTTGTATATATTAATAAAAGAAAGAAGGATGGGAAAATCTGAAAACTAGCATACATAAAAATGAAATAATCCGCACGTACAATAATTCATAAAGGATAAGACAACCTAATGAAATACAATTTAATTTAAATAGAGTATTTAAAAAATATATATAACATTTAAGCCTACAAAATCATGTATAAAACGCCCATTTTCATAAACCTTCAAAAGTTTCCCGTTACAAATAAAATAGTTTGAGAAATTTTAGAATAATACAGCCTACCAGGAGGGTCATAATAAAAAAAAAAAAATAACTGGAAATACTAATGGCATATAATCTGGCACAGTTTTCACTACATATACAACGCTAAAAAAATCTGTAAAGTCCATGTAAAGAAACTAACCTGATTGCCTAAAAAAGTCTTATAAATGGTGCCATTATCTGAGCAAAGAATCTGTAGTTTCCCTCTTATAGCTAGTTACGTATGCATAATATCTTGAAAACAAAACAAAAAGTATTATGACAAAGGTCTGAGAATATGATAAGATATCACTACTAAAGCACTCTAGTGATAGATGAAAACCTAAGACATTTGTATGTTAACTCAAGGGGTCGGGAACACAAAATATAAGAAATGGTTCTACATATAGTCCAGAACAAAAAAAAGTGTGAAAAAAAGGAGAGAGCATATAACACAGGATCTGTTGAGGCTATTGTTGTTAAAGTTGGGCAGAGTCTTCTCAACCCTGTGTGTGTGTGTGTGTGTGTGTGTGTGTGTGTGTGTGTGTGTGTGTGTGTGTGTGTGTGTGTGTGTGTGTGTGTGTGTGTGTGTGTGTGTAATCTAGTGAGTGGTTGTTATTTATGTTTTGTTGTGAGTGAAGCTGACGTGTCTCTTCACTCCTGGAGATGTAAGCAAGTGCTCCACGTCAGCCTCACTCACATAGGGAGACCTATCTGAGAGAGAGAGAGAGGGAGAGATAATAATGATGATGATGATGAAGGAACAAAAGAGTATAAAGTAAACAAAACAATGACCAAGGACAGAAGTATTAAGTAGCGGCACGAACCTTGGAATATCGGTTCACCAAAACAGATTTCACTATCGCACATGACCTTCTCCGGCCTGATGCCTGAAGGAGAACGACACAAGCCTTTAATAAGGTCATTCTCTGGCTGCCAACTACTTTTTTTATATTACGCCTAGAACTAAGGTCACGGTGAGCCTGGTAAGGTCAGGTCACCGGCCAGGGAGTGTCGTTGAGTCAGGTCATGTGGGTTCATGAGAGACTACGTCTGGTTCAAATTGCTAATCACTTGGCTGTCTTGGGAATCAAAGTCCCGCCAAGAGAATGTCTACAAGTCAAGTCACTCTTGTGTTCTAAATGTCAATACTCATCACAAAAGACAGGTCAGGTCATGCTACTACTTCAGTGAGCGAGGATAACACGCTTTTAAGGTCAGGTCAAACAATAATATTAGAATTAATCACATGGCTACATCGACAACAAATTCCTAACGGAAATGTGAAGTCGAGTCATTGTAGGTCAGGTCAAGAAAGGTCAGAGGGGGGTAGAAATAGCCTAAGCTACTCTATCCCTTTGAGATGTATTTCTTTCTTGTCTCAATAAACATACTTGAACTTGAAGAAAGGTCATGAAATGGTATGTCCGGTCAAGAGATGTCAGGCCTCTGTATGTCAGGTTATGTGAAGTTAGGTCATGAGGGGTCAGGTCATGGGAGGCCAAATCATGTGAAATCAGGTGGCGTTATATCAACACACAAGAAGGTAACGATAGGTATTAACTTAACAAGCTCAATACACTTAACAAGCTCAAGTTAAGAAAGTTCTGATAATAATAATGCTACCACTAATAATAATAAACAAAGGTCACGTAAATATATTGACCTTGCTTTACACTCACTACAGTGTTACAGAGACATTCCAAACCTGAAACAATGGGGCGGCTGTAAGAGCAAGGTCAGGAGGCCAGCCTCAGCCACGTCAAGGGCCCATCACAGGAGTCACACCACACCAAGGTGCCCCCAAGGCCTCACCATTAAGTCGGTTCATAAGACTACCTTAGCATTAGGTAATATGAGGGGTGAACTTGGACTAGGGTGAAAGACTAGACACTTAAGTGATATACTACGACCGGGAGGCACCTTTGGGTCAGATTATGTCACAGGTATACCTAAAAGAGCATACCTAGCATACCACCCCCTTGGGCCACATTAGGTCAAATGACTACCCAGCTATTATGTTAAGATTAAGATGACACGTTTAGATCAGGTCACAGACCACCTCCGACCCGTCCTCTCCACTAATACGCCGTTATGTTGTCATGGTAACCAACGAACCAAATACAATGTGCTATCAAAAGTTGCGGCTCACAAAAATCAACGTTTTCTATCCATCACTTTGTTAGGTTAGGTGGGTGGCTTGGGTACGTCCGTTTTTGGTTAGGTTAGCACGTTTTGGCAAACCAAGAGAAGGGACTGACCAGGTTACACCTATCTTTAGACCAGATCAGAGGACTACACATAAGGGGCTGCACAAGGTTAGGTCAACTTCCTCGGGTGAAGTCACGTCAGAGGATGCCCAAGGGGTCAGGAAAGGTCAGGACAACATCAAGACGAGTGGTAAGACTGACCTAGGGTTGAGGGGTAAGGGTCAGGACTCTAGCCTAAGGTCCAGTCATGTCGTGGGTCTGCCCTGGTCCAGGCCAGGGATGATGTGAAGAGAGTGTCAAGTTTCCCCTTTTTTTCCTGTTCAACTGCTAGTCGTGGGAGCAGCGTACTCAAAGCCCTATGTATACTAGGTGTGTATGTGTGTGCGTGTATGCGTGTGTGTGTGTGCGTGTGCCCGAAGGACTAGGGTGTGCACACTACTTCCGCACCTTATTCCATACCGTTGTCCAAGGGCTATACACACACACACACACCCTCCCGCACCTTCACACCCCCCCCAGATGCCTAGCATTTCTGAATTCCCAATTAGCCAAAACTGATTGATGGCGCCATATTATGGACCTATAACTCTATTAAACTTCTCTCTCCCCCCTTCTCTGTCTTCGCGGCTCTGACTACTGTCTAAGATACGCTACAAGGGATACCGAGCCTTCTCTTCTGTGAGTGGCTGGCTCTGTTGGACAACTACATGAACAAACAAACAAACAAGCCTAAAAAGTGCCAAAGGCAACAAAGTCAATCATGTTAATTGTGGTAATAAATGAAAAAAAAGGAAAATTGACAACCGTGAGGAAATTGCTATCCAGGTTGTCTAGTGATAATGAGACACGTAGTTAATTAAGGCTGTTAAGAGAACGGTATTTGAAGAAGAAAACGGGGGAATTGTATTCCATTACAAAGAAAATGGAGAAGAAATATTTTAATTTTAATCTTAATTATATATATATTAGGAGGCCCTATATATATATATATATACTGTATATATATATATATATATATATATATATATATATATATATATATATATATATATATATATATATATATATATATATGTCGTACCTAATAGCCAGAACGCACTTCTCAGCCTACTATGCAAGGCCCGATTTGCCTAATAAGCCAAGTTTTCATGAATTAATTGTTTTTCGGCTACCTAACCTACCTAACCTAACCTAACTTTTTCGGCTACCTAACCTAACCTAACCTATAAAGATAGGTTAGGTTAGGTTAGGTAGGGTTGGTTAGGTTCGGTAATATATCTATGTTAATTTTAACTCCAATAAAAAAAGGTTGACCTCATACATAATGAAATGGGTAGCTTTATCATTTCAAAAGAAAAAAAATTAGAGAAAATATATTAATTCAGGAAAACTTGGCTTATTAGGCAAATCGGGACTTGCATTGTAGGCCAAAAAGTGCGTTCTGGCTACTAGGTACGACATATATATATATATATATATACTGTATATATATATATATATATATATATATATATATATATATATATATATATATATATATATATATATACTGTATATATATATATATATATATATATATATATATATATATATATATATATATATATATATATATATATATATATATATATATAATTCGACCTGCTTGAAAGTTACAAATAGAAATGTAAAAAAAATAGCTAAAAGCAAGAACATCACTGAAGAATGGGTCAATAAACACAGGGTCAATACATGTTTTACACACACAGACACACACTAGTGATATGTAACCGAACACGTTTTATCTTATGTAGAACAGAGTCAAGTAAAGCATTATACATACTTAATATATAAATATGAAGTTAAAATCAGGGAAAAACCATAAACACTAAAACACAGACGATATTCATTGATAAATATAAAATGTCATTATAGTCAATATCTGCTATATAAACAGGACAGAGAGAGAGAGAGAGAGAGAGAGAGAGAGAGAGAGAGAGAGAGAGAGAGAGAGAGAGAGAGAGAGAGAGAGAGAGAGAGAGAGAGAGAGAGAGAGAGAGAGAGAGAGAGAGAGAGAGAGAGAGAGAGAGAGAGAGAGAGAGAGGAGAGAGAGAGAGAGAGAGAGAGAGATCGGTCAATTTCTCTCTGAAAAGAGAGAGGGTTGGAGACAGAATGAGTCTTTGTCATCGGGATAACAAAGTCTTTATTATTTAAAGTTATAGTCTTTGTCACCGGGATAAATCTTTCTAACTATGCACCAGCAGGTGTTAGTTGTCATAAGACTTCATACTTTGACCTAATCCAGCACCCCATGGCATCCCGTAACTTACAGCGATACAGTACCGAACAAATTTGCATAATTCCAAGAAATCCATAACTGTATGGCATCATGCGTCTTGCAGAAGCTTGGCACCGTGTGGCACCGTGTGGCACCATACCACCTCCAAAGAATCTAGCATCATATCAAATCGTGAAACTTTCTGGAATCCTGTACAGTACCGCACCACGAAACTTCCGAGAATGGTACATGATATTCCGCAACTTCAAGACATCCTATGCCATAGGTCATAACGTAACTTCCATGAACCTTATATCCAGTTACCACGTCACTTGCAGGAATACGACACGGTATGGCAACACGTAACTTCCAGGAATACGGTACAACTTCCATGTATATATTGTCAAATGACATCTCATAACTTCCAGGAACACAGTGCAGTATGGCATAAGGTTACTTCCAGTAATCCGATGACGTATAGCGCTACGCCTCTTTCAGAAATCCAATGCTACAGCATAACGTATCTTCCAAGAACTTATACCATTGGATATTTTCCAGGAATCCAGTGCTTTACAGACTGACGAGGCATCCAGGACCTTATAATATTGCATATCTTTCAGGAATCCAGGATCTTCTAACATTGCATATCTTCCAGGAAACCTAAACCTTATAGCACTGCATATCTTCCATGAATCTAGGCCCTTATAAGACTGCATATCTTCCAGGAATCCAGAACTTATCTGGATAACTTAACGCTGCATATCTTCCAGGAATCTAAGCCCTTATAGGACTGCATATCTTCCAGGAATCCAGACTCATCTGGATAACTTAACGCTGCATATTTTCCAGCGTTATGTATCTTCAAGAAGTATACAGGGAAGCTTTCTGCGTTTCTTCTTGCGCCACTATACCACCGTTTATACTGAACCCGATAAACAAACGACCAGACAACTAATTAATTTGTATTCCTAATTGTCAACTGTCTCAGAAGTTTTATAACTACTATAATCTTCAGAATATTAAGGCGGCTGAGATGCACTGGGTAAGGAAAATTTAGCTAAGAGTGAAGGTGTGGTTACTGTGGCGGTTAGAGAATAGTGAAGGAAAATTAGTGCACTAAGGAGAGGCGATATCTACTGGAGCTGGTGTGCAAATTTCACATCCAAAGGAGGCCCTGGTCAGAGACTGGACCGCGGGGACCTTGAGCCCTGGAATCAACTTAAGGTAACCTATGCACATAGACGAGAGTAGACTGAGGTGGGCAGCCTTGAGGGGGTACTCCTAAGATTCAAGTGGGGCTATTCCGCTGTTCATCATTGATGGAACTACGAAGGAGAGAAGCTTTGGTGGAGGGGGCTTTGTATTCTGATGGTCGGGTGCAGCGGATGGCACCCGGCATTGGTGGCCAAACCACACATCAGAAGATGAGAAGACGACCACTTTTCAATCCGTCGTGGACCATTATCAAGACGATTGGACCATTATCACAATCAACTTGATAATGGTCCAGGACGGACCGAAACGTCGTCGTCTCCTCATCTTCTGATGTGTGGTTTGGTCATCATATCTTCAGCCACGTTATTGTGACTCGTCGTCTGCACACCCGGCATTGACTACTCACCCAAGTAGATGATGATGATTATGATCCAGGTGGATGTTGATGGTGATGTTCTGGCTACTCACCCAAGTGGATGATGTTCTTCTCGTGCATGTGTTTGACGCCCTCACAGATCTGCCGCATGTAGTTGATGACCTCAGCCTCGGACATAACGTAGCCCTCGGCCGTGATCCGCTCGAACAGCTCGCCTCCAGATAGGCTAAAAAAAGGCAAGAAACAAGAACATATGAATGTAGGAAACTACATGAGTCCTATTGGCCATTTCGAGGCAGTTCCTATTTATACCCGACTCAACTCATATTTTTGTTAGCCTTTACTTGAGACAATCCAGCGAGTTATGTTACTTGATCCAGAAATCATCAAGCGTCTTTCTGAGTGGATTTGTGCAAGTCAAATGAGCTTGTTAAAGAGGAGGAGTATATTGGAAAATAAACCTTTCATTAAAATATGCATGTCTTATAAAAACTTTATACAAAATATACCTTCTTGTATTTCTTATCATTGTTTTCAAATGATAAGTATTAAAAAACAGTTCTCTTGCACTTACAATTCGAAGATCAAAACCATTTCGTCATCATCTTCGAAGGCGTCGTGAAGGTTGATAAGCTTAGGGTGGTGAAGGTGGTTCATGATGTCAATCTCCTTACGGATCAGCTCCTTCTCCATGGCTGATGCAACAGGAATGAACTTGGCAGCGAAGATGTTGCCCGTCTTGCGTTCTCTGCACCGGTGAACGACACCGAAGGCGCCTGTGCCAATCTCCTCCAAGATGTCATAGTATTCGTAGACAGAGTCATGCTTGATATCGACAGGCTGTGGCACGTACTTAGAGTAAACATCAAACACAAACTGGTCGTAATCATCAACAGATTCCTTCCTACCGCGGATCTTCTTGCCAGTCTCATCCACCTCGTAGACCTTCTTCTTGGGTTTCTTGGTGAGAGGTGCCGGCGTCTCCACCACACTAGTGACAGCGGACGGGTCGGAGCGGCCGTAGACGTTCTCGGCGTATACTCTGAACTGGTACTTGTGCCCAGGACTCAAGCCCTTGATCTGGGCGGTGGTGAGGCGGGTGTTGGAGCATCTGATCCACGATTCCATAGGAAGCTCGCGTTTTTCGATGATATAATTGTTGATATTTGCTCCGCCATCCCAGAGGGGAATCTGCCAGGTGAGTACACATTCGGTACCAAGGATGCTCTCCACCTTGGGCAGGCGTGGAGGATCTGGACGGTCTGTACAGGTTAAAGGAATATCATTTTGTAATATCATGAACAGACACAAATTTAATACTGTGAAAAACAGCCTTTATTAGATGATCAAATAGTCTATATTTTTATTTTTCTACAGCTGCAAAAATTAAGAGACTGAATATCTTCTCATGCAGTGACTTCGAAAATAATCTTATTTGTCATGTAATACTGTTAATCTCCCAGTCAGTAATCTGCAAGAGCAGGATTTACAAAATAGAATTTCTTACTTATCAAATAAATTATTGGAGTAAAATACGGTTAAACTCACAGGTGTAGGCTTAACACATGCTATTTACAAAGCATACGATGCAATTTATTGGAAGGATATCAAAATGGTCAAACCAGACTTATAGCTAAACGTTAATATAATTATATATTTAGCTTGCCCAATTCCCCGAGATTTAGTCAAAGTGAAGAAAAACTGTCTTAATTACTTTAAAGCAATTTCACTTGATTATCTTAAGTAATTTTAGCTTTAAGAATTACCTGAGATCTGAATCTTGATGATAACAGAGTCGGAGCCGAGTTCGTTCTCGGCCGTGAGCCTGTAATTGCCAGTGTCGAGGTTGGTGACGTCCCGCAGGGTTAGGATTGCGTGCCTCTGCTGCGTCTCCACCGAGTAGTGACCGCCAGATTCGATGGTCTCGCCCTCCCGCTGCCAGGTGATGCGTGGGCGTGGGTTACCAATGAACGGAATCTTAATGACAGCGTTCTCACCCTTGTCGAAGAAGGCAGTGTCACGGAACCTGGGAGGAACGTTGATCTTCGGCGCCACTGCCCGGAGGAGAGGAAGGAACATATCATTATGAGGCTTTGCTCTTGACCTTAGACCCACTTTTCGAAGGTTACAAGGTGCTCTATATTTGATGAGAGTATTGTTAATATTGTTAGGCTTTCAACTCATGTGTTTTTACCTAGTTATGAGATGGGTTACTAAAGAATGGAGATTTTAAAGCAGTAAATATATAAACATGATTTCTGAATTAGAAAATATGAAATACAAGTTATCAACTATGCAAACAGCTTCATATTACTATTTTAACTAACTGCAATGTACAACAGCTGCTGGAGAGAACTACTTACGTTTAATAGAGATATCTGCCTTGGTGCTTCTGATGCCACCTGAGTTCTGCGCCCGGCACATGTACTCGTCTTCGTCCTCACCGTAGACGTCGTGCACCGTCAAGGTATAGGTGTCCCCATCACGGTTCATGGCGTACTTGGCGCTGTTGCACAGCTCACGCATGCCCTTGAACCAAGAGATGTTGGGTCTGGGTTTGCCAGCGATCTGGCAGGTGAGTGTGGCACTTCTGTGTTGGAGAGCCATCACGTTGCGCAGAGGTGTTATAATCTCTGGTGGAGTAGCGGCGTTGGGGTCCTTGATCCTGACGGAGGTTGAACATGTGGAAGGTTCGGACATGCCAGCATCGTTCTCTGCAAACACTCTGAACTCATATTGGCGGTCCTCGATGAGATTGGACACATTGATCTGTGTTGGCAAGCAGATGTACTGGTTCACCATTGTCCAGATGTTAGAACCAATCTCCCGCTTTTCAACCCAGTAGCCCTTAATGCGAGAGCCACCATCATGAGCAGGTTTGTCCCATTCCAGGTGTACGAAGTCGCCACCCACTTCTGTGACGTTGGGGGTGCCTGGTGGGGATGGTGGGTCGTAAGGAGCCTTGGCTTTGATGGGGTTTACGCCTGTCAGAGGAGGACCCATGCCGTTCTCGTTGACAGCCATCACCCGGAACAGATATTCCTGTCCCTCAGTAAGGCCCTGAACGGTGAATGAACAATCCTTGCAGAAGGAATTAATGGTTATCCAGTTGGCATACGTGATATCCTTGCGTTCAACTACATAGTGAGTGACAGGCAGTCCGCCATCATAGACGGGAGGTCGCCAGGCGAGGTTGCACATGTGGCGACTGATGTCAGTAACATCAAGAGGGGCGGTCGGGGCACCTGGCACACCTGTGATGTACACGATGAAGTTACCAGTGACAGAGCCAGAGTCGTTTTTGACAGTGAGTGTGTACTGGCCAGCATCCTGCTTCACCACTTCCCTGATGAAGATGATTATGAATTCATCGAAGACAGTGAACTTGAGACGCTGAGACTCCTCCACAGGCAAACCATTCTGGGAGAGTGTAACATCGAGAGGCAAGTCACCAGTGAAGTAGATCTTGATCTTGGTGTTGTCGCCCTCAGGCAGGTAGAGCGCATCTTGCATCTGAGTGATGCGAGGAGGGTTGCCAATCTTAACGTGGGCGATAGAAGTGGCCTGGCCAGCGTCGTTGGCTGCTACACAGGCATAGTCGCCCTCATCCACCTCCCACATGTCAGAGATAAAGAGCTTGAATTTACCTTTACTCTCCTCTGAGGTGATGCGACCACCAAGTGTGACCTCGCGGCCGTTCCTCAGCCAGCGAGCGGTGGGTGTTGGCTTACCCTCAGCTTCACACTCCAGGGTGACTGACTTGTGTAAGGCTACTGCAGTGTTCTGCAAGTTCTTGACGAAGAACGGTTTTTCTCCTGGAGCCGCCTCACGGATCTTAACCGGTTGAGCACTCTGTGATGGATCAGATTTGCCGGCTGCATTGATGGCATATACACGGAACTCAACCTCAGAACCTTCTGTCAGATTAAGAACAGTGTACTGAGTATCGACAATGTTGTAGTCGTTGCACTTCATCCAGATACTGCCAAGCTCACGCTTCTCTATCATGTAGCCAGTAATGCGGGAACCTCCATCACTTTCTGGGACGCTCCACTTAAGATCAACGTAGTTCTTGCCGATCTTAGTGACAACAGGTGTACCAGGTGGAGAAGGTACTGAGTACTTACCCTTCATCTTGATCTTTTTGCTAGGTGGAGAATATTTGCTAAAGCCAGCAGCATTCTTAGCCTTGACACGGAACTCGTACTCATGGTTGATTAGCAGGGAGTGAACAGTGTAGGTGGTCTCTTTAACCAGGAAGTCGTTGGCGGCGGCCCAGTTGGTGTCGGTGACATCGCGGTACTCCACCTTGTAGCCCTGAATCTTCGAGCCACCATCGGAAGCCGGACGGTCCCAGGTAAGAACCACAGAGTTGATGTCGTGGTCCAGGATGTTGGGGCGACCTGGGGGATCGGGCACAGTGAATGGGAACTTGGCTGTGATGGGATCCAGGGTTTCCAGAGGGTCTGAAAGGCCATACTGGTTCTCAGCACGTACGCGGAACATATAGCTCCTGTTAGGCTCAAGTCCCATCACATCGTAGTGGCAAGAGCGAACAAATGCAGATACCTTAACCCACATGCCGGTGACGGGTTCGAGACGTTCCACCTGGTAATTGGTGATGGGTGAGCCACCATCGTCCAGGGGAGGACGCCAAGCCAGGGAGCAAGTATCGGGAGTGATGTCGGACACTTCCAGAGGGCCTTGGGGTGGAGACGGTCTGTCCACCACATTGACCTTGCATGAGCCGGAATCTGCCCCTTCACTGTTAGTGAGCTTGATGGTGTATTTGCCGATATCAGAGCGCTTGGCACTCTTGTTGACGAACACAGTGGAGTTGTTGCTGCTGTCCATATGGAACTGGACACGGTTGTCGGGGATGACCTCATTGGGTCCAATCCACCACTGGACCTTGGGCTGCGGGGAGGCAATGAAGGGCACCGTGATGGTGAACTCCTCGCCGGCGATCACCGTCATGTCACGGATGCTGAGATCAGAAGTGATCTTGGGAGCACCTGGTGAAGAGTGGCATTATTAGCAAGGACCTCAACTTGAACTATCGCCTTAATATATGTAATTACAAAGAATCATGGTTCACTAATTTGAAGTAAATTCAGAATGCGTACCAGAGAGAGATGAATAAAATTAAAGAATAAGTACCTCGTTTAATATATAATTCATTCAAAATGATTTATATATATATATATATATATATATATATATATATATATATATATATATATATATATATATATATATATATATATATATATATATATATATATATATATATATATATAGTTGTGCTTGCGGGGGTTGAGCTTTGGCTCTTTGGTCCCGCCTTTGTGTGTGCTTGTGTGTGTAAACACGTGTAACTGTACGCGTGAGTGCAACTAGCTGTGGCACTTGTGCCGGTGTATCAGAGCCTGACTACTTACGGAAACTGATACACTTGATGTTCTCGCTGGGGTCGCTCCAGGGGCCCTGGCCGGCGGCGTTGATGGCAGCGACGCGGAATTCATACTCCTGGTGCTCGGTGAGGTTGATAACGCGGTAGGTGGTGTCCTTGACCATGGCGTGGGAGGCCTTCGTCCAGGTGTTGTCCCCGACGATACGCTTCTCTACCACGTAGCCCTGGATGTGGGAGCCGCCATCGTGACGAGGCTTCGACCACTGGATGGTGATGGAGTCCTCGGTGGATTCCAGTCCTCGAGGGGCTCCTGGGGCGCCCGGAGGGTCTGTGGGATAGAACAATGAAAAGTTTATCATGAACTGAGAGCAGAAGTTAGTTATATTTTTATTATTTGAAAACCGTGATCAAAGGAAAGGACTGTATGTAGTGCAGCTTCGAAAACTTGGATTTGTGTAGTACTGATATTTTCCATTCAAGCAATTCTGAAATATTTTATACAACCAGCTACTTAAATTTCTCACTAGTACAAAACATTCATATTAGTTTATTACATATGGTAATGGTGAAGAGGGAGCTAATACTAACCAAATGGATGCCTGGCCCTGATGGGAGTGGGCGAGGTGCAAGGGTCGGACTGGCCGTACTGGTTCTCCGCCATCACCCTGAAGTCGTACTCGTTGTTCACGACGAGGTTACGGATACGGAGGAAGGGTGCAGTGACGTAGCTGCTGACCTTGGTCCAGTTGCCACGGCCTTCACGCTTCTCCACCACGTAGTTGGTGATCTCGGCGCCTCCGTTGTCCTTGGGTGGGTTCCAGAAGAGGGTGAGGGCATCGCCGTTGAATTCATCAGCGCGCAGGTTCTCTGGTGGCGCCGGCCTATCGAGAACGCGTACATTCAGTGACACAGAGTCAAAACCAGATGGGTTCTGGAGTCTCAGCTTGTATGGACCAGTGTCTGAGCGCTGGGCGTTGGTGACAATCATGGCACAGTAATCATCGGTGAGTTTCTCGTGGATTCGAGGATCGGCCCCAATGTTGATATCCTCATCATCGTGATACCAGGTAGATGTGGGCTTCGGGAAGCCGGTGTACGGCACGTGGATGGAGAAGTCCTCACCAGCCCGAACCGTGATGTCACGCACAGCACTAAGGTCGATGCGAGGCTTATTGGCCTGCTCTTCAATTTTAATAAGAGCAGAAGGTCGGGATGGAGCCGAGGGACCCACTTCGTTGACGGCAATTACACGGAAGTAGTATTCTTCGAGCTCCGTGAGGCCGAGTACAGTATAATTAGTGTCAGGATGAGGAAGGCTGTTAGCCGGCTGCCACTCGTCCTCGTCCTTCTGTCTGTACTCCACCAGATAGCCTCTGATTTTGGCGCCGCCGTCCTGGCTTGGTGGTCGCCAGGATAGGGTGACGCAGTTGCGGCCAATACGGTCTGGTCTGGGTGCGTCTGGTGGTCCAGGCAGGTCTGGGGACATAATAAATGCGTGAAAATAACATTCAACTCATCCTGCAGTAAGATAGTACATATAGCGGTGTGAAGAAATTTTCTTTTACAAAATGTGGAAAGTGGCACCAAAAACAGTTTATATTTTATACTATTGATATTGTAATTGTCATGACAAAATGTAAATACCTAAGCTAACCTTTCCTGTAATTAATAAAAGCAATTCTAGGCCTACTATAGTATTCATTTAAATTATATTAGTCCTAGGATAGGTTAAGCCTATGATTTACTTACTGGAATCCCTCAATAGATTAAGTTATTGTATTGTTTTCCTTCATATTTTTCCTAAGGATTAGAACAATTTCAAAAGTAACAAAATATGAACTTGTATCTAGGTACTGCAGGAAGACAGGAAGAGTACCCACAGTGGAACAGGAAGAGCATACCTTCATCCCTAGTCCTAAAGTGGCACTGAACTTTTACACCTCATTCCAGAGCACTTACATTTGGGCACCTTGGCTACGATGGAGTTGGAAGGCTTGCTGGGCTTGCCAGGACCCGCCTCGTTGAGAGCGATGATACGGAACTCGTAGCGGTTGCCCTCTGACAGTCCCTGCACCGTGTACTGAGTGTTGGGGGTCGGGTAGTGGTTCACCTGTAACAAAATCAATTCCAGTTTGTTCCCTTACCAACAACAGTGAATGTGGGTTTATGCTTCGACGGTCTAGCGCAAATTGTATGCTTGCAGAAGGTATTCGTTTCATTCTGGATAAATTTACAATTTTTGCTGGTGATAGCCAACGTTATATTGGGAGAATCTGGGGTAATATGTGTTCATTTTGATAAATTTTACAGGTTATCTGGAAGAGGAAGAGTGCGGTAGGAGGAGTGCGAAGAGGAGAAGGAACCGCAAGAAGATAATTAATCTAGCAACATAAGGAAGAGATAGCACTTCTCCTCACCCTTATCCAGTCTCCTCCACGCTCTCGCTTCTCGATGATGTAGCCGGTAATGGGGCGACCACCGGTGTCGGTAGGCGGCTTCCATTCCAGCGAGCAAGTGGAAGGACTGTAGTCGACGATGTCCGGCCTGTCGGGGGCCTCGGGGGGGTCGAAGGGGTTCTTGGCCTCCACCGGCTTGCCCTCCAGGGGCTCGGACACGCCGTACATATTCTCGGCGCGGACACGGAACCGGTACTTCTTGCCCTCCTCCAGGCCCTGTGGGTTGGTGGAGCTCCGGTTAGGAGAGATTCTTGTTGGTGACATGATGGTGATGAAGGTATATAGGGTCAGACTCTTCTGACGATGAAGGTATATAGGGTCAGACTCTACTGATGATGAAGGTATATAGGGTCAGACTCCACTGATGATGAAGGTATATAGGGTCAGACTCTACTGATGATGAAGGTATATAGGGTCAGACTCTACTGATGGTGAAGGCTGATGGTGATGGACAGATTACTCACGAGTAATGTATACGAGCACAACAGTGGTGATGGAGGTATATGCAGCACAAGTAATGACCAGGGTTGATTGATTAACTGATGAAGATTAAGCAACCCAAGAGGTGACACGGGCATGAATAGCCCGCCAGGTCAGTGGTGACATTGTCAAGTGCACGCTCGTGTAGTCCACGTGGGCCAGCACAGGAAGTGCTCAGCTTGTGGCAGCTAGAGCTCTCTGAACACGTCAACAGTGTTACTGTGGACAAAAATAAATGTGTGTGTGTGCTTGCGGGCGTGTACGTGTGTGTGTGTGCTTGCGTGCGTGTACGTGTGTGCGCGTGGCGGCTAACTTGCCTTGACGGTGAAGTTGGGCTTGGGGCAGTACCCTGGCACGACCTTCCATATGTCGTAGTTGGCGTCGGTCTTCTCTACCACGTAGCCTGTCACCTCAGCGCCGCCATTATCCTGCGGCGGCTTCCACGAGAGGGACACCGTGTGCGCCGTCACCTCCGTCGGCGTCAGCGGGCCAATAGGAGGTCCTGGCTTGTCCACCACGATAACCTGTGAGGGAGAAGGTAGAGGTAAGTGTGAGGAGAGAGAAAGAGCTAAGCCCGTGTGGCAATATATCACTTGGAAAGCATACGACGACAAGGACACATGCACTAAGAAGTGGGATATGAGGACGGCGTGAATGAACGGTGGTCAACGACGTGAGCACCATCGCGGGCCGAGCCTAGACCCCCGCCTGGTGGCTGCAGGAACTCGTCCATATAATATATACATCTCAGTTTGGACACTGTCGACAGCAGCGTCCAAAATTAGGTGCGGAGGGGATGGGGGCGTTGATGGGGGTGTCAGGGGTGATGGGGTTGGGGGGAGAAAGAATTGGGAAGATAGGGAAGTAGGGGGAGAAGGGAGAAAGGGGGTGTAGGGGAGGAGGGGAGTTATCACTGACCTCGATGTCGGCGGAGTCCTTGCCATAGGGGTTCTCGGCGGTGATGGTGAAGGTGCCAGAGTCCTCCCGTCGGGCCTTGTCCACGAACAAGCGGCAATGGTCGCTCGTCGTCTCCATCTGACCACCACACAAACCAACTTTGTTAGTCAAGAACTTGTAATGAGCCCGTTTTCTATAGTAATTATCAGTAGTAATTTGACTTTACTTCGAGTTTATGTGCTTTTTTTTTTAGTTCAAAATATTGTACAGTTTATTTTCAGAATTTGGCGAAAGGCTTGTAATTAAAGAAACGTAGACCTTTTTTTAAACTATCAGTACGTCATACGTATGCTGTTAATGTTTCCAACATTGGAGAATCTAATGTAATTAAATTATTACACCTAAATATATAGTAGCATTGTTTAATTCCCACAATACATTATACTTTGGTTTATGAGCGAAGTTCACTTGAATCTTACAATAACACTTTTGTTATGGTCGCATTACCTGCACACATCCTTATCACTCATCTATCATTAACTCAACTCAGCAGGGTAAAGAACATAGTGAACACTCGTTTCAAAAGCACTCTTATTAAGCTTCAAGAAGCCTTCATTTGCATTCTTTCATAAGACACATTTATTCACCCTAACACCGATGCAAAAAAAAAGACATCCTTCATAAACTGAAACCTAAATATACAATATATCCTGTCCCTCACGTCCTGCAATCTGATCCCCATTCTTTGAACAGTGGTTTTATTCCTCAAGAACCCGCGTGCCTAAGAACCATTAAGGCCTTCTACTCCAGAAACCTCCTCGGGTCCTACAAGACGCTCTACCTCTGAACACAAGACCTCTGGCAAGGTCTCCCCTGCACGGTGCCTTGAATACTCACCGAAGTTCTCTTGCTGGGTTCCAGCTTCTTGCCCTTCTTGGACCACTCGCAGACGGGTTGCGGGGCTCCTGAGAGCGGGATCTTGATATCGATGGGCTCGCCAGCACGCACCTTCAGCTTCTTGCCCAGCAGACCGTCCAGGTACAGCTTGGGCGCCTCTGTGGGGAGGGGAAGGACAGTCTTGTTCACTTATATATTATGGGTCTGGATCTGCACAAGGGCCAATGTGCCGGCCTGAGTGTGAATTTACTATTTATGCTGGCAGGATCGACCTGTTAGCTCCTGGTTCCAGGCTGTCTAACCGTCGGTTGTTTAATGTACTAACTCCCGACCTATTTTTCTTCTATCATATCTGCTATATACTATGCTTACTGTGTGTGTGTGTGTGTGTGTATCGGAAAAAAAATCCGTTGATTGACAGTTGAGAGGAGGGCCGAAAGAGCCAGGGGCCAGATTCACGAAAGCACTTACGCAAACACCTACGAACCTGTACATCTTTCCTAATTTCTTTGACGGTTTTGTTTACAATTATTAAACAGTTAATGAGCTCCGAAGCACCAGGAGGCTGTTTATAACAATAACAACAGTTGAATGGGAAGTTTTCATGCTTGTAAACTGTTTAATAAATGTAACCAAAGCCGTCAATGATTGAGAAAAGATGTACACGTTCGTAAGTGCTTGCGTAAGTTCTTTCGTGAATCTGACCCCAGAGCTCAACCCCCCGCAAGCACAACTAAGTGAATACAACTAGATGAATATATCACCAGGAAGCAGCCCGTAGCAGTTGTCTAACTCCCAGGTACCTATTTACTGCTAGGTGAACAGGGGGGCGTCAGGGGTCAAAGAAACTCTGCCAATTTGTTTCCCATTGCTGGGGATCGATCCCCGGTCCCTAGGATTACGAATCCTCGGCACTGTCCACTCAGCTACCAGGCCTGTGCATGTGTGTGTGTCTGTGTGTCACACCTATATAGGCTTCACAGATCGGGTGCTAGTTCTTGGTCCCCAACTTTACTTGCTGGTAAGTGTTTACTGCAGAAACACAACCACTCATGTTTTCAAACTGTTTACAAAAATAGCTTTAATTAAGTAACTCTATTTCTAACCTATTCAATTTGCTCACCAGTATTAAGCAATATATACATGTATATGAATCGTAGGCGATCGGTAGTGAAGTGGTTTCAGTACGGTGTATGCAGAGTGTGTGAGCTCTGACAATGCAGGTTCGAGTCCTGGTTGGGTCATAGAGTTCTTAGTATATATATAACTGTGATATATATATGTATATTCATGGGATAGGGACCCTCCTTTGTTATATATATATATATATATATATATATATATATATATATATATATATATATATATATATATATATATATATATATATATATATATATATATATATATATATATATATATATATTTACATACATATTTACATATATATATATATATATATATATATATATATTTACATACATATTTACATATATATATATATATTTTATTATACATACACATAAACACAAGATTATGTTGATTTACAAATCTAGAAATGATGTGGATATAATAAGTGTTGGGAGAGTGCGACATGCAGTGTACTGACCGCGCATGGGCTTGGCCGTAATGGCTTGCGAAGGATCTGAGGGGTTCGAGGGTCCCATCTTGTTGTTGGCAACGACGCGGTACTGGTACTGCTCGCCCTCGTTGACGGAGTCGTCCACGAACTCTGTGGTGCGCACGGGGTCACGGTTGACCTTCTTCCATCGGCCGGAGTGGATGCCGCAGCGCTCAACGTCGTAGCCAGTGATGGGAGAGCCGCCAGTTGACCGTGGAGGGGCCCATGCGATCTTGATGAAGTCCTTGTCGGAGTCTGTGCAGCTCGGGCGGCCTGGCGCTCCAGGCACGTCTGTGGTGAAGAGGAAGAACTTATATATCACGGTGAAGATGCCAAATCCTCCAGAATATTCGCAGTAACTTCAGTTGGTTGATCCAATATAAATAAATCATTTGGTTCAATGGAAAATACATAATCATCATATTAGTTATCTAAAATCCACAAGTAACACCAACTGCTGAAGCAGTCGTGCATTTTTTTTCTACAAATTTGAATCATTAACTAAAAAAATGCGATTAATTTCGTAGTTGGGGAGAGGTAGTTGGGGAGAGACTGACCTGCGGAAGACTTGGCCGTGACTGGTCTGTCAGACTCGAGAGGTTCTCCGCGGCCCTGCATGTTCTCGGCCCTCACACGGAACTCGTACTGTGTGCCCTCCAGGAGGCGGGGCACCGTAGCGTGGTTCTGCTTGGGGTCCACCCAGTTCACTGCTGGCACCCAGCCTCCGCCATGCGAGATGTCGCGCTTCTCAATAACGTAGCCACTAAAGCAAGGATAATGCAAAATGAATATGTTAAGAGGTCGTGACGAGGCAGTGAAGAATTTCTTGATTAACTTTATGTTTATCATCTACAATGTTTTTTGTTAATTGATCATGGGTTATGTTGTATTATTTCCTCTACATTAGCTGGAGAACAATGGAGCACATGGAGCAATGTGCACAATTAAATAATAGGAGACATTAGCCCAGTAATGCAACACATCTAGAGTATGTGACAGGAAGCATGCAAATGATGAAACAGAAGCGAGGATGTTTAAAGGGAACTCACGTAATGGGGCTGCCACCGTCGTCCACTGGAGGCTTCCATGACATGACGACGCTGTTGGCTTGCACCTCCTCGTACACCAGAGGACCCTCGGGGGCGCCTGGGGTGTCCAGGACAATTACCTGGAAGGTGGCTTCGTCCTGGCCACTCTCGTTCTTGACCCTGATGCGGTACTCGCCGGAGTCGTTGCGCATCGTGTTGACGGTATGCAAGACACTGTGGTTGTTGATGGCTGTGATGGTGGTTCGCATATCAATCTGTAGCTCCTTGTCATCGTTGAACCAGAACACGTCAGGTTGTGGCTCACCAATGTAGTCCACGTCAACGTGTAGGACCTGGCCGGCCTTGATGCGCACATCATACAGAGGACCAAGAATTTTGGGTGCAACTGAAAGAGTTTGATCATATAAACTATTTTTCTGCGCAATTCCTTAGCATACATATAAACCACATTATATATATATATATATATATATATATATATATATATATATATATATATATATATATATATATATATATATATATATATATATAAATTCATCTATAATTAATTCTAAATTATTGTGCCAAAGGATTAGTTTCAAGACGGAAACAACAAAATTATCTGAAAGGGAAAAGACACTCACGGTGCCTGGGTCTGCAGATAACCGCGTCTGAGGGTTCAGATGGTTCCGAGTTACCAGCCTTGTTAACGGCTATAATTCTGAACTCGTATTCCTGTCCCTCCGTCAGGTTAGGCACTGTGCCCTTGGTCTCAGGGCCACTCACACGGGCTGCTGTCTGCCAGTATGGTGAGCCGCGTTCCTTCTTTTGAATGAGATAGCCAGTGATTGGCGCGCCACCGTCGTGCGCTGGAGGAGTCCATTCCAGGTCCACGTGATCACTGTCCCAGTCCACCACGTTGGGACGGCCGGGTGGGCTTGGCTCATCTGCCGGCACAATATTTGTCAGGACACAGAACACAGAATAAGAAACAAATTATATATATTTGATCAGAGTCACCTAAAGAAAGTATAATGTTCCAATACTCACCCTGGGCATTCTTGGCAATGATGCTCTTATCAGTGCAGAGAGGTTCGGATTCGCCGATTGCATTGACAGCCTTCACGCGGAAGTGGTACTCCTTCATATGAACGAGGCCGTGGACTTCAGCCACTAGACCTGCTACTTCAGCTGCCTCGGTCCAAGTGCCGCGAGATACGTCCATTTTCTCTACCAGGTAGTGTAAGATGGGAGAGCCACCGTCATCGATTGGTGTCTTGAAGGAGACCTTGCAGCTCTCTCGTGTGACATCGTACACGTTCAGTGGGCCCTCAGGACGAGATGGCCGGTCAAGGACGATCACAGTGCCTGAAGCAGACACTTTGCCAAGGTCATTTTCCAGGGTCAGGGTGTAGCGACCACTGTCAGTGCGCTGAGCGAAGGGAATATCCAAGATAGTCTGCTTGCCGTAGGTCTGCAAGTCCACTCGTTCGGACTCGACGACCGGTGAACCATTGACGGTCCAGGATACCTTGGGTCTCGGAGCTCCACGAATTGGCACCGTGTAGTTGAGGCGCGTGTTGACCTTGATGATAAGGTCCTCCAGATCCTTTGTGTCAATACCCGGCTTCTCAAAGCGAGCCTTGCAGACAACTGGTTGTGAGGAATCAGAAGGATCAGAGTTTCCTGCTTTATTGACGGCAATAACACGGAACTGATACTCCTCACCCTCAGTAAGATCAGGTACAGAGGCCTTGGGTCCATGCTTGGCTGGCAACTCGAGGGCCTTCTCCCATGGTCCAAACCTCTTCTTCTTTTCGACGATCCAGCCAGTAATGGGTGCACCGCCATCAGAGCGAGGTTCTGTCCATTGGAGATCGACACGATCCTTGTCCCAGTCCATAACCTCTGGTGTTCCAGGTTTGGTAGGTTTGCTGTATGGATCTTTAGCGGTGATGGTGTCCACACCAGTACATGGTGGACCCTGACCTTGTCGGTTGACGGCTGACACACGGAATTTGTAGTCGTGTCCTTCAATAAGGTTGTCCACTTGGAAGTGTGTGTCCTTGACTTCTCCACAGGGTACCCAGCGGTAGGTTTCCATGTCCATCTTCTCAACGACGTAGCTGGTGATCTCGGAGCCACCGTCATCCTTGGGTGGCTTCCAGGCGATGGAGCAGCCATTGCGGTTAATGTTGGAGAACTTGACTGGTCCTTCGGGAGCCCCAGGCACGTCCAGGACAGTGATGTTGACGGTACAGGTGTCTTCACCATTCTTGTTGCGAGCGTTGAGAGTGAAGGCCCCGCTGTCCGAGCGCTTGCAGTCCGTGATCTTGATAGTGGTCATGTAGTCTTCGTTAATGATAGAGAGGCGATCAGATGGATAAAGGTCGTTATCCCTGACCCTCCATTGCTTAGTGGCTGGTGGCTCTCCCACAACTGGCACCGGCAGGTTCAAGTTATCTCCCGCTTTAACCTTCACATCCATCATGGCATTGCGGTCAATGCGAGGAGGAACTGCAAAAGTATGGCACACAATTAGTGCACAATATACAGAGCCAAAACAATAAACACTGTACCAGTGTCAAAGTAATTAAGAATCACACACACTACAAGATATTATGTAACAAATTATGCAATGCAATCCAATTGCTCCTCATAGCTAACACTACGGGCTGCGATAGAGGTGCCAGGGTAGGCCTACTTACGGTTCTTGGGCCTGGCGACATGAGGCTTGGTGGGCTCGGAGGGCTCGCCGGGGCCGGCCTTGTTGATGGCCACCACCCGGAACTCGTAGACGTTGCCCTCCAGCAGGTCCGGAACGTGAGCCTTGCATTGGTCACCGTCCACCGTGGCGCACTTGTCCCACAACGGGCTGTGGGGTACACCATAGTGTTGTGGTCACGGTGGGAGGCATGGTGTGTTGTGGTCACGGTGGGAGGCATGGTGTGTTGTGGTCACGGTGGGAGGCATGGTGTGCTGTGGTCACGGTGGGAGGCATGGTGTGTTGTGGTCACGGTGGGGGGCATGGTGTGTTGTGGTCACGGTGGGAGGCATGGTGTGTTGTGGTCACGGTGGGAGGCATGGTGTGTTGTGGTCACGGTGGGGGGCATGGTGTGTTGTGGTCACGGTGGGAGGAGTGGTGTGTGTACTCATAGTAAGAGTATGTCGTGTGGGGTGAGTACTCACAGTAAGGGTATGCTGTGTGTCGTAATGTATAGTCGTAATGGCTTGGCGCTTTCTGCCGATAATTCCCCCCCCCCCTTCCCCAGGGCAGGGGTTACCAGATTTGGTGAGCGATCATGTAACAAGGAGGGTACTACCCAATGCTTACACCTCTCCCCACGACACCGGACTTAAAAAATGAAGGCTTACGGGCTCACCATAGCCCGTGCTACATGGACACTTCGCTCTGAGTAGCTAAATCTAAAACAACAACAGCGAATGAAGGCGTGTGCATCATAATCTTGTAAGGAATGAAGGAAGGAGGGAGGGAGGGAGAGAACTCTCAGGAGAAAGCGCCAAGCCATTAAGACTATATAGCACTTGGAAGGGGTCAGGATTTAAGATGGGGAGCGGGGTTAGGAAGGAATGTAATTACGTAATTATCACAAGAAGGCGCCAAGCCAGGAAGACTATGTAGCGAATGGAGGAGTGTGTCCCTCTTAATGTTTCATTGAAGGCAGCTTTAAATGAATGAGGTGGTATGGCTTTTAATGAATGAAGTAATGTGGCTTCTAATGAATGAAGAAGTGTGGTTTCTAATGAATGACAAAAATCTTCTTATACAATGAAGAAGTATGCCTTTTAATGAATGATGGATTATGCATTTTAATGAATGAAGCTTTTACGTTGTAACGAACTAGGAGTAGTAGGACCAAGTAATACCACATCGTGACGCGCGTGTGTATGTGTGTGTAATTACCTAAGTGTAGTTACAGGATGAGAGCTACGCTCGTGGTGTCCCGTCTTCCCAGCACTCTTTGTCATATAACGCTTTGAAACTACTGACGGTCTTGGCCTCCACCACCTTCTCACCTAACTTGTTCCAACCGTCTACCACTCTGTTTGCGAAAATGAATTTTCCTATATTTCTTCAGCATCTGTGTTTAGCTGTGTTTAGTTAGTGTGTGTGTGCGTGTGTGTGTGTGTGTGTGTGTGTGTGTGTGTGTGTGTGTGTGTGTGTGTGTGTGTGTGTGTGTGTGTGTGTGTGTGTGTGTGTGTGTGTGTGTGTGTGTTACTCAGAAGTGACACCCCAATGGAAACTTTTGCAATCGCAGAGGCTTCGTAAGATGCCAAGAACGAGCAAGGAGATATGAAGACACAGAAGAATAGAGGTGACAGGCTGGGTGATATCAAAATGGTAGGTGACATTCGTGTGTCAAACTGGAATGTTTGCGAGAATATTTTGGCACGTGATAACTGGCGAGTTGCCGTGGATGCTGTGCAGGCGTCTCTGTGACGGTGTTTACTGTGGCTGTTTACGGTGTTCATGGTGTTTGAAAAGCTTTGTTTACAACGTTTGCCTCGACCGTTACCTGATTCTACTTTTTGTTTCTGTTAATAAACAGGCTTGTCTGCATGACTGACTCCACAGGTCATTGTCACACTGACTTATTGAATTGTTCATCCTTGTCAGCTATCGATATTGTTTGTTCTCTATATCCGACCTCTTTAACTGTTAAGTATATGTCTACACTTATATCGGAACTGTTTAAGTGTTGAGAAGAACCACTCACTTGTATCTGTCTCTCTTCTCAATGATATAACCAGTGATGGGTGCGCCGCCGTCCGTCTCGGGCTTCTTCCATTCAAGATCAACGAAGTCGCAGTCGAAGTCGGCGATGTTGACGTCCTTCGGCGAGCTTGGAGGATCTGCCGGAGGAGAGTGAGATTAGGCTCAGAGGCTGTATTCGTCAACACTTGTATATTCAGGTGTTGACTACACCAATGACTGAAATTATGATTTGCTTTCATATGTTAATTCTCCATACAGATGAATTTACATACACATATTGGTATGGAGTTTAAATTTATATGTTAAATTTGCTGATTTATTAATGCATATAAGGACAGTTAATAACAGTTATTACCTCATTATTATAAATAGTTTCCCTGATGGTTGAAATATGTGGTGTGAAACCATATTAAAAATAATCATGACGAGGTGGAAGACTTCAATACTCACCGAATGGATTCTTGGCCTCGATTGCCTGCTGAGTAACCAGAGGATCGGAAGTACCCAAGCGATTGACAGCCTTGACGCGGAACTTGTACTTGTGACCTGGGGTGAGGCCCTCTACGTCAAAGGTGGTCTCCTTGCCAGCGGTCTCGCCTGCTGGGACCCACCGGCCGGTGGCTTCGTCGAGCTGCTCCACGACGTAGTGGTCAATGGGACAGCCCCCGTCGTCGGCAGGAGGCTTCCAGTCTAGTTTACAGCCCTCGGCGTATACTTCAGAGACCTTCAGTGGGCCCTGTGGAGTGCCAGGCTTATCTATGGAAGAAAGATTTGTCATAAGAATTCAGTTTTCTTAAGTCATGCGTATCTCATGTGTTATCATTGCCGGAAATAATAAAAGACTGCATCTGACATGTTATGAAGCAATATTATAATGCAACAAATCAGCCAATTAATAATGCAGTGCAACTCACCGAGCACAATGACCTCGACATCAGCAGAGTCCTTGCCATTGGCATTCTCTGCCACAATGGTGTAGGTGCCGCTCTGCTCCCTGGTGGCACCCGTGACGCGGAGCTTTGTGTTGTAGTCATTGTACCTGATGTTGGTCACGGAACTAGGCTTGATGTCCTTCTTATTCAGCAACCACTTCTTCTCTGGCACAGGCTCGCCGGAGACGTTGACATCAAAGACAAAGCTCTGGCCGGCCTTGACCCTGACGGGAATCAAGTTGGTGCGGTCGATCTTAGGAGGCATGTTCTTTGGCTTGACAGTGACAGGATGTGTGGCATCAGACGGGAGGCCTGGGCCAGCTGGATTGACGGCGCGAACACGGAATTCGTACGTCTCTCCTTCGATCAGGTCCGGTACAGAGCAACTGGTCTTGTTGGCCGGCACCTCACATGCCTTGTCCCACCCTCCGTACTTGTCTTTCTTCTCCACGATGTACTTCTGGATGGGAGCGCCACCGTCGCTCTTGGGAGGCTCCCACTTGAGGTCCACTTTGTTTTGGTCGTAGTCAGCAACCTTCAAGTTCTCGGGTTTGCCTGGTTCCTCTGTGGCAGAAAAATAAATCGTGCATTGACTAAAGCAAAAGTTTGTCTAAGTAAATTATGAAATAAATTCATTAATATAAAATATTGCAATAAATTAAGAATGTGTAAGAAAATATTTTTTTGCATAAATATAAATACCACAACATACCATAAGGATCCTTGGCAAGAACAGATTCCTCGGCGTTGAGAGGATCTGACTCGCCCTCAGCATTGACGGCTCTCACACGGAACTGGTACTCGGTGCCTGGGCTGAGGTTGTTCAGCTCCACTGAAGGCTCCGGCCCGGCCGACCGACCTGCTGGCACCCACAACCCTGTGTTGGGGTCCAGCTTTTCCACCTGGTAGTACTCGATGGGAGTGCCACCGTCGTCCTTGGGGCGCTTCCACTTGAGCTTGCAACCTGTCCCGCGGACGTCCGACACCTTGATGGGTCCCTCCGGTGGGCTGGGCTTGTCCGTGACTGTCACCCTGACGGTAACCTGGTCCTTGCCGGAGCTGTTGGTGGCGGTAATGACGTACTCGCCAGAGTCCGCACGCACGGTATCGCGGATCACCAGTTTAGAGTTGTAGTCGATATTTGCGATGGTGACATGCCTGCTGGCCTCCAGCTTACGGCCTTCGTACGTCCAGGACGCAGTTGGAGGAGGTTCGCCAGAAATGTCGCAGTCGTACTTGAGCATGGAGCCCGCGGAGATGGTGACGTCACGCAGGTTCTTGCGGTCGATCTTTGGCGGCACTGTTGAGACATAAAGCATCTTCATCTCTTTCTCTCTCTCTTTTTTAACTTATGTGTTCCTATATAGTTCTGTCTTTTTTATACTGGTGTGTTCTTATATATTTTTGTCTTTTTCATACTGGTGTGTTCCTATATATTTCTCTTTTTTATAATGGTGTGTTCATATATGTTGTTTTAAAATTAGCTACTCAGAACGAAATGACCATATAGCACCCATGTCCGTGTATCGTGAGCCTGTAAGTGTTCCTATATATATTTTTTTATACTGGTGTATTCCATATATCTATCTCTCGTTGAGTTTATATTATATACACATTACTGTAAATAACTTAATTTAAATATTTATATTCACCTATTCGTTTAAGAATTATGTTATGTCTATACAATTTTCTTGTCCGAATATTTACCTGTTTGTACTGCTTTGTCTCCTTATTCGCTGATATATCTTCCTGACCATCAACATAAATATATTCCATAACTTGGCTTTCCCTGAAGAATCATACGTTGATTGACACTTACCTCAAGGTGTCACATACCCACCCCCATCACACTCCCCAACCTCCCCAACCTTAGCTTAGCATTTTAAAAGCACCGAATCACCTTCTGTGGTTGATTGTTCAATAAACCCTTGAACTATATGTTTAACACATCTCTAACCCCGTCCATGGAGGACAGAAGAAAATGTATATATGATGGTTAGCATTGTAAATGTGTGGCCACGTTTGTGGTAGAAAAAAAAACTCCCCAACCAAGCAACTTGTGTTATCAGAGCGACGCTAAGAGGAGAAGACACACGTAGCTCAGAACGACTGATGAAATGGAAGAGATTTCTAAAATCTACACAAAATGGGGCCCAACTGCAAGACTTACAGAATCTGGGCTTGGCGATGATAGTCTTGCTGGGGTCGCTGGGTTCTCCAGCTCCTGCACGGTTAACGGCGGTGATGCGGAACTGGTACTCCATTCCCTCGATGAGGTTGGTGGCGGTGCCCTTGCACTCCGGCGTCGGCGTCTCACACGCCTTCTCCCACAGGTTCCTGGCGGAGAATGGATCACTTGAAGTTACTGATGAACCTCTGGACTCATTTCAATACCCTTCTATAAGGAGTAACTATTATACTGTACTATATATATTCATTTCTTTTAGTATTGCTTAACTCATACTCATTTGTTAATGTGGAGTATGGAGAAATTTATAAATGTATACTTAAACATGAATTGGTATAAGAAGGCTTATGAGTTCTGCCCGAAATGCTGTGGGTATTAGTGGCTTTACAAGATTGTAAATTACCATGCTATGTATTCTCACAAACCCAATGTACACTCTTGTATATAAATAAATAAATAAATACATAAATAAATAAATAAATAAATAAATAAATAAATAAATAAATAAATAAAGTTAACTTATGCCGTGCATAACTAATGTTTGTGTAGTCATTAACAATTATATGAGCTTCATAACGAGAACTTACGTGTATTTGTCTCTCTTCTCAATGATGTAGTGAGAGATGGCGGCACCACCATCTTCCAGGGGCATGGACCACTTGAGGTCAATATGGTTGGAGTCCCAGTCGGTGGCTTCTGGAGCACCTGGCTTGCCGGGCACGGTGAAGGGATCCTTCGCCAGGATGGGTGAGAGGGTCACCAGAGGCTCCGACTCGCCCTCCTTGTTCACAGCCTTTACCCGGAACTCGTACTCGTGGCCAGGAGTTAGATCCGTCACCTCCATGTCAGGTGTGGAAGTCTTGCCTACTGGTAGCCATAGGCCCATGTCGGGGTCGAACTTCTCCACCACGTAGCCTTCGACGGGAGAACCGCCATCGTCCTTTGGCGGCTTCCATTTGAGCTTACATCCCTCCTTGTGGACGTCTTTCACTTCAATTGGTCCCTCTGGCTTGCCGGGCTTGGAGATGACAGTGATGGTGATCTCTGCTTCATCACGGCCATGCTGGTTCGTGGCCACGATCTTGTAGACACCTGAGTGCTTGCGGAGAGGCTCGTCGTTAATGTACTTGGTGTTGTACGGCACATTTTCAACACGTAAGTCTTTGGTCTCCTTGATGGGCTTCTTGCCATGGAACCACTCGACTTCTGGCGGAGGCTCACCAATCACCTTCACGTCCAGGAGAATGGGCTCTCCCTCGCGTACCGTCAGATCCCGAAGGTTGCGGCGGTCGATCTTGGGCGCCACTAAAAGAAAACAATCAATTAAAAACTTAAATGAAGAGAAACAATGAAGGGAAACATTTTATTTGTTTATGTGTAACCTTACCTACACGGGAGCTCTTGTCCCCATGTAGGTAAGGTCAGCTGTGTTCATGACAGTGATACCTTGTCAGTGCTTGCTGGGGAAGTGCTAATTTAAACATCTGTGCAAACAAAAATAGCAACTGAAATGTAATAAAAATAACAAACTTACATTTCCTGGGCTTGCAGGTAATAGGAAGGCTGGCTTCTGATGGGTCAGACGGACCGGCCTCATTCACCGCCCGGACTCGGAACTCGTAAGTCTCTCCCTCGTCGAGGTCATTGACTCGACCTTTAGGCGTGTCGCCCTTCACCTCCGCAGCCTTGACCCACTTGCCAGTGAGTTCGTCACGCTTCTCAATGATGTAGCCAGTGATGGGTGCCCCATTGTCCTTCGCGGGCTTGGTCCACTTCAGTTCTACAAAGTCTTTGTCCCAGTCAGTGGCCTCAGGCTTGCCTGGTGGATCGGGCGGGTCGAAGGGGTTCTTGGCCACGATGGTATCAAGGCCCTCCAGAGGTTCAGACTCGCCTTCGCTATTAATGGCCGAGACACGGAATTTGTACTCATGCATGGGCTCCAAATTCTCCACAGCCATTGTTGGTTCTCGGGACCTGCCTACCGGTACCCACCGACCAGTCTCGGTGTCCATCTTCTCCACGATGTACTGCTCGATGGGCGCTCCGCCATCGTCAAGGGGTTCCTTCCACTTCAGAGTGCAGCCCTCTTTGTGGATGTCTGACACTTTTAGTGGACCCTCTGGTTTTCCGGGCTTATCTGTAAAAAAATATTGCAAGCCGTAATACTCCACCAACTTTAACTAGTATTTGGAAAATTGATAAAGTAAATTAAAATTAACGCTAAAACAAGTCATTGGTTTATGCTAACGTTGGCTAATATGGTAATATTTTAAACAATTCGATAAGTCAGGCAGCACAGAAGAATTTGATCATTCCAGTCCTAGATTGCTTCAAATTGCTATACAAAACAGCCATAATCCAGTACTGTGCCCGGGGAGAGAGAGAGAGAGACTTACCGAGCACGATTACCTCGATGGTGACCTCATCGTGGCCGGCCGTGTTGTCGGCCTTGATGACGAAGGTGCCGTTGTGGGCGCGCGTGCAGCTGGCAATGACAATCTTAGTGCGGTGGTCCTCCTCGTCGATCTTGATGCCCGGCTGGTCGTTGTCCTGTCGCGCCTTGTTGATGAACCACGTCTTCTTGGGTATCGGCTCGCCAGTCACGTTGCAGTCAAACTTGATCATTTGACCAGCACGGACGGTGATGTTTTCCAGGTTGGTGCGGTCGATCACAGGAGCCACTGTAGCCAATACAGTCATTAGTGCTACTGTAGTGCATGCGTATATATAACTAGGTAAATAAACACAAATACTGTACACAATAAGAGTTGATGGAAACACAAGCTCTCTACTTACAGAACTTGGCCTTCGCGGTGAAGTTGTCTGAAGCATCAGAAGGCTTGCTCTGGCCAGCTTTGTTGACGGCCTTGACGCGGAACTGATAAGTCTCGCCTTCAGTAAGGTCATTGACCTTGAACTCAGGCTTGTCGCTCTTGGTGTCACAATGCTTGACCCACTTAGCGGCGTACTTGTCCTTACGCTCGATGACATAATGGGAGATGGGGGCGCCACCGTCGCTCTCAGGAGCCTTCCACTTCAGTTCGCACCAGGTACGGTCGAAGTCCTTCACCTCGGGCTTGCCAGGCTTGCTGGGTGGGTCTGCAACAGCGAGACTCAAGCCAGTGAGCTTCTCATGTAAATATAAGGAAGAATGTAGTAATTATCAAGCTAACGTTGCCATATAGCCACTTCGATGCACAGTTCAACCCAAAGTGATCAATAGATGTTGAAGATGCGGACACGAGAGTAGAACATGCAGGGATCTATATGAAAGAAGTATGATCCTCCACGAAGGAAGAAGATATCAACTCACACAAATACAAACACCGTGAAGCCACCAGAAGCAGCACTTACCGTAGGGGTTCTTCGCCCTAGTAGCAGTGTCAGTCTCCAGCGGCTCTGACTCGCCCTCAGAGTTAACGGCCCTCACGCGGAAGTGGTAGTCCTTACCCTCCGTCAGTCCTGGCACCTCAGCCTCGGGGGTCTAGGAAGGAGAGAGAGATCATTAAGCGTGAGGTTCCCTCTCATTAGGCTTCTCTGGTGCACCTTCACACCTTCATATTGCAATAAGAACCATGACAAATATTCCCAGGGTTTTATGTACAAGGAATTAATTATATTTGCCACTCTTCGAGCTGAGGAACCTGATATGAACGACTAAATCTCTATTGGCGCATCTTCAAGGAATACGCGGTGATGATACCTGTAGCTGGAGGCAGCGACTCCTTTTCCCAGTGACCTAGACTGTGAGAGTGTGTGTGTGTGTCCGTGTGAGTGTGAGTGTGCGTGTGCGTGCTCCAGTGTTTTCTTGCAATTTGTGAGGGTTAAACAAGCAATACCCCAGTGAAAAGTGCACAATAGTGAATAAATGTCTGACAATCGAACTGAGAGCAACAGAAGTTAGAGAAACAAACTATAAATATAATTTTTTTAAAGTAATATTGTAGAAGCACCCGGTGGGAGTGAGGAGGGTGGAGGCAGGTAGCCAGTAGCCTCATTTACTTTTCTTTTCAAAAGTAAAAAAAAAATGGGTATTATACCCCCTCTCAAATCTAGCTTTGACTTTTGCCTAAGACAGCTCATGGAAGACATCTTCCTTAAGTAACCTGTCTTAGGTTAAGTTCAAAGCACAGTGTGAGGAGAATAATATCTAATGTTCTATACAGAGGCCACTCCAGACCGACAACCAGAGCGCAACGCCATAGTCTCCTATGGCTGATGGACGCCTACTACTACTATACTCTGGAGGCATAACCACTCAGGAAATAACACTTAGTACATTGGAAGAAAAAAATGATGTGACAACGTGTTAGGTGAGGAAGGCGAAGAAGAAGAGCACCATGCCCTTACCTTGGTCTCCTTCACAGGCACCCAGCGGCCGGTCTCCGTGTCCATGCGCTCCACGACGTAGTGGTCGATGGGCTCTCCACCGTCGTCCTCCGGAGGCTCCCACTTGAGCTTGGCAGACTCGGCCGTCACGTCAGACACCTTGAGCGGACCCTTGGGCTTGCCCGGCTTGCCTGGTAAGAACATAAGAACATAAGAATAAAGGTAACTGTACAAGGCCTATTGGCCCTTACGAGGCAGCTCCTATTTACAATCCCACAATCCCACTCATATATATGTCCAACCCACGTTTGAAACAATCAAGGGACCCCCACCTCCACCACGTTACGCAGTACATGGAAAGTGGGGGAAGAGGAGAAGAGTGAGGTTCGGACCCCTAGATCCTATCGTTTGATGTGCTCAGCGCTTCAACTGAATGACAGACAGAGGCTGAAAAGTCCGTGACAGTTTGTTGATCCATCAACATGAATGAATATAAAATGTTGCTCAGCCCCTGAAGATAGGCAGGTCAGTACTTAAATACAGTGGACGGACAGGTAAAACAAGCCAACAACAGATACAGAGCTTAATACAGACACTTATGATACAGAGATACACAACTTAACACACACTTCAGTGACAGATGCACAGCTTAACACAAACACTTACGACACACAGCTTAACACAAACACTTACGACACACAGCTTACCATAAACACTTACGACACACAGCTTAACACAAACACTTACGACACACAGCTAAACACAAACATTTACGACACACAGCTTAACACAAAAACTTACGACACACACAGACACACAGCTAAACACAAGTGACGCTCACCAATCACGATAAGATCCAGCTCGGCCTCATCCGTGCCGGAGTCGTTCTTGGCGAAGATCTTGTAGACGCCGGTGTCGGAGCGCTTGGCCTTCCTGATGACGATGGTGGTGAGGTGGTCCTCGCTGGTGATGGTCACCCGCTCGTTCTTGATGGGTGCGCCCTGGAGGCTCCAGGTCACCTTGGGGTCGGGTTCACCCTCCACCTTGGACTCGTTCTTGAAGGTGATGCCAGACCGGATGGTTTTGCGCCCCACACTCTTGCGGTCAATGCGCGGTGCCACTGTTGATACACATCAATGTAAGAGAGAGAGAGAGAGAGATAACAAAGATAACAAAGATAGATTTTATATCAAACGGAGAATAATCATTAACACACGCAACAATTAAACAAATCCGTGATGACTACCAGAATCAACACTAGAGTGATGACTAATGTTATCGCCACGACGATGACTTACGGAATCTGGGCTTGCAGATGACCGAGTCGGAGGCGTCAGAGGGCTCGGAGGGTCCCGCCTTGTTCTCGGCGACGACCCGGAAGAGGTACTCGTGGTCAGGTTCGACGTCAGTGATGCGGATAGAGGTGCGGTTCCCAGGTCCGCTGCCGCAGGGCGTCCACCCACGACCAGTCTGCGGGGGAGGTCATATAGTCAGCTGCTGCTGCTGCTCCATGTTACGGAGGCAATGCTGTGTACTCAGTGCTTCAACCAAAACCATTTGTATTATTGTGTAAAATTATATGTGTGTGTCTGTGTGTGTGTGTATTTCCGCCCGGAGGCTTCCCACGTACCACGTCCCGCTTCTCGACGATGTATTTGGTGATCTCGGCCCCACCGTCGTCCTTAGGCTTGGCCCACTCCAACTCCACGAAGTCCCGGTCCCAGTTGGTAGCCTTGGGTTTGCCGGGCTTGCTGGGCGGGTCTGTGGAGAACCAGAGACCTCCCCGTCACAATGTTGCATCATTTCAGGTCTGGGTTACGGAAAAGTGCATAAAATGAAAGGGATAATGAGTGAGAGACTGAGGGGGAATGTGTGAGAGAGGAGAGAATGAGTGAGAGACAGAGGGGAAAATGTGTGAGAGAGGAGAGAATGAGCGAGAGACAGAGGGAAAATGTGTGAGAGACTGAGAGGGTATGACAGAAATGAGTGAAAGGAGTGGGGGGAAAGAGGAAAGGTAGTGTGAGTGGGGAGATGATAGTACAAGTGGGGGAATTAGTGAAGGTGGATGAGATACAGGGAATATATTAGATATTGTCTGCTACAACCCATAAATACGTCAGCAGTGAACACAGGTCACTGTCATTTTCGTCGGTGCCATCCGACGCTCCTGACGAACTCACCGAAGGGGTTCTTGGCGATGATGGCCTTGTCGGCCTCGAGCGGTTCAGACTCTCCCTCGGGGTTGACGGCCTTGACGCGGAACTTGTACTTCTTGCCCTCCTGCAGCCCTGTGACGTCGAACTCCGGGGTCTTGGACTCTCCACACGGCATCCACTGACCGGTGATCGGGTCCAGCTTCTCAATCTGAGGAGGAACATCCGGGTCTCAGACGTGCCCTTCCCTACATGACGAAAACTACTCGCTGCTACGCTCTTCTAGTTATATATGAAGGTCATCAAATTATCCCAATTCTAGGATTGAACAATTAATATAACCTTGGTACACATGGTATTTCTAATTATATAACTTAGCATAAAAGACCTGGAATGGTGTGGCTAGGCAAGGTAAGTCTCGACATGGTAAGCCTACGCATGGTGAGACCAGACAATATAAATCTGGGCAAGGTAAGACCGGCCTAGGTAAGTCAAAACTAGATGAGATCGGCTTAGGTAAGTCTAGACTAGGTGAGAGCGATCAAGGTAAGTCTAGACTAGGTGAGAGCGATCAAGGTAAGTCTAGACTAGGTGAGAGCGATCAAGGTAAGTCTAGACTAGGTGAGAGCGATCAAGGTAAGTCTAGACTAGGTGAGAGCGATCAAGGTAAGAGTGAGGAAGGTGAGAGCCAACACTGCTCACCTCATAGTGGTCGACGGGCAGGCCACCGTCATCTTCCGGCTTATCCCACTTGAGCTTACATCCGTTGGCCTTGACGTCGCTCACCTCCAGCGGGCCCTTGGGCTTGCTCGGGGGACCTACCGGCGGCGGAGAGTCACAATATGCACACGGAGGGGAACACTCTATAGGTACCTACAGTCATATCGAATATTCTATGGGTACCTACAGTCATATCGAACATTCTATGGGTACCTACAGTCATATCAAACACGCTATAGGTACCTACAGTCATATCGAACACGCTATAGGTACCTACAGTCATATCAAACACGCTATAGGTACCTACAGTCATATCGAACACGCTATAGGTACCTACAGTCATATCAAACACGTTATAGGTACCTACAGTCCTTTCAAGGCTCAAGCGATAAATGATTCACTATTTGCTCTTCAGTACTCTTAAATAATGTTTACTCAAGAAAATATAGTGTTGAACACTGCAGGGTTGACAATCTAGAACCTTTGATATTAATAGAAGAGTAGTATAATTACGGAGCATTCAAGTTTATAAAGTGCATTACAGAATAATATATGTACATTGAAACAGTACAAAAAAATGTAAGTTTGGAAACTTTGTATGAGGAAAAATTGTTTATTAAAAAAGTGCGGAGAGAAAATATGAAATGGTTGACTTACTTGAAGGGTTGACTTATCTTCTCCCTGCTGGACAGCGGGAATATAACTGACACATATACTATAAGACAACACAAGAGTCAATGTATATTTTTACAGTAGGGAGAAATATAATTCGTGAAGACAATATAATGTGGGAAGATGGTGTGGTCGTAGACCTGCGGAGGAACCTACCAAGGATGGTGATGTCGATCTTGACGGAGTCTTCACCGTGCTCGTTGGTGGCGGTGAGGACGTACTTGCCAGACATCTTCCTCTGCGCCTTCATGATGAGCAGCTTGGTGTTGTTGCCGGAGGAGTCGACGCGCAGCTGGTCCTTCGTCACCACCTCCTGTCCAAGGATAGAGAGCAAGGGCTGGCGTGGAGCAATTGTCGGGAGGCAGCAGTGGGGTGCAGCGCGCGCCGGCGTCCACCCCATCAGGAGAGCGGCGGAGAGTTCCCGACACCATCACCACACCAGAAGAGGAGACGCACGGTGGAGGCCAGGTGGAGGAACAGGAGGAAAGGGCAGAGAGAGAGAGAGGGAGGAAGAGAGATAATCATGCATTACTACCAGAACTGCATGCCGCTATATATAGGCTTCCCCTCACAACACCCACACCAAAGTCGGTCACCTTACACTAACCCCCCAAAAAACTGTAAAAAATGTTTACCACTGAAATATGATTGATTTTAAAAAACAGTTTAATTAGTTGTACTATCAAAGTATTCAGTATATATATATATATATATATATATATATATATATATATATATATATATAAAGTGTGTGTGTGTGTAGAGAAACCTTAGTAATAGAGGGAAAAGATAGAAACCAAAAGGATAAGACATTACATAAACAAAACCAAAAATGCCCCAAAATATGACAAAATATTGTGCCGACCTTGTGTGTGGGTGCATCAGAACAGATCCTCAGGCAAGAGATCGGAGACCCGCCACTAAGACATCGCTCAACCCACAACACAAGCGTCTTGAGAACATCTTGGTGACGCGAAACATCCGCTCACAGCACATTATAACCAATAAGAAAGCCTAAATCAACCCATCGAGCTTAGTAGTGGTGGCGACGGGTCCCCGAAGTCTCTTGCTGAGAAAATGTTTACAAATGGTTAAGGTTAACTCCTACGTCCGGCAGACCTTTGGACTCAGTGAGGAGAACTACTCATAAGACCACACATATTTATGAGGAGGGGGGAGGACCCCCTACACTGTGTGAGCTGGTGTGAGGGCCTCATGCTCCCACCTCCAACATTCTCATGCTCTCCCCTTTACCCCCTCACACACTAACCCACCATACTCACACCCCGGCCAGTACTCATAGTTCCTCAGTCTACGTGATGTTGTCTCGTGAGACAGCATGGTTCAACTGCCTTCGTGAGTGCTGAGTCTCTTATCACCTGAATATAGAGTGTCTATGTGAAGCGTCTGACTTGAGTCATGAGTCTTATGGTGTGATTCAAGTGTGTGCTCTGAGAGTATGGTCTTATCCCAGCGTGCTGGTGTGTCAAGTGTGTCCACCTGCATGAGAGTTGAGTCTATGAGCTGGCTCGAGTGTGTGTACAGCAAGACTAGTATAATACAAAACTTTATCATCCAGATTATACATACCATAATTTAATTATAGAACTTTTGTTTATGCATATTGGTGATTTAAAAAATATATTATTTATTTTCACAGAGATTATAGACGTGTTTCTTTAGTTTATGATGAATGAGGAAGTTGATCTTGTTACATTTTGTAGTTTATTGTAGTTTGGTCATCCCAGTGATTTATTTATGATGAAATACTTAGTTTTGATTGCGGCGAGAGAGAGAAGTTTGGCCGGGACCAAGCTCCTGGTCTCCCGCACGCTCTTACACTCTACATCAACAACCATGATAGGCAACGTTCAAAACGAAGACGATGTTTAGGTTCTAAGACGAATTCCTTTCTATATCACCATTCTTCAAACGAATTTCTGATATGAGACGTCGTCTTAACACACGAGGACACTGTCAAGGTGATATAAGACACCGTCTTAACACACGAGGACACTGTCAGGGTGATATAAGACACCGTCTTAACACACGAGGACAATGTCAGGGTGATATAAGACACCGTCTCGACCATTCTAAGTGAAGGAAAACCCAAACATTGCGACTTTTATGAACGCGCTATCGTTTCACAACAGTGCTTTCAGGCTACCCAACATGCTTACTCTTCCGGTATTACCAGTGGGAGTTGGCTGAGATATTAGTGGAAGTGTCTACTGAGGCAGAGAGGGGGGTATGACGGCGGCGGTCGCTGTAACAAGGTGGCAATGGAAGCAGTGGACGACGTTGCAGCGACCGCCCACCACCGAAGACGCCCCGCGCCCACCCATCCCCAACGCCCACACAAGCCTCCATAGTGACAGTGTGACTGTTGATAATATTTGACGAAATGCAAGGGAAATCGGTAGCAGCAGGAGGCGGCGTGGATGGGTGCAGGAGGGGGAGGGCGGGGCGAGGATCTACGAGATACGCGCTACAGGACACCCCCATGCTGGCCCCACCAAGACACAGCATCACCAGCGGCGGGACTGATATATGCTGCATCTTGCCCGCCATCCTCCAGGACTGTGTGAGATGCTTGTGTGCTCATCTCCACTACACAGCTTCCCAACCCATGGTTTGTCCCCTACTCAAGAGTAAGTCTTGACTCTTTTTTAAGTCACCTCAGCCGCGGCGTGCTCCAACTCACAAGTAATACACCGTAGACGCTGAAACTAGGTAGTGTAGACATCCACATTGTGAAGGAACTAAAGCAGTGTGTGAGAAAATTAACACCGGGTTATATTGTGTAAAAGCGTGACGAGTTGACTTCTGTAGCGAGCAACGTTACATAACCTTTCCTTATGAAACGTTTCGCTCCTCGGACAAAACAAAAAACATTTAATGTTTTATATAAATCAACAACTAACAAATTACTTCTGAATTTAAAAGAAGCAAAACAGTAAGTTAAAATTGTTAAATATATCAGTAACAATTCTAACTCAAATGAATAAATGAGCTACCAAATGACCCATATATATATATATATATATATATATATATATATATATATATATATATATATATATATATATATATATATATATATATATATATATATATATATATATATATATATTTATATATATTATTGTTCCCTGAAAATGTTAGATTTAGTTAGGTTCACGGAGATTCTTACATCTAACCTAACCTAGGACGGGTGACATTTATGTAACTCATATAACTAGTAGAGCAGTTACATTTAAGTACGTTCTTGGCAGCATAAGCCGCCTGGACATTCTCATATAATTGATTAATTCTTATTTCGATTCTGAACCTTAGTACTAAAACACACACACAGACACACACACAGGTAGACAATCCCACCTCCTGTTGAGAGGCGGGAACAAAGAGCCAGAGCTCAACCCCCGCAAACACAACTAGGTGAGTACACACACACACAGTCATCGCGATAATTACACAGGACTCGTCACCTTCACTACAATCCTACCCATATCCTGCCCTATTCCAAACTAACACTCATTAATCCCATCCCCATCTAATCCCAATCCCCCATTCTTCTTACACATATCTAACACATTCATCCATCCTCATTTATCACCTACACCCAACCCTGTTCCTACCACCCACACCCATCTATGCATTCCCCCTCATACCACCTAAGTTCTAGACCCACCTATAGCACCAACACCCACCCCCAGCGCATGGAAGCCACCCTACCAGCGCATGGGACTCACTCCCAGCGCATGGGACCTCACCCCCAGCCCATGGGACCTCACCCCCAGCGCATGGAACCCATCTCCCAGCGCATGGAATCCATCCCCCTAGCGCAAGGGACCCACATCTTCCCAGGGCGGGAACTAACCTTGTCCTTGAGAGTCCAAGTGTTGGTAGGCTTAGGGTCGCCGATCACATCAATATCATAGAGATACTGCTGGCCGACCTTGATCACCACATCCTTAACATTGGTACGGTCAATGCGCGGCTTCCCTGTAAACACACACACGTGTTGTAAACATTGCACTGCGGAGTGGCGCGGCGTTCATTCGCGCGCGAAATGACACATAAATTTCATGTTGTATTTTGTACATGTATAAACGTGTCTCAAATACAATAGGTTGGTTCTGAAATGAAGGCAGATAAGCACAAATGTCGGTAGGTAGTTTGGTACACAAGTAATTGACTGTCTGAAACTACAGGTTTCCAGTTGGCTGCAACTACGAACCACAGTATATGGGGTCAGTACTCACAGTATATGGGGGTCAGTACTCAGTATATGGGGTCAGTACTTACAGAATATGGGGTCAGTACTTACAGAATATGGGGGTCAGTACTCATAGAATATTGGGTCAGTACCCATAGCTGTGAACTGCAGGGTAGCACTCAAGGAACTTTAGGGAAGTACTAGAAAACTTTATTATGGTAGTACCACGTAACTTTATGGTAGTACTTCATACAGTTTAGGGTAGTATTGTGGAAAGTTAAAGACAGTATTGCAGAAAGCTTTAGGGGAGTACTGCAGAAAGTTTAGGGCAGTACCGCGGAAAGTTTAGGGGAGTACTGCGGAAAGTTTAGGGCAGTACTGCGGAAAGTTTAGGGGAGTACTGCGGAAAGTTTAGGGCAGTACTGCGGAAAGATTAAGTTAGTATTACAGAAATTTTAGGGCAGTATCGCGTAAAGTTTAGGGGAGTACTGCGTAAAGTTTAGGGGAGTACTGCGTAAAGTTTAGGGGAGTACTGCGGAAAGTTTAGGAGAGTACTGCAGAAAGTTTAGGTTAGTACTCACGGAATTTGGCGCGGGCGGTGTGTGGGAGTGTGGAGTCTGAAGGCTCGCCCAGCCCTGCCTTGTTCACGGCTCTCACTCGGAACTCATACTTCTCTCCCTCCTTGAGCCCGGTGATGGGGCCCTGGCACACGTTGCCCTTCACCTTGCCCACCTCCACGAAGTTCTGTGGGAGATGTAGGTGGGTCAGTCTGGGAGAGGTGGAGGGGTCAGCGTGGGAGAGGTGGAGGGGTCAGCGTGGGAGAGGTGGAGGGGTCAGCGTGGGAGAGGTGGAAAAGGTCAGCGTGGGAGAGGTGGAGGGAAGCTGATGAGGGAGGGAATAGTCAAAACGTACACACTGTTGTTATCTGGAGATTTCACTGACCTCAACAAACACGATCGGAATGGTTTACTTACACCCACTCACACACTGCTAAGTACATCTTTATTAAGTGAAGCTGGAGCACTTACGTCAGCGTTCTTGGGTTTCATCTCCAGGACGTAGCCTGTGATCTCAGCGCCACCGTCACGGATGGGAGGGTCCCACTTCAACTTGACGCTGTTCTCGTCGAAGTCGACAATCTCAGGCAAGCCGGGAGGTCCTGGCTTGTCTGCAGGCCAAGATATAGTATAAGAGACGCAAACAGGCTTTTTAACGGCATTTTAAATAACAGGGAACAGCAGACGTCTACAGTGTGGACGTTGCCACATATTGCCATATTTAGCATGCACATGGTGCTGTATAAACACTGTATAGAACTTTATTTTTTGCCTAACTTACTGATCCTTTTCTTTTACCATTTGCATACATTTTGTTAATAAAGAGGGAATACACATTTTTAATACGTAGAATATATGGTTGTAGCAAGTTCCAGCGGGAGAGGGAATTACGAGAACGAAGCGATGACGAGGTGCGGGGGGGGGGGGGGGGGGGGGGGAACGTACCGAAGGGGTCCTTGGCGATGATGGCCCGGTCGCCGTCCAGAGGGTCAGACTCCCCTTCATCGTTGACAGCCTTCACCCGGAACTCGTACTTCTTGCCGGGCTCCAGACCCGTCACCTCGAGGTCGGTGGCGTCGCCGTCGGTGCGGCCGCAGGGAACCCACTTTCCTGTACCACCAACCACACAATGTTTACAATCGTGTTCAATAGTACTGCGTTGTGTTCCTCAATCAACTGTTATAGTTTTGTGTGTTTTATATACATATTAAGCATATATACATATAAATATATATATATATACCTTGCAAATCATAACAGACAGCCAATTATTGTGTGAAGGTTGACTTACCGGAAGTGACGTCCATTTTCTCAGCGACGTAGCCGGTGATAGGCAGGCCGCCATCGTCCTTAGGCTTCTCCCACTTGAGCTTGCAGCCCTCCTTGTGCACGTCCGAGATCTCCAGAGGTCCCTCGGGCTTGCCAGGTCGGTCTGGAGACACAGTGAGAGGGCTGGCTTAGACGTGGGTCAGGGCAATTGTATGAGCCGGGATTTCATGTACGCTGTATTGATGCGCGCCGCACGCACACACACACACACACACACACACACACACACACACACACACACACACACACACACACACACACACACACACACACACACACACACACACACACACACACACACACACACACACACACACACACACACACACACACACACACACACACACACACACACACACACACACACACACACACACACACACACACAATCAACTGTCAATCCAGATGATTGACAGTTGAGAGGTGGGACCAAAGAACCAAACCTCAACCCCCGGAAGCACAACTAGATGAGCACAACTACGTGAGTACACACACCCAGACATCAACTCACCCAAGACAATGATCTCCAACTCGGCCTCGTCAGAGCCGGAGTCGTTCTTGGCGTGGATCTTGTAGATGCCAGTGTGCCTCCTCTCAGCGTCGTTAAGGGTGAACTTGGTGAGGTAGTCCTCCGCCTGGATCACGTAGTTGGGTCCAGTCTCCACCTGGGGGAAGCCACAGCCGCCTCGTAATTAATCTACCCCTAGAACATCCACCCGTCTACAGGTTTAATTTATATCCACGAGAAATCTATACCAAGATCTACTTAGCGTTCAGGCATTTATATTATTAGTTATGTCATCTATTATCAAGCTGATGGGGGAGGACATTTCAGTGTGAGTCTTGAAGGGAATCTGCACTCTAATGAATATTCTTCAAGCTTCACACATTTGTTTTATTGTTCTTGAGCGCAATTATAACAGGGGAAAAGAAATTTTTATTAATACTCTCGTTCATATTAAGAGCTGACTGTTGCTGTTTCTTTAACAAAATAATCTCCTTAAATAGCTACAGACAATAAGATAGGAAACTGATAAAAGTGTTCAGTAACATTTGTGGAGCAGTAAAGGTATGACCCGTTGCTTACCTTCTTGTTCTTCAGAGTCCACCAGATCTCTGGAGGAGGTTCACCCTTCACGTCCACCTCGAGGAAGACCTTCTGGGAGGCGCGGGTCGTGATCTTCTTCAACTTCTCCCGGTTGATGAGAGGTTTTACTGTCGGGGAGCATGAGGAGCATGAAGAGCATTTTAACACCAGCGTGAAGACACGTCACGTAGTATCCCCAGGGAGGGAGGGAGGGAGGGAGGGAGGGGAGGGAAGGAGGGAAGGAGAGAGAGAGAGGGAGGGAGGGAGGGAGGATGGTGAGAGCAGGAAATAAGATAAGAGAGGAACAGGTTCCTCGGAGGAATTATAGATTTCCGGCCAAGGGGAGGATCCCAGGAAAGGAGGTATCCCAAGAGAGGAAGATCCCAGGAATGGGGAGGATCTGTAGAAACGGGGGATCCCACGAAAGGAGGGGGGGGGGAGCGCTCTCGGGAAAGAGGGATCCCAGGAATAGGGGGATGTAAGGACAGAGGAGATCTCATGCCAAGTGAGAGAGGAAGAGAGGGAGCGGGACATCAAGTACACCACAAAAGTGACGAGTCACACGGTTTGAACACCAAATAACAACCCCAAACAAGACGTGAACCCCCTATATATATATATCAACAGAGCTGCCTGGCCTCAGGTGCCGTAAACAAATACCCTTTACCAACATCAACACTGCATATCCCGCTCTACCCGTCAATAAACCCTCCGGTTACCTATCTTAATCATTTGGCGGCAAAGTCAACAAGGCGAAGAACGCGCGCGCGAAACTTACGGAATCTGGCCTTGGCGAGGTGAGGCTTGGTGGGATCGGAGGGGTCGCCGGGGCCGGCCTTGTTGACAGCCACCACTCGGAACTGGTAGGTGTTGCCCTCCTTCAGGCCTGGCACTCGGCACTCGGTCTTGGGGCCCTGGTGGTGAGAGGGAGACAAACGCAAGTCGACGTCAGTGGGTTGAATGAAGCGTCCTAAAGTTGTGATGACTAGAGTAATATTGTTCGTTGTCGTCTTGTCCAGCGGCAAAGGTCTTAACTGTGGGCTTCGACTGCCAAGTCTTGTGGTCCGTTATAAGATTTATTTGTTCAGGGCAAAGTTTTAACTTACACTACTCAGTCTTATAAGCTACCATGTTAATAGTTCAGCTCAAGGTCTAAGCGTTCACTACTAAGTCTTATCAGCTACCATAATACCATAATACTTAATCGTTCAGGTCAAGGTCTTACCGTTCAGGTCAAGGTCTTATCGTACAGGTCAAGATCTTACCGTTCAGGTCAAGGTCTTACCGTTCAGGTCAAGGTCTTATCGTACAGGTCAAGGTCTTACCGTTCAGGTCAAGGTCTTACCGTTCAGGTCAAGATCTTACCGTTCAGGTCAAGGTCTTACCGTTCAGGTCAAGATCTTACCGTTCAGGTCAAGGCCTTATCGTTGCACTTTTATGTGTTATCAGTCAACATTTAAGACCTAATTATTGATCCCAAAGTCTTAACGTCCACCACTAATTCTTATCAGCCCTTATAAGACGTTAACGTCCAAATCAAGGTCTTATCGACCACTGCTATGTCGTATCAGCCACTATAAGACCTAATCGTTGAGGTCAAGGTCTTATATTGACCACTACAACGTCTCTCCGTCCGTCATAGAGATGTCTACAGAAACCAAACATCGCCACTATTCTGGAAGTGTATTTAAGATATAAATCGTCCAGATATCGCAGGATAACAAATGCGATATTAACCTGGATAACATGTGCTGACGTGTGGTGCTATATTGCCCTGTGCTGACACGTGCACATGACAACATGTGCTATAACATGTTGGTATAAAATCAGGGATGTTGATTTGGGAAATAGAATACAGGGGTAACATAACCGATGTGGATGAGATAATGATGACGTGACCCCTGACCTCAGACTCGTGGATGGTCTCCCAGGTGCCATAACGCTCCTTCTTCTCAATGATGTACTTGGTAATGGGCGCACCGCCGGTGTCCTTCGGCGCCTCCCACTTGAGGTCAACGCGATCAACGTCCCAGTCAACGATGTCCGGAATGCCAGGCTTTCCCGGGGGACCTGCGTAGGAGAGCAGGTGAAGTTACCTCATGAAATGTCACGTCACTTGACCTATAAAGTAGAAACTTGCGAATTCTACCAGCGAAAATATTATTTACTTTATGAAGTGAAGCCTTACGTGAGACTACTTAATAGACAGAGTGATTAAGTGACAAGTTAAAAGAAGGTAGATAAGAGGCGAGAAAAGAGCAACTAAGAGCCAGAAAACAGAAGAAGCTGAATTTGAGAGAATCAGAACAGCATTTGGAACAGTTTATGTAAATCTGGAAGGGGGACGAGGACCTACCATAGGGATCTTTGGCGAGGGTGGAGTGGTCGGTCTCCAGAGGCTCGGACTCTCCCTCGTCGTTAATGGCCTTGACGCGGAAGTTGTACTCCTTGCCCTCCTGTAGCCCGGGCACGTCCATCGCCAGGTCCTGAAGAGGAGACGTCATCACTACACTACACCACACACGCCCAGCAGCTGGGCCCAAGGCCAGGGCACAACTCTCGCTCTGCTTCCTTCATATTTACTCGTGCACTGAAGCAGCAGCAAGCAGGCACACTACTCATGTTCATTTATGGCTCAGAAACACTTAGTAAGTAAAACGTGGATGGAAATGTCCATAGAGTTTTATACACGTTACCGTCCGGGCTGCATGCACTAGTATAAAGTTAGAATTTGTATCAGTATCAGATTTGAGATGGGACGGAGGGAAAGGAATGGTGCCCAAACACTTAGACGGTCGGGGATTGAACACCGACCTGCTTGAAGCGAGACCGTCGCTCTACCGTCTAGCCCAAGTGGTTGTAAGGGATGAATATCGTGGATGAAGCTCGTACCTTAGTCCTGCCGACGGGGACCCAGCGTCCGGTGGTGGGGTCCTGCTTCTCCACCAGGTACTCCTGGATGGGCTTGCCGCCGTCGTCGTCTGGCTTGTCCCACTTGAGTTTGCAGCTCTTCTTGGTCACGTCGGACACCTTGAGGGGACCCTTGGGCTTACCGGGGCCGGCTGAGGGCACGAGAGAACAGAGTCAGTGGCAGGAAACACACGAGTCGACCAAATCATTTAGCACGTATAGTGCCAGACTTGAACCTGAATCAGGGACATCTTAGGCCCAAATTTGGGACATCTTAGGTGTAAGTTTGGGACATCTTAGATGCAAATTTGGGACATCTTTGATTAAATTTTGAGACATCATAGAATCAAGCTTGGAACATCTTAGATCTAAGTTTAGGACATCTGAGACCCAAGTTTGGGATATATTAGACCCAAGTTTGGGACATAATAGACTCAAGTTTAGGATATCATAGACCCACATTTAGGATATCATGAACCCAAGTTTAGAACATCTTAAACCCAAGTTTGGGACATCTTAGACCCATGTTTGGGACATCTTAGACCCAAGTCTGAGTTCCGCATAACACTGGGTTTGGTTTAGTGTTGGGTTTAGCGCCTATCATCTTATGGAAAGTAGTGAAGGCAACAACAACAGCTCTAATGATCAAGCAGCAAGAACCCATTAGTCCTGAACATACTCCAGGACTAAAGTATACTCAAGTGTATATATTCCGAGAAGTGGGTTATACCTCTCAATGAATATATCCTCTGTATAACAGTCATTAGTGGGTGACTTGTTGAGAAAGTCAGCTGCTGTGTGTGTGTGTGTGTGTGTGTGTGTGTAATTACCTAAGTGTAGTTACAGGATGAGAGCTACGCTCGTGGTGTCCCGTCTTCCCAGCTTAGAAGAAGTGTTCCCAGCAGTGTGTGTGTGTGTGTGTGTGTGTGTGTGTGTGTGTGTGTGTGTGTGTGTGTGTGTGTGTGTGTGTGTGTGTGTGTGTGTGTGTGTGTGTGTGTGTGTGTGCGTGTGCGTGTGCGTGTGTGTTAGCTGCTAAGTGTAGTAAAGTCCGTTACAATGGATTCTTTCAGGGCATCGGGGCTACCAGGGGGTATATTGTTTGACCGTCGTAGCTTCCTCGTGAAGAATCTAGAGTCAGGAGCAGAGATGGATGGCAGGAGGGTCGTGTGTGTGTGTGTGTGATGTCGTACGATCCATCGAATGATAACTGATAATGTTGTACATCCATACGATGAGACTCGATCATTACTGGAGACTGTACAGCTTTGTCCGCCCCAACTGCCACCAAATTGTATATCCTAGTCATGCAGTCCCTCCTGGTGACCCCTGCCACCTGCCCACTCTGATGACCCCCCCCCCACCCTGAGGTGAGACAAGGTCAAAGGGGCGACTTACATAGAACGACGATCTCAACTTCGGCTTCGTCCTTGCCGTGCCTGTTGGTGGCGATGATCTTGTAGGTCCCCGTCTGCTTCCTCTTGGCGTCTATCATGTTGAACTTGGTGTTGTAGTCCACATTGACGATCTCAATGTTGCTATCCTTCACCTGCAACACGCAATTTGTGATGTAATACAATGTTACTAACTTCAATATTACATAAGTGGAACTTAAGTTCAGAAACAAGAAGACAATCTACAAGAGACCAAAAACAATCGAGCTCTTTTGCCTGGCTAGCAACTGGGTTCTTAGACTCCCTCGCCAGATGGTCTATAAAGTTAATAGCTTAATAGATTACCAAATGGATGTAGGACTTCACGAACTTGCAACTCAGTACCAATTTTTAACCCTGATAACTAGGAACTCATAAGATGACCTAAGAACTGCAAAGCCTGAGCGTGAAGAACTAGGGGGAAGACATCATAGGGCTCTTACCTCCTGCTCCTTGAGAACCCATTGGACGGATGGAGGAGGTTCACCCTCGATGTTGATATCGAACTTGACATTGCGGCCAGCCTTGATGGTCGTCTGCTTGAGGTGGGTGCGGTCAATGCGGGGCTTAACTGGTAGGAGAGACCATGACAGCATGAGGGGGGAAATATTCTAGATAGTTTATCGACTAGATATAAAGACAGAGATGGACATAATATCATACACATCGGTGTGAGAGACTTACGAGCCTTATGCTTGACCAGATGGTAGTCAGTCGGCTCAGACTCTGGGGAGTTGCCGGCCTTGTTGACGGCCACTACCCTGAACTGGTACTCGGCCCGGTGCTTCAGCCCGCCCACCTTCGTCTCTACGGGCGTGCCGGGCTTCAGCGGCTGGATCACGTCCTGCTTCAGCTCCGCGGCGACCTCCCAGTCCGGCATGAATCTGAAGAAGGTCATAAAGATGACTCACGCTGACACTAAGTGACAGTACGACACTCAACACTATCTTCTTCTGCATAAAACTTAACTTAAACAGACATACTTCAACTAACCTCAAAGGAAGATACATACCCTCAAATCACTAAAAAAACAGATGCTGACTAAAAAAGAAATAGGCCTACAATCTCTCAACTTATTCTCAAAAAGTAAGACTCATCTAACTAATTTTAAAATTAGTTACAAGCTTAGATCTAAACTCTTCATTAAAATAGAAAACTGCTTCAACTTACTAAACAACCACTAAAACGCCGTTACTTAACCTAAAGAAAGAAAAATACACTCCCTATGTTCACTCCAAAAACTGGTACCCGCCATCCGCTCACTCCGAACCTCTAAAAGTCAGCCTCGACTCAGTCCGAGGAGTCCACATCTGAAGGTAACACTCACTTGTCCTTCTTCTGGACAATGTACTTCATGATGGGGGCGCCACCGTCGGACTCCGGCACCGTCCACTTGAGGTCCACCGACTTGTTGTCGTAGTCGACGATCTCGGGGCGACCCGGGGCAGTGGGCACGTCTGTAGGGGCACGGCCAATATTGTCAGGGGGCAGCAAACACGTCACGTCAAATATTGAAGCAGAAGCGAGGGGGGGGGGGAATGTTTCCAACACTAATTTGTACATATTTACCAATTCACTCCAAAATATATATGAACTGCGAGATGGGGGATGAATATTGTGTATATTAAGAAGCAATTCGACGGATAGGTGGAAGTGAACAAGCCTGAATAGGGGAGGAAAGGTAAGGTGCATTAGGAGAAGGCACTAAGGCATTGCGACTATATAGCACTTGGAAGGGATATGAGGATAAGGATTTGGGGCAGGATGGAGGGAAGGAATGGTGCCCAACCACTTGGACGGTCGGGGATTGAACGCCGACCTGCAAGAAGAGAGACCGTCGCTCTACCGTCTAATCCAAGTAGTTAAGTTTTGGCAGGGAAATACAGGTCGCTTCGTACACAAGAGAGGTTGCTAATTAATTTTAAAATCTACTAATTTAACCTAAAAGTCCCATCACAACCCAACCTAAACCAGCCCAACCTAACGTAACGGAACCCAATCTAACTCAGCCTAACCTGGAGTCCAACAACTTGGACTGGACAGTAGAGCGACGGCCTGGCTTCTTGCAGGTCGGCGTTTAATCCCCAACCGTCCAAGTGGTTGGCCACCATTCCTTTCCCCCGTCCCATCCCAAATCTTCATCCTCGTATATGCTTCAATGTGCTATAGTCATAATGACTTAGCAGCTGCTTCTGATAATTACCTTATCATCACTCCACCCTAACTTAACCCAGCACCATCTATTCCCAGTACCGTATATTCAGTTTTAATGCTAAGAAGACGAGCCATGTGCGAGAACCCTGAGTACGTTTCAACCGGACACCGAGAAAGGTTGGAAGTAGGGAAGGGGGGAGTGGGGAGAGGGGGAGGGAGGGAGAGAAGGAAGGGAGTGTAGAGAGAGGGGAGGAAACGAGGAGAAGGGGGGGAAGGGGGGAGGGAGAAGAGCTTACCGTAGGGGTTCTTGGCGAGGATAGCGCCGTCAGCCTCCAGTGGATCAGAGTCGCCTTCGTCGTTGACAGCAGTGACACGGAACTTGTACTGGTGTCCGGGTTCGAGGCCCTCCACGTTGAAGTATGGAGGAGCCAGAGCTCCGGGGCACTACGGGGAGGGAATGAGGTCACTCAAGGCACAGTGCCGAGGCTTGGGCAGGCACGAGACACCCTCCAAACCCCGGCGGATATCTCTCGGAGAGCAATATTAGTGTCAGAATTGGAGACAGAGTAGAATGAAATCGAATTAAAAAAATAAAGCTCGAAAATAAAGAGAGTCCGAATAGAAATGAAACCAGAAACAGACAGTACGCACTGAGCGAGAAATGTGCGGCTGAGCGAACTTCGGGCGATTTAAGGAACACTTTTTCTGATACAGTTATGTTTAATAATGTAGATTTTTACTTTAGTTTAAGCGCGGTGGCTTTTAAAAAGTTTAACCAAAGGAGACTAGAGAAAACGGACGTCAACCCACCTTGCCGCATCTGACCCACTTGCCAGTTGCCAGGTCCATCTTCTCCACCTCGTACTCCTTGATGGGCATGCCTCCGTCGTCATCGGGCTTCTCCCACTTGAGTCTGCAGCCGGTGTCGTGCACGTTGGACACCTCCAGAGGACCCTTGGGCTTGCTGGGCTTACCTATGGCACACATCACTCATTAGCGCTCCTTGCAGATGCCAATACAGGTACAAGTATCACACACACGTCAACACAGGGGTAAAACACCGCAGGAATGGGTCATATAAGGCCTTGTAGCGAATAATTATTCAGACAAACAGGTGATGAAGTGAAGCAGACTCTACGAACAATCAACAGTGAAGGAAGTCTTAATTTCTCCTACAAAAATTGACACAAGATAATAGTAAATATAAAGTTCTAAGGCCAATACATGGTGTAAACACGTGTGGTGAAGGTGTTAGGTGTCTTGAGCCCGACCACTTCTCGGCTCACACACACCAGAGAGAACCAGCGCTCAAGTACTTACCCAGAACCACTAGCTCCACCGTCTCGCTATCTTGGCCATTGCGGTTCTCGATTTTGAGAGTGTAGAGACCGGCGTCCTTCCTGGTGGCGTCGGTGATGGAGATTTCGGTGTGGTGGTCGGTGTTCTCAATGTGGATCCTGTCGGTGTTGGAGAGGACGTTCTCCCCTCGGGACCACGTCACGTCGGGATCAGGTTCGCCCACATAATCCACTGCCCACTTGTGACTGCGGCCCACCTTGATGGTCACCGACTTGAAGTTGGTACGGTCGATACGAGGCTTGCCTGTGAGAGGACCGGAAAACCTTAAACATGTCATCGTGCTCCTGCATGTCACATGGCAACTCAAGTGATTACAAAGTAAAACGATGGTAACAATATAGACACGATCATTTTATGCGTCACTTACGGTTCTTGTGCTTGCAGAGGTGGTTGTCAGTTGGCTCCGAAGCTTCTCCGATACCTGCCTTGTTGGCGGCCTTGACACGGAAGCTGTACACGGTTCCTTCCTTGAGGCCGGGCACCTGAGCCTCGCAGTTGGTGTCCTTGGTCTGAACCACTTCCTTCCAATCCACCGAGAGCTTGTCCTTCATCTCGATGTGGTAGTGAGTGATGGGCCGGCCACCGTCCGACTCTGGGGGAGTCCATCGCAGCACGACCATAGTGTTGTCGTAGTCGATGATCTCTGGCTTGCCCGGACGGGATGGCTCGTCTGCGGGGACACTAACATTACTTACCGTCCAATGCTAAAGTCATCAGAGGTCTTGCTTGAGGGGGGTAAGTTGACCAGCTCACAACTAAAGCACAAAACAGCTCCATAATCTTCCTAATTTGATTCCTTTTTGAAAACCCCAACTTTATACTTTAGAGTTTAGATGATCCAAACGTCTCTACCCGTACATTCGTAACTGAAAACCAATTTAAAGAATAAGTTTTTTATCTCGGTCCTCAAGCCACACCCATAAAGATCTAAATTTAACTTGGGCAAAATGAAAGCGTTTCGGAGCGTGTAAAACAACCCTTGTGGCTGTGTAAAGGAATACGATCCCTTGGTGTATCACAATGAAGAAACAGACGAGGCAAGATATAAGCCTATCCTGACTGGCACACCGCTGATACCTAATTAAGATTGAGACATTGGATAAGTGAACTGTTAGACGTAAACTAGTATACAGATTGGACAGGCGGACATTTGGTCACGCAAAAGTACCCGGGCATGAGTGGATAAGAGTCCCCACCTGATCACTCACCGTAGGGGGCGCCAGGGAGGGAGTAAAGAGTGTTCCCACATCACTCACCGTAGGGGTTGCGAGCCAAAATAGGTTCATCGTTCTCCAGGGGTTCAGATTCTCCCTCCTTATTGACAGCTTTCACCCGGAACTTGTATTTCTTCTTGGGCGTCAGGCCGTCAACGGTGAACTCCTGTTTTTCAGGACCCACCTGAGAGGATGAAAGCAGATCCTGATTATCCGGACCTCTGAGCAGAAAACAAACACCCACTTAACCGACCCCTAATTTCGAAGAAAGGTAGCGTTCTCGACGATCAAGTCTAACGGTGAGTTAGACCTTAAAGGAGTATTTTCTTCACCACACTGAGGGCAAGTAGGCCTGTTGTTCTCTAGCTTCCTGAGGGTAAGTATAGCCTATTAACTAGCTTCCTGAGGGGGAATTAGACTATTCACTCTTTTCCTGCGGGAAAGTGAGCCTATTCTAGCTCACCTATACTAGCTTCCTGAGGGGAAACTAGTTTATTGTTACCTTAAAGAGGGGTCGTCGTTTCTACAAGGCTGGTTTAATAGTCATCTAGAGAGGGGGAAATGTTTAAATACGTAGTTTACTGGATATTTTTATATGGATAATGGCTTGTTTAGTGAACTTTTAATCAGGGAAAACAAAGTTCATGACTACCCTAACATGGAAACCGGTCTAGTGACCACCTTAGCTGGGAATGTTTTTTATAGTGACAATCTTAAGATGGTAAACCGGTTTCCTAGAAACCTTATCAGGGGGAGAAACAGTTTACTGATCGCCTTAATATGGAAGCCGATTTAGACCACTTTAACAGAAAACGGGCTTTGTGACCGCCCTAATGTAGATGCCGATTAAGAGACTCATAAAAATAGGGAAATTGGTGTAATTAACAAGATAGTAATAGGAAGGTGGCTGAGTAAATTGCTTTACTAATGGGGCGAAAAATGACGTTATTTTTAATTCCTCATGTTTGTGAATGGAAGTTATTTTAGTCATTTATTGATGCAACTGCCGTACGGAGTCCAAGTCAGTTTGGATTTTATCTTCCCTTTAAATGCACTCCTTAGAAGCTATTTAAGAAAACTAAATACAACAAAAGATATGGTTAATGATAATTTACCTCTACCATAAAATACATCGAAATGAAATGTTAATTGTGTTGTATTTTAAGTATATACAGGGTTGTTATTTAATGTGTTATATACGCATGGTAATTATAGATGGTGTTATCCTACTTGGCAAAACAGAGGAGTTTACCTAAGCCTACTTCATACTATACCTCGCGGCTACCGCTCACACTCTGCCTCACAGCCAACATCATAGTCGACTTCAAAGTCTACTTTAGTCTACCTCATTGTCTCTATTACAATCTACCTCATATTAAGTATCAGTTGACCCTCATAGTCCACCTTATATATATATATATATATAGTCTAAGACAGTATATACCTATATAGTCTGCCTCGTGGGGGGCTTGATTCAAGAAGCAGTTACGCAAGTACTTACGAACGTGTACATCTTTCCTCAATCTTTGACGGCTTTGGTTACAGTTATGAAACAGTTTATTAGCATGAAAACTTGCCAATCAACTGTTGTAATTGTTATAAACAGCCTCCTGGTGCTTCGGAGCTCATTAACTGTTTAATAATTGTAAACAAAGCCGCCAAAGATTGAGAAAAGATGTACAGGTTCGTAAATGCTTGCGTAACTGCTTCGTGAATCTAGCTCAGGAGTATGAATGGCTTGCCATCAAGAACTGTTGAGTGTAAACCACGCAGCAGATCAACGAGTCCAGCCTCCTTGTCAACAGTCAGACAACAGTAATATATGTGGCCACGTGTCCCGTTACTGTTGCTACTAAACTGAAGCAGTGACAAGAATGTTCTCACCGTTGTCGTGTTGAAGCGAGGCAACGGTTAACAGAGTGTTGTCACCGTTGTCGTGTTGAAGCGAGGCAACGGTTAACAGAGAAACAACGGGAAGAGAGATCATTACATTTGTGGGTGACGCTTCGCTTGTAAGGGTTTTATGACGGGAGTTGATAACCTGAGAAATGGACCGGACTTCCTTCTTTCCTCGGTGATTGAGGGAGATAGCAGCATGATGATCTACCATGAGGAGTTGGTAGCATTAAGATCTACCCAGAGGCATACACAAAGCTTGGAACACCTTGTCCCCCCCCCTAACCTGTAAATCATTTTCTTACCGCGTATAAATGTTGTCTAGTTGAGACCTGAAGAAAGCCCTTACATGCTAAGCGTCATGTTGACACAAAGGCTAAACTTGTGGTCGTGTTTCTCTCCACCGTGACTCTTCAACACCTGGGAGAGTTCAGTCAACACTACCTGTAGAGCCCAGTCGAAGCAGAGTACGAACTACAGTTGTCGTTTGTTGTACTAGATTCAGCAACTCGGGACGAAAGTTCCAAGTAGCGCGGGCTATGGAGAGGCCGTAGTGGACTAGGAACTACGGTACTTGTGTCCAATGTTCAGTCAAGAGTGCTGCAGTCGTTGTCTCAACTGTATCCGGTATAGTAAGGAAACTGTCCAGTGTAGAGTCGTATCAGTGTTAGGAGGGTGGTTCTATACAGTGTAAACCATTCTACAGCTTGTTACAGGGATTCTTTACGTTGTACAGACCTACCGGGATGGCATAGATATAATGGCTCTCCCCTGTGTACAGTCTCTTGGGGCTCTTAAGAGAGTGAAGCATCACGTCTAGGAAAAAAAAAAAGCTACCTGGACGTGAATCAGTGACTCCTGTGGAGGACTCCTGTAGGAGCCTTTACGGTGAGTGGAGCTGCTGGCGTGTGTTGGGGCGAGGATGGGAGCCCGGGAGAGAGAGGCCCGCTGAGGAACCGCTATGTACTGTGGGAGGGAGAGGGACACCGGGGAGGTCACACTGGGGTCACGCTCAGGGGTAGGGTGTGGCGGGGAAGCGGTCCTCGGCCGCTCACCACGACGCTTGCCCGCCCGCCGCTGCCTCTCTTCCTCTCCGTGTTGGTGTTTTGAGTGCTGGTGTTTATGCGTGTAAAGTGGAGCTGAGTGAGCGGCTGTGGTGACGGCCACAAACACATGTATATATCACTGAAGCAGAGTGATTAGGGGTGTACATGAGTGACCCCTGGGAGGCAGACACTCAAGGTGTGTGGGTGTCTGCATAAACCACACACAACAGGTCATTAATATATGCATGCATGTCTTCATGTGTATGTATAACAAGCGGCAAGACACATCGGACACGGTGAAGGAACGGATTAACATGTATTATCCGGACGCTAAGTCAACACGGCCAGACACACACACCCACACAAACTATAACCCATCCACCAGCTCCGTCCTCCACGCCAGTCGTATCTTAGCTATAACCAGCACCTGGATTTATCAAACATCTATCCACTAACGAAACCTGTACATCTCCCAACTATTATGGCATCTGTGTTTACATTTATTAAACATTTTAGGAATGTCAAACTCTACATAACCGAAGAATATCATGATTATAAACAACATATTGTATGTTTGTACGATGTCGGAGCTTCGAAGCTCATCAGCTGTTGAATCAATGTAAACACAGCTGTCATGATAGAGGAGACTAACTACCATATTCTATTAAGTTGCCCGAACTGTCTCTCTCTACCCAAGTTATGGGGACACACGCACACGCAGAGTTAACAGCACATGTGCACAGTAGCCAAGTTACCGACAAACACGCACACCAACTTATCAGGACACGCTCACGAAAAGTTACAAGGATACGTACACGCCAAGTTACCAGGACACGCACATAAGTTACTGGGACACACACACACACACCAAGTTACCGGGACACGCACATAAGTTACTGGGACACACACACACACCTAGTTAACAGAACCCGCATGCAGAAACCCGGTACATGTACACACCAAGTTACTGGGACACGCACACACACACAGGAACCAAGTTACGGGGACACGTACACAGTAACCCACATACTGGGACACGCACACACACAGTAACCAAATGACCGAGAAACGCACACACACACACACACACACACACACACACACACACACACACACACACACACACACACACACACACACACACACACACACACACACACACACACACACACGCCCAGTAAGCAAATGACCGAGAAAGAAGATACAATATAAACCGTTGGGCCGGCTTACCTCGCCAGCCGGGATCCAAGCCCCGGTGTCCATGTCCATCTTCTCGATGACGTAGCCCTCGATGGGCAGGCCGCCATCGTCCAGGGGCTTCTTCCACTTGAGGGTGACGTGGTCGGCGCGGATCTCCTCCGGGAAGAGCGGGCCTTCGGGCCTGGTGGGTTTGCCTGACGGAACACACATAGACGTAAGAGTAGCGTCATGTTGATCACACGGGGAAATATATATGGAGTAATTTGCATTCGAGTTTGTTGTTAAACACACTTGTTCTGTTGTCATCATAGTGGTTTGAGGTGGTATGGGGCGTGTATAGATGGTGCTGGTATAGTGCTTTGTCCATGTTTTTTGGTTTACTGTATAGTGGAGAATGAGAGAGAGAGAGAGAGAGAGAGAGAGAGAGAGAGAGAGAGAGAGAGAGAGAGAGAGAGAGAGAGAGAGAGAGAGAGAGAGAGAGAGAGAGAGAGAGAGAGAGAGAGAGAGAGAGAGAGAGAGAGAGAGAGAGAGAGAGAGAGAGAGAGAGAGAGAGAGTGAGTGAGTGAGTGAGTGAGTGAGTGAGTGAGTGAGTGAGTGAGCGTGTGTGCGTGTGTGCGTGTGTGCGTGTAAGGATAAGAGGACGCATCCCCAGACGTACCAAGCACCACCACGTCCGCCTCCTCCTCACACTCGCCCACAGAGTTGACGAGCTGAAGCTTGTACTTGGCGGTGTCGGAGCGGACGCCCTTCCTCAGCGTGAAGACTGTGTTCCTCTCGAACTGCTCGATGGTGATCCTGCCCATGGGAGATACAACTCGTCACGCCTCAAGTCATATGCATCGCTTCTAATTATTTACAAAGTCATGCATGTGCCTAAAAACATCTTAAGGAAGGGGGAGGGAGGGAAGCTAATCAGAGATTGGAGATGAAACACGGGTCTGATCTGAAGCAAAGATGATTGGGTCTTCCGCACCGTTCGCGGTCGAGGGGGAAGGGGGGGGGGGTGGAGGGAAAGGGGGCGGGGACCCAGGATTAAATGATGAATAACGGTGCCGCTGACTGGATTTAAGATTACCATGATCATCGATATTTATTATTTCCCCAAAACTATCTGGTAAAAGTGGTATGTGATTTGCCAGGACGGCTGGGAGGACGGAGAGACCCCCCCCAAGGGTCCTTGGGCGGGAAACAGAGTGTGTACGTCAGTAAGCAGCTGCCAGTGTGGGCACTCACCTCACTCTCGTGTACTGAACTGATGCAGCCAAGAGTAGCACATCTTACGTCATAATAACCTGTGGCACACCTGCCAGGAGCAAGCACGGAGCTCCGCCACAACTGTAACACTGTTTATGTAGACGGAATGCAACGCAACGGAACTTTTACAACAAGGACCTTCAACAAGGAGACATTATCTTAAAACAATGTGTATCACTGACAATAATCATGCACTAATGTATTTCTTAATATATTTGAAGCATGCGCGTACGTTTAGCTATGCATGGCATATAACTGTATACTTAGCAAAAGCTCTAACAAGCTCACCACGCCACGGGTTAGCTGCGATCTTAGCTCCTTAAACATCTAATAGTTTGATATATTACAGCTTGAACTGTACCAATATATGCAAACCCTTGCATCATAATTATATCTAGCAGAGCGAACAAAAAAATTAAACGCAGAGTTTAAACCATTTACCAATCCAGAATGGGCCGTCCACCACCAAGGGAGGAGCGGCGCCCATGCACACACATAGAAATAAACAAGTTTTGTGGTAAAACACAGCAGCCTCTCTCAGACCAGAACCACGTTCCAGCAGGAGGGTATCGTCAGGAGCGACCCGCCTCTCTCACTAGGCACGAGCAGGCTTGGCCGAGGAGCAATGCTACCCGACCCCTTCCTCCTCGTTCCTGGAGTAGACGACGTAGGCCTCCACGTCTGAACTCTGATGTGGGCCTCGCAGCTGCCCCTCATGTCATGGTCACCTGTTTTAGAAGCATCATGATGACCTTCAAGGATGTCACAATGACCTTCCTTAGTGATCTTCAAGAGTGCCTGTCTGCTACCCTTTCTTGAGGCACCATGATGTTTCTCAGAACTCCTTCGGTAACCTTCAGTAATGTGCAGCAGGAGCTGCGGCTACTGGCGACCTTGATGCGTCTACACAAGGCAGCAGCTGCCAAGCCTCACATCGAGCACCACTCAGAATTCGATTCCAAGTGAGCCGCTTGCTTTTACCACAAACTGACTATGTTCCCAGCTTTCTGGTGATAAGAAAACAAAGATCTGTTTTGTTATTCACGGAAAGTGGATGTCTAGACGAGAACTGTTGCTAGGACAATCAAAACACGGTGTCATCCTTGGTTTCCTCCTCCGCTCAGCCAAGACGGAAGACAAACAAAGAAGACACAAGACACTGGCGTATTTATTCTTTACGAGTGATCAGGTATTACTACCAAGTATTTACAGTCTTGTCATTTCTGTAAAATATCCACAACAACAGTTCTTGTAAACAAATCAACGCCATCTATCAGAGGTGGAATTGTGTTAAGTGTAACTTGTAGCTATGATCAACTTTATACCTTAAAAAAGAGCAGCGGGGTATTTTGAAAGAATAAATAAGGCGGATTAAAGGAGATAAGGAAGAGCCTCACTAAGGCAGAATAAAAACCGATAATAAAAACAGGAGACTCACAAAAAACATGGGAAAATAGTTACTACAAAATAATAATTTAAAAAAATATGTGTATGAAATTTCAAAATATATCAATATAAATGTGAAGTTGAGGAGGCAGAATAGGGAGGAACTAGAGGGAGTGGGGAGAGGGAGAGCGGAGAGGGAGAGTGTTAACAAAAGGCCAAGGGAAGGTGAGTGGCACTTGTCATTCTGCCTGAGATATAACCAGACACTCGTGGTCACCTTCGGCAGTTGTAAGGTTCTGGTAGCCTGTAAGAAAACGGTGTACATGTTTATACAACTGCTCAAACTCTTACATGGGCAATAACATTTCTGAAAGTAATTAGGTGGTTTAGTTTAGTGGTAAATTATACACAGGATGACCAATTGACCAGCTGGATCGTCCCTGGGAGCCAAGCTGACCCAGCCAGGGACGAGGCAAATGGGTATCCTGTCGTAGGAACAGAGGATCATCTGGGATCTTTTAAGGGGGTAAGGATTTTAGCATAAAAATATAATATCATTATTTCCATATACAAGCATAATATTGCAAGAGATTAAGATCAACATCCTCACTGTCACAGAGACTCGCTAGCTAGTGCTACACTTGTGGAAATGTTAATGAAAGGGTTCACGTACGTGAGTGAGAGAAAGATTCATGGAAGAGGTAATCCTTAAATCTGAGACCTAGCCTAGCACACCCAGGCGTTATGGAATGCGACGATCGACTGGCGTTTTCTTAACCCACATCTTAATATAAGTATATCGTCTCGTCAGACTGTTGTGTCTGGGATCCTCCCCTCATAGACCCGAGGCGCCTCTTTATAACTGCTCGTCATTTGCTCCCTGTATACACTTGTGATTACCTCGTCATGCTATTCCGGCTGTGTTCCGGGTTTCCGGTTTCTCACAGTCTTTATCTAGTTTCCTTCCTATCTATGTCTTATTGTTGTCTCTACCACTCTGTGTCTCATGTGTCTCTGTCTCTCGCCCCTATTCCAAGTCCCATTCCATGTTTCCTGCGTGTCTCTCTCTCTCTATTCCATATCCCACGTGTCTTTCTCATATCATTTCTTATTCCACGTTTCTCTCTCATCCCATTCCTTGCCCCATGTGTCTTTGTCTAACCCTATTCCATGTCCCCCTGTGTCTCCCCTTTCCATGTGTCGTATGACTGTCCCCACTCCATGGCCCACGTGTCCCCCCCTTCCCCTCTTCCTAACTCAGCATTCCACGTGTGTCTGCCCATGCTAGGTGGCAGAATCCTCCTCCTCCTCCTCCCCCACACCGGACGTCAGGAGACTCACCTCTGCTCCTCGTCAGGGATCACCTCCTTGTCGTCCTTCTTCCAGATGACTCGCGGCTCAGGCTCACCGCCGTACTTCACGTCCAGCTTGAACAACTGCGTCTTTTTGATCACAATGTTCTTGAACTCGTCCTTGTTGATCACGAACGGCTTCACTGTGGGTTCACGAAAACGGGTGATAAGAAGTGGATAAAGTCTAGTTAGTAGGAAAGAGAGTCGGCGGAGTGGGACTGCGAGCAGCGACGTCTAACAACCGGGTCAAATTCATGAAGCAGTTACGTAAGCATTTACGAACGTGTACATCTTTCTTTGAAGGCTTTGGTTACATTTATTAAACAGTTTACAAGCAAGAAAACTTCCCAATCAACTATTGTTATTGTTATAAACAGCCTCCTGGTGCTTCCGAGCCCATTAACTGTTTAATAATTGTAAACAAAGCCGCCAAAGTTTGAGAAAAGATGTACAGGTTTGTAAGTGCTTACATAACTACTTCGTGAATCTGGTCCCATGACCCACACCACCCAGCATCGGAGCCAGCGCAAGGTAACCCCAGAGGAGTGTGCCAAGCATGTATTTGACACATGCAGGGTATACCCTGCTTGCGTCGCGCAGGTGGGAATTATATTAAGATAAGAGTATATTCCCGGGACAGAATATTGGAATGCTTTTCAGAAGACAAACGGAGACCAGATGAGGCTTAGGTGGTGTAAGTGTGTTGTTGTGTCCAGAGAAGCCATAGATTATGTATATCTCTGTAATCCCAACCTAAAGCCCTTATCTATCTAATCCCAATATACACCCCTTATCTATCTAATCCCAATCTACACCCTTCATCTATGTAATCCCTACCTAGAACTTTCATCTATGTAATCCCAACCTACTCCCCTCACCTCTGTAATCCCTACCTACTCACCTCACCTCTGTAATCCCTACCTACTCACCTCATCTTGGCAATCCCTACCTACTCACCTCATCTTGAGAGAGGTGAAGCTAGATTTTGAAGTGGTATTTGTAAAGATGAATATCAGCCACATTGTATGATAAATTCTCCCTCAGCCCTTTTCTAAACAAAATTAAAAGCATTAGATCTCCTTACCGAAGCGATGCTTAGCCTGAATGGGTTTGGTTGGATCTGATGGCTCGCCGGGTCCAGCCTTGTTGACGGCCCTCACACGGAACTCGTACTGGTTGCCCTCCTTCAGGTCAGGGATGGTCCCCTCTGTCACGTCGCCCTGGATCTCTATGCCTTTGGCCCAGTCTGAGAACCGGTCCTGAACAAGGGGAAGATGCTGAGAGTCAGTGAGGGTAGGAGTAGCAGGCCCTTGTGGTAAGGGGAGTGTGGGAGGTGACAAGGGGGAAGGGGGCGGTGGAGGAGGACCGGAGATGGAATGTGTGTGTGTATAAATGGGGAAATCCTTAGGGTGGGGAGAGTGGACTTGTTAGGGAAAGGGGAAAGGGGAGGGAGAAATTCAAGAATTAAGTTGTCCTAGAAAGTTATGGGAGTTGTCTTAATTTATGTTATTACAATATGACAAAAATCTTGGACAAAGGGAGATGGTTGTTTACTGTGAGGCGTTGTTATGGACTATGTATTCCCTTCATTGAGAAACTTTCTCCAGTAATTACTGCGTGAAGCGCCAAAATTAACTTGATTACAATATGACAATAACTTTATTTAAACTAAATAGAAATAATGAACAGATTTATTATATATCTACAAAACTCCAGCGAATTAAAACACACAGAAGAGACAGAGAAAGAAGAGTATTTATATTGTGCTAAGTGGACCGGGATCCTCGGACCGTAGAGAACTTGGCCCAGTCACTCATCCCTGCGGAGACGCCCTCACAAGGCGCGCTAATACCCACCTACAGGTGGTAGTAAAGGCGCTACATCTTGGCGAGGGGTGCCGGCTGTGCTGCAGGACCAGGGCATGAGTAGCGCCCCCGCAGGGAAGGTGAGAGACATGACTAAATGGTCATCTCACGGCCGGGATGTGAAGCCATGATAGCCTGGATACACTGTGAGGCGCGAGTATCCGGGTGTCGCTGGAGACACTTGACCGTATTGAAAAAGATCAATGTGGTGCGGTGTGCAGGTATAACACAGTGATACTCATTCGCTGTGCTTTGGAGACAAGTGACTGTGTCCTGCACAAACCCATTGACACTTATGTCATATCGAAGATGATTATCTCGGCCGTGCACTGTAACAACCTCAAAAGACTATAAGGTTTACATAGTTATTCATGTACTTGAGGGATAGCAACTGATGAAGAAACTTGTACACAGAGATATTTAAGTTAATTAAGAGGATCTGAGAAGGTCATTCACAGTCTGCTAATGTTTGGTCGTACCCTCATAGTCTTAGATGATATCATCTCCAAGTGCTCCGGTGTAAAGACGCTCATGGTGTCTCTGAGTTAGGGACTGACGACCTTCACATGTTAAGTCTTCACTCTCCGACAACATTTTTAAATATTTTGAAAATATATCCATTACGATTTTAGGCATCAGCTCCCTGGAGCATGAGCACCATGCCAACGATAAAAGCATAGCTGTTATTACATAAGTTTAGCAGCGTGAAATGGAAGGTCAGACTAAGACATGTCCAAAGTCCTGAGATAATTTAGCGCAGAGTTTCTTAATAATTTCTTAGTATCATCGCACGTAGACTTGCTGAGGTAAGACAACCACCGTGGCTTCCTTCTCAGGAAGGAATATCAGTGCTGGCAATGATATTGTTGCCAAGTCTTGGCAAGAAAACTTGGTCCAAGTCTTCGTGGGATACGAGTGGGCGGCCAAGACGGCGCCGCCTCCAGCGACATCCCAGGACTCAGCGACGAGGCTGACGAAGACCCGTCGACTCCTACTGCTGGTGAAGCGTGTGTTCTCAGACAGGGGGGGCGGGCGGGGGTTAGACAAGAACACCACACACGTAAGTCACATATTTATTCTATATCTTCATGTTCGTTTATTTTTTAAATACGTATTTAAAAATGCTTATGTGCATTTGTTATTATCTTGGTATATGATTATCGTGTCACTTTATGTGGGGGAACGATTATTATATATTTGATTTACAAGTGTAAACATTACTAGTGGTGGTGGTGGTGGTTGAGTGAGTGACAAGTGAAGGAGTGTATGCGGGAGGATGTTAGTGGCGGACAGCACAACACACTAAGTCTTGGTGACGGAGGTAAACACAAGCCACCAACCTCACTGAAAGGCAATCCGGTTTATAAAGTTGGAAATATAGACGCAAGGCTAGATATGCACTAGCAAATAAAGAAATGATGGACCAATGGTTCAATTTATTTGTTTCCTAGTGCAGCAAGTGTGGCCCAGCCAAACGCCGAGCCTGTCTACCAAGCTCTAGCATAGCCAGAAATCAGCCATGAAGGCAAATACTGCATAGTGGGGCGTCATGATCTATTTTAAGCCTTATGGAACGGCCTCACAACGTTCATTTTCATCCGTTAACTTCAATAGTTTTATGCATCTCTTACACACAGAGATCACACTAACGTGATGTTATTTGTTCATGTATCTCTTACTTCCATATGAATTCAATTGCAATGAAAGAAAATTAATGGTATAATTTGGAATGCTATGGGAAGTTATAGCAGCCATAGCCGCAATGTGTATTAAAAACAAATCGAATGAACGTTGCGTCCCCGTCTCCAAAGGCTTATTATAGGTGATCCCGCCATATGTGTCACTCTTACACCGAACCCTTCACAGTCTTACCACCTCTCCTGCCCCAGGCATGGCGCGAGTCTGTAGGGTGACGGTACACACACGTTATTATCATTACATAAACATGTGGTGGGCAACACCCCTGGCAGCTCCTCTCTCTCTCTCTCTGTATGAGAGAGAGAGGAACTTCCCGGCCACAAATAATACCCCGGGTCTGACTAAGTGGCAGCAAGTGTAAAACATCACCTCAACACTGGCGTTACTTGCCAGAGGTTCTCAGCCACTTAGCCAGCCAAGGTAAAATGGTAAAAAAATTATCATTATCACAAGGACAAATTAGGATAATTAGACTGAGCACAATGAATGTCTTATTTTAACTGTACAAAGGAACAAAACTGTACTGTAGCCAGTTAAGGGAAACAAACGTATCATTACAGTTTATTACAGGCCATTGTTTTAGGAAGACGTTAAACTGTTATAAATACAACAAATAAAACGAATTATATATGAAAATACAGAAAGGAAAAACTACAAGACATATACATTTAACCTCGCAGACATAAGTTAAGAGACGAGACCCGTGCTAGGTTAAACTACACCTCTACAATGACAACTAAACTCTTACACAAATTTAATTCGTGCACTAATACAATTGTGAAGAATACACAAGGGAAGACAAATTTCTGCAAGTATTGTGGGGAAAAAAACACGAGGAGAGACAATCTGTACAGGAACGCTACACTCATAGGCTATGTAGACGGAAATTGAATGTACAGACGGGCGAAAAGATTGGCATCAGATGAGATATTCCCACGTCAGTGCTACTGGAAAAGGCAGACACCAAACCGGATATAAAAGATAAGTAAGTCATCTCAAGAGTGAGGAGAGACACTAAGAAAGTGAACACCACACGAAGCTGACTCCCTACAGCTGACTCCCTTGAAGAGATGCTCTTTCCTATCCCAGTATCACGACCTGACTACGATGTTTATTTATATAGATTCTATTTGAAGTAATCAGGAATATTTTATTCTAATTACTGGTAAGTTATTACTAGTGCAATATTTTCATGCTTGACTTAACAATTGAAAGTGAAGGTTTAACTACATAAATCGAACTGTCAGGGGTAGTAATAGATCTCAGAATAACTGTTAACAACTCGTCTTGTATATGCACAAATAAATCCCATTAGCATGATGAATCAGTGAGAATATCAGTAGGAGGCACGAGGAGGATTCGAACCTGCATACTGGGTACTCCCAAGCACATGCCCTAGACAACTCACTACACCAGAACGTGGTCAAAAAGTAAAGCAATCTGGGATTCAAGTGAATCCTCTAGGAGTTCTGAGGCTTTCACTGAAGCCCAATCAGGGGTTTCACACACACTGCTCCTCATACACTCTGGCTGTGGTTTGAGAGTTCCACCTCCAACACTTCTCTTCAAATACACAGCATCATATTCTATATGGATTGAATGTAAGAATTCTAGGTTCTGAATTACTCGAAGCCTATCATAAAGTGTAAATGCTTACCTACATTTATATACCTCCAACTAAGATCCAACCAATTATAACCATTCTCTCGATTTGTTTATGTAAACTCGGAAAGACACAAGAGTCTCTTACCCGGAACTCGATAACGTAGCCGGTGATGGGAGCACCGCCGTCGGTCTCCGGTCTGGACCAGCGGAGATCAGCGTGGTCTGGACCCCAGTCGTTGACCTCCACGTGCAAGATCTTACCCGGCTCGTCTGTTTGAGAACAGAAACACAATTAGACCAGTTAAAATAAGGAATGGTTAGGTTTAGGCCATAGTCCAGAATTTGGTTAGAGAGAACGCAAAGTGCAGATTTTCACAGACTTGGAAAGATTTACATGCTAGCTCTAAGACACTAGTTCCCAAATTAGGGACCCTTTTTGCAATATGTAGGGGGCCATAAGTTAGGGTACAGTATATGATACTAGAGGATACAAGAGGGAGAAATTAATAAGGACGCTATATGAAAAAGGAGTATAAAAACCGTAAAGAATTTTGCAACCAATCCTCTTAAGCTCATAGTCAATGGGTATTTTCAAAGACTGTAGTTTTTTTGGAAAATGTAATTGCCATTAACTACCAATCTACAAAAAAACAGGATATGATAATAATATGGCAGAATATTGGCCACACTGATCCCAAGGAACAAAACGTTGTGTGGTACTCACCCCAAGGATCCTTGGCCAGGATCACCTTCGGGTGAATGAATGGATCGGAGGGTCCCAGCTTGTTGCTGACGGTGACCTTGAATTTGTACTGTTTCTTGTTTTCCAGGTCCTCGCTCTTGAAGCGCAGAGGTTCGTCAGCGGGGATCTCAGCCACCTGCGCCCACCCGCCTGTCGGGGGCGTCAGCGAGAAGGGTTACTACCTGAGTGTGGTGCTCCGGCCCACATTAGATGTCACCATGTGCTTTGAGGTCGTGATTGGATGTTGTTTGTGAGATAGTGCCAAGGAGGGTCGTTGTGAGGGGGGGGCTGAGAGGGTCGTTGTGGCGGGGGTGCTACGGGGTCGTTGCGGGGTAGTGCTAAGAGGGTGGTGTTAATACACTGTAGTGTTGATATGATGTATGCTGTACTGTGTAAATGAATACGGTAAAGTATTCTGCCGCTTGAGACACAATTACTAATTCGTCAAAATGAAACCATTTTATAGATGTTCCTCTTTTCCAAAGGTTGACAAAGACGAGGATGATAAAGCGAGCTTCCAGTGCGCCTTGCACATATTCCATGCACATGTTCCAGAGATATGTATCTCAATTCAGATAAATAATGATCAAAAAATATATATATTTCTTTACTGAATATTATATTTTTTAGTTGGCGGCAGTGTTAACAATATCATGGTCACTTATGTTTGATTATTAGGCTGTTTGGTGGGTAAATATATAAAAACTAATTTGTCAATGTTCGTCGTTGGTTTTCCATGACTAAATTTGCTACTTTACTGATCCCAGAATGATTTGTCGAGCATCAAAATGTAACTTTTTAAACAATTTGTCTTGTGTGTTGTGTTGCGAGAGACAACTTGTAACCTGAGTCCGACAGAAATCACTATATGTCTGATTTATATAAGAATTGGTCCTTAAAAATCAAGTTATTAAAGTGTCTCAAAAATGGTCCTATAAGACACGCGTGTCTGAAGTAATTGAGAATAGATATATAAGAAGTCTTGGAGAGGCTATATTGTTGGTCTTCTGAATTCACTTTCAACACAGTTAGGCTAAAGGTGTTTTAGTTTTCCAAAAAATTCATTATAAGTCAGATTTTAAAATAGTTTTGACAAGAGTTTTATGAATTTTGCCAAGAAAAAAGCATATTTTAATGTTAAATACATCTCGCTAATAATGTTTTCTTAGAGTATATGTACAGTTAACAGGAGTATAGATACAGTTTATAAAGTGTTCGAAAGTTCTTGAATGTCCAGAAAGCTTAAGAATATGGCTTAAGGAAAATATCTTGGGTATTATGAAGTTTTCAAATGGTCTGCAAAGTATAGCATGTTCAAGAAAAAGAGTTTTAAGTTGTGCAGTCTTTGATAGTTCTTAAAAATCTAAAAATTTTAAGAAGAAAGATTCATCTATTAGTGAGTTTGGCAAAGTCTAAAGATCTACCAAGAGATTAGTAAGATTCATAGTTGTCAAAGGCTGTTTTTAGGTCCAACACGTTTTGACGAACCTATTAAATACAAGTGAGAACACCACATTTGCTACACAAACTGGTCAGTACTACAAGTTATACAACTTAAAGTAGCCAAAATAGTGTTTCCTAATAATCCTGGTACTTATAATCTCCAAGTGAAGTAAGTAGAAGTTGTTTAGGTAACTCTAGAATAGTCACAAAGTTCGACAGTCAAAGACCCGGATACAACAGCGCGCAAGAGAATACCGCACCTCGTACGACCATCTTAACCAAATTGTCGTGCATTCAAGAATTATATATACACATATCTGAAGAATTATTAGCGATCACAAAGGGATTATATATATATATATATAATGCTGCGACTGTATATACTGAATCCCCGAAAATAGTCCACTAAAGTATGAAAACCCAATAATAGGCTAGCCAGGGTTGCTAATCTCTTGCAGCGCTGCCAAGATTGTATACGCACGATGTGTCCAATGGTCGAGTGATTGTCTATGGCACACCAGCGAGCTGTCAGTTGTATTACTGTGTTAAGAAGCTTGAAATAAAATTAGCTCTTTCAGGTATTCTTAGAATATTCACTTTAATAATTTATTGGAGATTTCTCAAAGATGAATAGTTTATATTTAAGACTGAAAACAGTCCTTATTAATAAAGAAAATGTTTTGAAACAAAAGGCGGTTAAATAATAATAATAATAATAATAATAATAAAATAATAATAATAACAACAACACCAGTATAATGTTGTTAAATGTAAGATTGTTTAATGTTATGCTCACATGTTTAATATATACAATTATTATTATGGAAATGGTGTAAACAAAATATGAATAGGAAAGTTGTAATAACAAAGGAATACAGAGAGAGAAGAGAGAAGAGAGAGAAGAGAGAGAAGAGAAGAGAGAGAAGAGAGAGAAGAGAGAAAGAGAGAGAGAGAGAGAGAGAGAGAGAGAGAGAGAGAGAGAGAGAGAGAGAGAGAGAGAGAGAGAGAGAGAGAGAGAGAGAGAGAGAGAGAGAGAGAGAGAGAGAGAGAGAGAGAGAGAGAGAGAGAGAGAGAGAGAGAGAGAGAGAGAGAGAGAGAGAGAGAGAGAGAGAGAGAGAGAGAGAGAGAGAGAGAGAGAGAGAGAGAGAGAGAGAGAGAGAGAGAGAGAGAGAGAGAGAGAGAGAGAGAGAGAGAGAGAGAGAGAGAGAGAGAGAGAGAGAGAGAGAGAGAGAGAGAGAGAGAGAGAGAGAGAGAGAGAGAGAGAGAGAGAGAGAGAGAGAGAGAGAGAGAGAGAGAGAGAGAGAGTGTTGTCAACCAACACCGTCAAGAAAAAGTAAACAATGAAGAAGGACACGATGGTCGACAGGAATAGTACTAATTAAAAAACATTTATAATATCAACATAAAAGCAAATGTAGAAACCAAAATATAAGCTGAAAACAGGAACTGAAATCATAATTTAAAAATATAATAAGAGAGATAAATGGCTGCGCTGAGATCACTCTGCTCTCTTGAACAAGTGAAGAGATACAGCATCATCTCTCAGGATCTCTCTCTTCCCCCTCTCTCACTGTCTTGCCAGTGAGACACCAAGACGTGTAGGGTGTAGAGTGAGTTCCCCCAAGACACGTTGCTTGAGTCTAACACTAAGGCAAGGAGTGTAGAAGCACTAGAAGAAACTTAACGCAAGAGGTACAAGATAGAACTAAGACAGACAGTGAGTAACTAAGAACATAAGAGAGATGAAGCAAGTGATGTTATGACATGGGATTCACCTGGATGTGGAGAGTGAGTCTAGCGTGAGTCACCAAGCGTGAGAGGACAGAGAAGGTATGATCGTGGATGCTGGCGATGAGTCACAATAACGTGGCTAAAGTATGTTGACCAGGGGGCCAGATTCACGAAGCACTTACGCAAGTACTTACGAACGTGTACATCTTTCCTCAATCTTTGACGGCTTTGGTTACATTTATTAAACAGTTTACAAGCATGAAAACTTCCCAATCAACTGTTGTTATTGTTATAAACAGCCTCCTGGTGCTTCGGAGCTCATTAACTGTTTAATAATTGTAAACAAAGCCGCCAAAGATTGATAAAAGATGTACAGGTTCGTAAGTGCTTGCGTAACTGTTTTATGAATCTGGCCCCAGACCACACACTAGAAGGTGAAGGGACGACGACGTTTCGGTCCGTCCTGGACCATTCTTAAGTCGAAACGTCGTCGTCGTCCCTTCACCTTCTAGTGTGTGGTCTGGTCAACATGATCGTGGATGTCTCTGGTACAGTCCCAACTAACAGACAAAATAAACAACTACAGCGGTACTAACAAATAACAACTTCGTCAGGTACCAACTTGTAAACCAAAGTAATGTTTTTAGCTGGGATTTTAACGCGTTTATTTATAAATATAGGAATAGGGACAAAAAAATTTGCTGGCGTCCCCAAAAAATGTAGGTATCGTCTCAAAGAGAAAATGTGTATATCAAAAATTTAAATACATCAGCTTCATGCAGAATTACACCAAATAACAAAAGATACCGACATGAAAATAACTAGCTACTATCAGCACCCTGCAGTCAGGTACTGATGCATGCTAATTCAACTAAAACATGGACATTTTGAACATTTATTGGATAAAAAACAAATGGTATCCTGTGCGCATAGGGTTTATATACATATTAACAGTCTATACACTAAATTTAACTTTAAAATTGAATTGGCAAAATAAAATTTTGTAATCTAAAAATTAGCAAACTATGTCACTTTTTTTCTAAAACTGAAAGATTACACGTGTATCTGGTGCCAGATGTATGATTCTATATATGTAGTGCACCTTAGTCTACAGTAAACCAAACTTATACTTTACGCTGGGAAAGCACAAACTATGTTAAAACGTGAGCCTTCTTGAAAAGGTCTCTCTACCAGGTCAGCAGTTGAGCGAAACAACTAAGATCTAATATGCAAATTGTTACTAAAATGAATATATGTAATTTATAAGGATTTGAGAAATATTGAATTATTGCTTAGCATTTCATCGTTAGTTCTATGAATCATAGAATTATTAAGAGACAAGTTGAGACATAAAACAGGTGCCAGTTCGAGTACATCATTTGATGTAGTATTATTTACACTACGTGGGGTCTACTTTGGGAGTTTTTTTTTTATATTTTGGCGAGGGCAAAAAAACCCTCTTATTTATGGTTTGTTAGAAAAAAAAAGTTTTCATCCTGATTTAAAAAATAATTTGTTCTGAAATTAAACTTTTAAAAAAGATCTCCATCAACATTGTACCTTATTTAGGAGCAATCACTGTTTTTATATAAAAACCTCTTAATAACATTAGCATATACCAAATGTTTCCCCACTGGTGTATTTTGCTTAAGTTCAAGAATAAGGCACAAAGTAGATGAAGAAATTTAAAGGATTTTATAATGATAGCATTTCAGGCCACATCAGTTGGTTAGTGAACACTCTCTACCTGTTCGCTCCCAGATTCTCGGATGTGACGCTGTAGGAAGAGGAAATACAAGTGTCAACAAGAGTTGGTGGGGCTCAGTTGACGGCAGCATAAAGGGGCTCAGATGGCTAAATATAGCGAAGGTTCAGGGGGCACAGTTGGCTACAGCATAAGAGGGGGCTCAGATAGCTAAATGTAGCGGAATGGGCTGAGGACCCTTAATTACTAGCAGCTAATAGAACTAGTGAGCTTCTGTGGCAGGTTAGGAGCATGTTTATTGGTTTTGTACCCATATCCAAAATGTTTATACAATAATAACTTTACATATATCATTAAATTTAATAAATTTGAATGGTAAACGGTAATAATTTGATAGTTGTTGTTTAATATCACATTAGAACAAAATGTTATCGTGAAGAATAAATGTGCTCCCTGCCACAAAATCTCGTTTAAATTTAAACTACAGCTTTACAGACGGACGTCCATATTGTTTGAGCAGCCTCCAGTGTTTGGTTGACTAGTCTACACTCTTTGAATAGTCTCCCACGGGACCAGAACGTTTCTCGCCTTTGCCTAATTCCCTTCAGTCAGCCTTAATGGCTGTCATCGCTACCCTGCGTATAGCTACACGCTGCATCACCGCCTCTTGCAGCACCTCGGGAGGTCGACACGAAGACAATAACGAGAGATGTAACCCGCTTCTCGGTGTATACTCTTGATATACATGCTTCTCAGTGTATACTCTTGATATACACGCTTCTCGGTGTATACTGTGTACTCTTGAGAGATTACTTTAGTCCTGGACTATGCTCAGGACTGAATTATTCTTGCTGGTTAGTCAGTAGGCAAGTACTTGCGGAGGCCTTAATAGCCCTCCGGAGGTTGATAGACATTAACTCCCACGCCGCATCAAAGACAATAACGCAGTATTTCAAGGTAGGAAAGGCAGAGACGGTCGTCCTACACTGACCCTGGAATAAAGCTACCCCCAGACAATATGGACGCCCCCCTGTCACAGAATGTCGCTGTCCCCCCCTCGTTGTATTTGGGGAATATGGACCATAAGCTTAATCATTTATACATAAAAAGATCTTAAAAGCTATCTAAAAATATTCTTATATTGAAAAGTAGATTATAATTTAACCTCCCTACTGAGAGGAAAGTTAACAGCATAAATAGACAAAAGCTATGAAAATTACATAGAATTTCAGAAAATATATATAGGTCACCGTCCTATGGTGATATAGTGGTTTACATAGAGAAAAAGCATTTTATGGTGTCTATTGTATCTGAAGTTCAGAAAAAAAGCTAGATTAAATATCATCAAAATATTTAAAAAATAGAAAAGCAAATATTTACAGCCCCAGAGAGGAAGATTTCCAAAACATTCGCACAAGCACAGGACACACGAAGAGGAATAATAACAGAACAAATAAAACACGTAGGATATACTTGCGCTCACAAGAAAAACAAGGTGGCTCTCTTGTAATGAAAAGTGAAACAAATAATACGGCCATAACAGCAATACGATAAAATAAGCAAAAAGAACAAGGGAGGAACTCAGCTAGACGTTCGTAACTGTTCAAAAATCTAATTGAACTCTCGGGCGGTGAACTTTTATCAGCTTCTTTTGACAAAACTCCCATAAGATTCTTCATGTTCTTGCTAACAGAACACGAGAACCATAGCGAGTCTGAAGCTGTAAAGTTCCCATTCGCACGGAATACAGTAGAAAACCCAAGGAGTCTGCTTGAAACTTGGACAAACTCAAAGTACTCATCTCTCTCTCTCTTCCACAGGAGTGCACGCACGCACGCAGGCACACACACACACACACACACACACACACACACACACACACACCTCTGGAACACATGTGTTCACATTCACATGGCCAAACCTTCGCAGGAGTTGGCCGCCCTTACCCTTGACGGAGAAGTCCTGGCGCTCGATGATGTAGTAGGTTAGAGGCAGACCGCCATCGTCCTTCGGCGGCCCGAAGGTTATAAGGCACGACGTGGAGAAGATCTCAGACACCTGCAAGTGAGGACACAAGTTAAGACACACTCAAGTCGCAGGCGCAGATGGAAACCACAAGACCCTAATATATCTACGAGAAAATATTCCGACTATGCTATGGGATCGATCTCGCATTCCCGGACTTCTCAAGCTCAGGCAAATATCTTAAAGAGAGCGTACATAAACGGAGATGAAGCTGTACCTCAACATTAGTAGGAGGAGAAGGCCTGTCCTGCATGTTGATCTTGACCTCCTTGCTGCTCTCGCCGGCCTTGTTGGACATCCTGATGGTGTACTTGCCGGACTGGTCCCTGCTGGGTTTCTTGAAGGTGTAAATCACCTTCTTGTCTAGGATGTTCACCTCCACCTCCTTCACATTCATGGGCTTGCCGTCCTTCAATAGTTTGGCGTCCACCTTGGAAATCCTTGCGCCGGGAACTGAACATGAGGAGAGGTTGGACGATGTTAGGGTCTTCTGGTGTACGCTACAGTGGGAGGATGTTTGGGTCGTCACGTGTACACTACAGTGCCCAAACTCACACACAAAGGCACACTCAAAACTCCACGCACTAAGCCCCGTTATGGTGTTCCTATTTCTGTAACGGCCAGACGTGTTAAAACCTCTTCTCTCTCTTTCTCCTCACCTCCCCTCTCCTATTTCTATCTCTCCTTCCCTCTTCCCCCCCCCTCTCTCTCTCTCTCTCTCTTCTTTATTATCCTTCCTCCTTTCCACCTCTTCTCCCATTCCCTTCCCCTTTCCTCTCTTCTCCCCTCTTCCACTCTTTCTACTTTTCCCAGGGTCATCCCAGACAAACCTTATTACCATCCAGTTCTGTAATAAATTGTAGAGATATCTTTAACATCTCAGTCATTTCTCCCCCTCCCCCGATAACTGGTTTGAGTATTTTCAGCTGTGAGGGCGGACTCCTCCCAATTCTTTGTGGTTATATAGATGCAAGTTATTACAGTCATGGAGTTACAAGCTAATAGCAACCATTACAGTGAGTTGTTAGCAACGTTACAATGGTGGCAGCGGTGGGATGTTGCTGAGTGTGACTTCGGAGAACGTTACATTCCCACCCATCAGCTCAGTCTTATCCCTTTACCCACCATCCCCCACGACACCTTCCACAGGGGGTAATGAATGACCACACTACTAAAATGGGTCTCAGACTTTTGTAAGTACTCTAAAAAATGAAGAAAATATGCAGATGAATTGAAAGAATCAAAGAAGTAGAAAACTGTGACCTTATATCCGGAAATATGTAAACTATCTCAGTAACGTAATTTGCCTCGTGACTTTGACTAGAACTATTGACTAGATTCGTCTGAACCAAAGATTGTCTGCTTCTAAATATAGCATTTAACGGCCACATTTATTTATTCGATGATTGAAGAGGAAACTAAGGGGTGACACTCACTTGTGTATGGGACCTCGAAGACGAGTGGTTTGGTCACTGGTCCCTCAATGGGCTCCTCTGGCTTGATGCTTGGTGGCTTCTCTCCTTCACCCACGCTCAGCTGGCAAGCAGTCTCCAGGTTCCCGCACACCGCCTGCAAGTAACGAAATAAAAACCCTGGTAACTAACAGTTTATTTGTGTAATCTCCACAGCCAGCGGTGCTTAATTACATTTTCCCACCGGTTGGCAGATCTCGTTGAGTGTCATAAGCATTTTTACATTTATTCTTACAACCACAGAGGTCATCTTTAGTCACAGAATTAGTTTATATGAATTGCCCACAAAAAGAAATATTTATATGATGTTAAACTATCACCTGGCTTCATTTGAGGGATTTTTCCCCCTTTGTCAGTCAGTCCCACTTGCATTCACGGCATATTTGTCAGTGTATTTACGGGACCTTAATGAATCACAGCTGTCATGATGCACTAACCTTAATCTCGCCCTCATGGGCTGTGGCGGCCTCTTTGATGATAAGGCGGTGAACTCCGCCCTTCTTCTGGAACTCATAGTTGTCTCCTTCAGTCACCTCCTTCCCGTTTATGAACCACTGCAGGGGCGCATTCGGGTCAACCAACTCCACTTCGAACGTCGCTGGCTGCCGCTCGTAGGTCATCTGATCCTGCAGCTTCTTCTTGAACTTGTTTTCATCTGTGGCAGGTCGGGAAGGATTTAAGATGGAACTTCGATGACATTCAAGATCGGGTGGGGAAGGGACGAAGGGTGGAGTTAGACTGGGATTGTTATGAACAGCATGATAGCTCCTTCTTACTAAAATGACAATACAGTACTTGTTTAGTACAGACTAAGGTGTCTATATTTATATATATATGAACACGTTGTGAACAGTGTGAGAATAGCGTGAGTTACCTTATCCCTTTGTGTGTACTTATACATCAATAAACTTATTTTAATTTCCATTTCAATTCAAAGCAATCTTTAAAATAGTTTTGCATCTTGTTGCATGGTTTGCATTGACGATTATTTTGTTATTGGTCATGTTGAAGTCAAGATGATATTTGAATTATTATTATTATCATATAAATCTGCTACAAGATAATTGTGGCACTTGGTTTGCCAATGCAAATGTGCTTAACAGTTTGTATCTTAATATTGTATCTTAACAGTGAGTCACGGTTGACATGATTTAATTTGCATAGTACATGTTGCAGTAAGATACTTACATAGTGTATGTAAATGATGTGGTTACATGTGCTTGTGCTCCTTGAGATAGGTGCTAGTCTTTAAATTTACAAATTATGATTGTTGCATGTGATTTTGTGCATATTAATTATTCTGGAGCAACCATTAGACCATTGCATATGTTTACCTAAATTATATTGTATCATATATGTCAGTTTGAATTAGCTGGTTAGAAACTTTCCAGTTGACTGGAACATTATAACGAGACACCAAACCCTCCCCACCCCCCCCCCTTTCAAGCCACTTGGATAGTTATCAAGTCGACAATCGACTTGATACAATGGTCCAAGACGGACCGAAACGTTGCCGTCTCCTCATCTTCTTATGTGTGGTTTGGTCATTATATCTTCAGCCACGTTATTGTGACTCATCGTCTGCTCTGTATTTCGATGCTATGAGCTGTTGCAGCTTTCTAACCCTGTTTATATATACAACAGACGAAAATGAATGAAAGCTATTTAACATTGTAAAATCACTTCACCTTCATTGGTTGAGTGCACAGTGCACTAGCGTAGTGTTACAGCAATAACAGTAGTGCATGAGGTCGATGTACAACAGATCTCTATAACCCCTTATATGTAACAGGCGAGAATGTACGTCTGTTGGTTAGTACTGTAAAAGCATTACAGTCATCTTCTCAGGTTGAGGACCCAATAACTCATTACAGTATATGTTGTGTAACACATCTCTAACCCTGTCTATGGAGGGCAGTAGAAAATATACATATGCTGGTTAGCATTGTATACATGAACGGCTATGTATACCGGTGAAAATAATCTAAAAAAAAAAGAAACAAAATCCTTTTTTATCAATTTTCTCATCCACCACTTGTGACTTATAAACAGTTCTTACAGTGCCCCATCCCCCCCTACAGTGCTATATAGTACAAACGGCTCCAACCACCTACCACCTGCACACTACCACGACCCATCTGCCACAATCACTCACCCACTACCCCCCTCCTCCACATTCTCGCCACCTATCACCTGCACACTCCCACGACCCACCTACCACTTGCCACTTACACTGAACAATAATCTCGCAGGTGGTCTCATCAGCGTTGGTCCTGCAGGAGTAGTTACCAGCGTCGTCCATGGAGATGCTCTTGAAGACCAACTGTCTCTTCTTACCGTCCTTCATGATCTTTAAGCTGGAGTGGCAGAAGTGGAAAAGTTAGTCCAGCTCCTCAGGCAGGCAGAGGTCGGCGTCGGCTCAAGGAGTGGATACTTTCCTCCAGTTGCTACTACTTTAAGGGAAAACTAATAATTGGAGATCTTAATGGGACCGGATATCGCGAGGACCAATTGGCCGGTCAAGACCATGAGGTTATGTTGGCTAGTTGAGACCAAGAGGTTCTGTTGTTCAACCGAGACCAGATTCACAAAGACTCGCAGTTGAAATTTGATTAAGTTTGGTAACAAAGGATGATATTAAGGCATTTGACAATGGCAGAATTTCAGGGTAAAGTTCATGTTACTTCGGTCCTCTATGCTCGCGCCAGCCTCATGAGTTTTCCCTTTCCTAACCAGAAGGAATATTTTCGAAGAGCGAATCTTGGACACTCCGAGCTCAGAGGCTCCGGTGACCAAAACCCAAACAAGCCAACTGGAGAAATCGTACCCCCGCCCTTGGCCGACGTGCCGACAGCTCTGCGACACTGACAGAGTGTGTGTGTACGTGTCTGGTGTCTGGTGGCGCGGCACTGAAACTTTCCATACTTCCCGACACCTATGTCGATGTTCAGTTACTTTTAAATCACTTTCTCAAGTTGCCATTGTGAAAAAAAACGAGAACGAAAATTACAAAGAACATATTCCATAAGAGTAAAAAAAAAATAGACTGTACTGTTCAGGTACACAAAAAAGTTGTACAAAAATACATACAACAAGCACACGAAAAAACAGAGTGGAAGCAAAAACTTGAAAAACTAAAAAAAATCTTTCAAAATTGTACAGGTATGCACATCAAAATAGTTCGTGCTCAAGTGGGATATGTGGTGCTTGTTGAGTGGCCCCCACACGTGGCATGTGATCATAATGTGGCTCACTGAGTGGCCTCGCTGGGCCAGTGGCATATGCGGTGCTCACTGAGTGGCCACAGAGTTGTAAACAAAAAGAATAATACCGTGCTCACTGAGTGGCCCGGACCGCGTTCCGCATCTACTGGCTTACACAGCCCCTCTACCTCTCTACCTTTATCTACACGCTAAAGACATGAAGAACACCACTATCTTATATACAACTAAACATAAAACACTCATAAATGATACAAAATGTAGATTAAAATAATAAAAGATAGAAAAAGATATAAATATATATATACATATATAAGAGAGGTTTAAGCGCTCTACATACACAAAAAAAAGTCTCAATATACGAGAGATATACTCATAAACTAGCACAAAATATTAGATATCAAGGTAGAGAGGCCCACCATAAATTTGTATGATCTGACACGTGGATATATAAAGTGAGACACGAGCGGATATGTGCGGAAGGCGGCCCGGGTTCGAGTAGAAACACACACATTCTAAACTGCGGTTTGAGGTAGAAGCGTCCTGTGCCAGACTGTGGGGGAGGGGGGGGGGGACGATGACTGCCTCTGGGGCACACGAGTCAGTTCCTCGTGACAAAACTGGTTACAGTTTCTAGGGGGGTGGGGGAAGGGGGGTGGAGAAGACAATATACTGTAATCTAATCCTCCGAGAGCGAGGGAAGACAATATGATACTATCTTGTCCTCGAGGGAAGACTATATTACCCTCTAAGATATTATATTACTGTCTAATGCCTGAGGGAGGAATCGAGAATGACAGAGCAAGAGGGACGGGTCATGGCCACCAATGTCTGGAACAGGGAAAGCTAAAGCTGGCGTCCTGGACATACAGATAGATAGACAGACACACACACAGACAGGCTGACAGCCGCTGATCAGGAAATGCGAAGGCAGAGTAGCATTGTGGCGAAGCAGGCGACGATCACTGCAAATATTTAATCACTGGTGCTGTCCAGTTAAAGTTCAGTGCTGAAGTTGAGGCTGTTTTGTTTTTAACTCCGTCTCGGTTTAGAATATCTTGAGTTTAATGTCACTGCTTCGTTTTATTAAATTGATTGAGCATAATTTGTTTAAAATTGTGGGTTTTATCAAGTTTTATAAAGAGGAATTATTACAAGGTCACCAGTTGTTGGGTCTGGGCCTTGTAGTCGTCCTTGGCGTCCAGTCACATAGTCGGATTGAGCGGAAAAAGTGAAATAAAAGTTAAAAAAAAAGAAAAAGAAAATAAAATCAAGTTGATACCAAGACTAAAAAGTGCCCACTGACGACACTTGAGACAACATTTAATTACCTGTCGGATCGGAGTGACGAACATGCTTGAGATCTGCGAGAGGGCAACACGATGTAAACAAGAGAGAAGTGGCAGGTCGAAGTATTCCTTTAGTGGTTTAAGTCGCGCCTGACAAGATGCGGTGTGTCTCAGGAGCCCGGGAGACACCGGTGCCATCCCCCCCCCTTCTACAAGGCTTCAATATTGATTCTCGTAGAACTATCTCATGTTATGCATGATTTGGTTTCATGTTGGGGTAAAGGTCTATCAACCTCTGGAGGGTTATTAATGACTCTACAGTTGCTTATGACCAATTACCAAGTATAGTTTAGCCGTGAACATAGTCCGGGACTAAAGTAAACTCTTAGTGTATTTACACCGAGAAGCGGGCTACACCTCTCAGGGTATTCCATTCATCTGGGTTCTTGCAGACTCGAATTGTGGACCGCAAGCGTGTGAAGCCGAAGCTCTATCAACTGAGCTATTGAGTAGTCTTAATAAGGAAGTGTATATATATCACCGATATATACAGTGTATGTGTATATATATGCAATATATATATCCCCGATACTGTGTATATGTTTTAGGCTTATAAAGTTCTCCACTGAGGCTGCCGCATTTTGTCACGTGCGACAAAAACATGTTTGGAGAGTTTAAAAGAAGAAACGCTAACCAAGAATGGAAGAGAAGACAGACGAGGGAAGAGATGGACTTACAACTACACTGACGGATAACAGTTGGAAGTTGATAGTTCACGAAGAGGATAATAATAATAATATTACAGATACAAAAATCACATCTGAAAATCGGTATAAATAATCAGCAATATGATATTGTCATAAGATGAAAGGATTGAAATGATGAGCATTCGTGGGATTAGGAGTCGGGTCGGGAGACACGTCAGCCCAGCACACTAAACAGAGCCAAGAAGACAACAAATCCCACACTCTAAGATACAGAGAGAGCGCCACGCAGGCTGTGCAACCCATTCTCCTGTTTTGAAAGTAGTTTTGTGTGACTATGTAGTCGCTCGTGTTAATTTGTAGCAATGGAGCCCCCAGTAAGTCACTTTTTGCACTATTTTTTAACAGGCTATGAAAAAATGAAGCTAAAACCTAAACTGAAATATTCCTAGGCCTAGTATAACACATATATATGTTGTATATTAGGCCTCAGATAGCGTGTATTAGACCGAAGATGGTTTGGTTTTATTAGTAACAAATATGAAAACTTTTCCGGTTTGGCCAAATTCAGCTCTACAAAAGTGTAACATCTGGTGGTTAACATCACGACATATCTCTACTTTCCACCACATTGTTACTGTCAGTACTGTACTTCCAGTTTAGGAGGCTGAGCTGGGCTATGGAAAGTCAAAATGACCTCTCACTGTTCACATTCACCGGACTCCCAATGTTGCCCAACACCTCCCACACTCTCGCCACGCTCCATATAGAACTGTGGGATTTCTGGTTTTGACTATTTTTTTTGCCTAATAGCCGGGCACTGATTAGATGCGAGATTGACATACCTAGGGACCCAGATTCCAATCTCAGATATTGAATCATGGAAATAAATGAGATCAAAATATTCTGTGCTCATTCAAATGTTTCTTTTAGTTAACAACGTTTAATTCGCAAACAAGATCAAAGCATAACGAGCTCTTCTTGTGAGCTGAATCTAAGAACTGTAAACAGGGAAGCAGGCCAAGCTTATCAACTTACATCTTGCTGTCAGGAGTCAGTTTCTGGCCGCCGTAGAACCACTCTACTTCGGCCTCGGCTTCGTCAACGTCGCACTCGAGGATGACCTTAGAGTTCTCTGTGACCGTCTTGGACTTGAGCTGCTTGGTGAACTTGAAGGGCTGGTCTGTAAGCCAAGACATGCGGAGTTCAAGACAAAGATTTTAATATTCTCTCCCTATTCTCTAAATCCCATTACTCGTGACTAATATATCCGAGAAATGCAGACAATACTCACAATTACTTAGCCAAACAATTATAAGAAACTATAATTGCAATTCATTATTACAAGTATACAAGTGTTTATCATTCTTCAATTTCAGCTTTACTGCTTGTACATCTTGGCAGTACACAAGGCTCGCAGAAGGCTACACCTTGGGACTGTGTCTTACACTCTCTCAAGCTAACACAAGATTAAGTTAAGAACACAACAGTTGTAGGGCGATTTAAGTTGATAACCCAAGTCTGTTCAGGGTAGAAAAGGGTTACCCTTTCCTAAACTCACAAGCCATTTCACCAAGGAAATATTGATATAGAAGTCTAAAACAGTCTAAAACAACCTGACTTAACAGACCACTAATCTCCTAAGCCACTCATCTCTCAACCCATTGAACTCACAGCCTACTGATCTCACAACAGTAATATAACACCTCGCTGATCTCACAACCCACTGATGTCACAATCACCTAAACTCACAACCCACTGATCTCACAAAATATTAATCTCACCACCCAATGAACTCATAACCCACTGTTATCACAAAATTCTTATTTCACCACCCACTGAATATCCAATTCACGGCTCTTACAAACTACTAAACTCACTACCGACTGAACTCACGACAGTAATATGATACCCCGTTGATCTCACAACCCAATGATGTCACAAAATACTAATCTCACCCCCCACCGATCTCACCACCCACCGGACTCACCACCCACCGGACTCACCACCCACCGGACTCACCACCCACCGGACTCACCACCCGCAGAACTTACCGACGATGGAGAGGAGAGTCTCGGTGAACTCCTTCTCACACCTGAAGATCTTGGCGGTGTACTTGCCCTTGTCCTTCTTGCTGGCGTTCTTGATGGTGAGGCGGACGGTGCCGGTCATGTCCTTGTACGTCTCGAACTTCTCGTCCTCCTGCGGGTGCAGAGAACACTCGCTCAGTAGTACCTGGCTACCGTGTTCCCGCCCTCCACCGCCCAACCGGACGGTGGACGGCGGTGGAGGGCGAACCTTAATGCATTACAATGAACCTTAATGCATTACAATGAACCTTAATGCATTACAATGAACCTTAGTGCATTACAATGCATTAAGGTTCATTTTACCGTTGTATTATGATCTGACGACAAGAGGTTCTTTTCGTTGAACTGATCAAAGAAACTGGTTGAAAATGTTGACAGGGTCAACGAGGGTTTCTCATAGTGCCAGGCCATAATAAAATTTGTAAAAATAAACGTAATTTTACAATTTGTTTTCAAGCGAAGAAAAATATATAGATTTGTGCTAGAATCATTAATTGATTTGGTGTCGGGCTTAACGCCTGTCAACCACTGGAGGCGTCACTAAGCCCACAACAATACCTTACTGACCAACAGGCAAGAATTCTTTAGTACCCCAACATTGTTCAGACCTAAAGAAAACTCAAGTGTATTTACACTGAGAAGTGGGCTACACCTCTCAGTGTATTTACTCTGAGAAGTGGGCTACACCTCTCAGTTTATTTACACCGAGAAGTGGGCTACACCTCTCAGTGTACGTATCCCTTTTGTGAATTACTGACCGGACTCTTTCTGTCATATTTAACAACATATATCGTCAAGAAAGAACGCTACCAAAAGCAGACGAGGAGTCACAATAACGTGGCTGAAATATGTTGACCAAACCACACACTAGAAAGTGAAGGGACGACGTTTCGGTCCGACCTGGACCATTCTCAAGTCGATTGTGAGAATGGTCCAAGACGGACCGAAACGTCGTCGTCCCTTCACTTTCTAGTATGTGGTTTGGTCAACAATGCTACCAAAATATATTAATATATACTGTATATCTAAATATACATTTAGAGTTCCTTCTCGCCAAGAAAAAATATTTTTAATTTGATTGTGTCTGTTTGCAGAATGCATATCAATATGTGTATGAATGAACAAAGAACGTTTGGTAAATATTAGTAAGATAAATAAACAACTCAATAAATAATCATAGCTTTTCAGTTACTTTAAACATTTTATAACAGCTAATCTTTAAACAAATGTTAGAAAAACAATTGCAAAACTGTTTTTCACTGATCCAATGTAATACACTCTGCTTAATAATAAGACCAGGACAATCGAACTTCACAAACAAAAGGTTTATGAGGTTGACTTGTAAGAAGAACAATACGTCACCTCAATCTTCTCTTCTCCCTTGAACCAGTGAACGATGGCCTTGTGGGAGTTGACCTGCGCCTCGAGGGTGGCGTCCTTGGTGGTGTAGCTCGAGATCTTCTTCGGCAGCGGCCGCACGAACTTGAAGTCCGGGTCAGGTTCTGTGGACCAGGCCACAACGTTACATGGGAGCGTGGGTCAAGGCTTATATGAGCGGTGCAGCCAAACCTTTTAAACATTTAATTCCCTTAGGCACTAGGAGGCTCGAACCGCCGACCGCACGGTGTGAGGCGGAAGTTCTTCCACGGAGAGCCCCTATTGCATCGATTTCAGAGACAGGAAACCCCAACCCAACTGAAATGTTATATATTCCCCGCCTCCCCCCTTTAAGCACACAGGAATTAGTGATCCAGCCTCATGTTATATAAACAGTTTAAATGCCTAAATGAATGATATATATATATGCGATACATATCTATATATACATATCCTACATAATATATATCTCCATATATGTGTGTGTGTGTATATATATATATAGTATGTATGCATATATGTATATATATATATATACATACAACTACACACACATATAAATATCGTATTATATATATATACTTGATATATATAAAATATATATATATATATATATAAGATAGGATCAAAACAAGTAAGTAGACTACAAACTCAGCATCTCTAAAATGATGTGGCTGAGAAGAAGAAGGTGTACCAGACCCACCTTGGACAGTGAGGATACAGGAGCAGGCGATGCCCATGCACTCCACTGTATATTTGCCCATGTCATCTAGCGTGGGCTTGGTGATCACCAGGGTGTGTACACAACCCTCGGACTTGAACTTGTATTTGGCTCCTGTGAACAGCTCCTGTGAGAGGTGTGGAAGGAGAGAACGTTAATGAATAAATCCTCAAAGGGCCGTGATGAGGAGTTCGAACTTACGACCAGGATGATCCCAGACGCGCCTTAATCGACGTTAAAGCTCGCGCATGTATGGTTTTGTCTTATGGTGTATGTGATGTGAGGTAATTATCAAGAGAAAGCACCATGCCAGTCATGACTTTGTAGCACATGGGAGGAATATGAGGAGGGAAGGGGATATAGGAGCAGAGATAAGGAGGTCGGTGTCAAGGGACGTTGTCCAGCAATTTGGACCAGTGGAGATAGAACGCTCACCTATAAGGAGTGAGGATATCGAATATCAACCAAAGTGTGTGTTTGTTTGTTTGTTTGTTTGTGTGTGTGTGTGTGTGTGTGTGTGTGTGTGTGTGTGTGTGTGTGTGTGTGTGTGTGTGTGTGTGTGTGTGTGAAAAAAAACTTTTATATTATTTACAAAGCTGAAGAAAATATATAATTAATTGAATTGAGCACTAATTTATACATTATTATTATTAATTTAGATTCTAACAATAACAACAATATTTTATACAATAATATTTACAATATATTTATAGATCTCTACAAATTCGTAGTAAATCTGATGTAGCTAAGCACTTCTACTCACATCCTTCTTGAAGAACCACTTGGGCTTGGAGTCCTTCTTGGAGAACTCAGCCTCAAACTTGGCGAACTTGTCCTTGCCCTCCTTGACAGTGACGTCGAGCAGCGGCTTGACCCACATTTCCTGCTTCTGCTCAGGTACAAGGGAAGGGGGTGAGAATAAGATGCATGAGCTTGACGGGTTACCTAACGATGACCAACTAATATCAGATTCCTTTTCCCCCTTTATCACCAAATAAAACATAGTTGACCAGTTGTAAGTAAAACTCCTTCAGTGAATATGGTTTATGCTAGTTAACAAACTTAGTGTTGGAGAAAGAGTTAAAATATTTATAAAACAAGGGGGCTAAGGTTCTAATTACATTTTGAATATAATTAAACTTTCTCGTTGAGGAATTAATTAGATATATAATAATCAATATAACTGCAATAAAAGATGTGCATTGGGGGGTAGTAGTCTGCTATTTTTGGCCAATATATTCAGAACACGATTGTTTATGGGTAGGTTTTTAAAGTAAAATAATTGTTTTAAGAACAATAGTTGATACATGGAAATATCAGGTGGTATTTATAATTAGGCTATTTGCAGAAATTTTAGCAATACATTATTATATCTAAGAGAATGCTGATGTTGATAGCATTTTACAGAATTTGTTCCATGTTAAAGTAAAGAGAAACGCGTATTTTAATAAGGGGAATTCAAAATGAAATATTTCCACAGTTCATAATATCTGCTACCATCATTCACATAACAGCACACATGTGTGGCCACTGTTAGACATAGAGGTTTACGTAGGCTTCACTTAAACTAATCTTTTTTATAATTTTCATTAGGTTTGCCTAAATAAGATATCTTTGGGTAATCATTCTATTTGGAATCTACTGGATAGTTATATCTAGACAAACAGGGACAATTGAATACAGACCTGGAAAAAAAAGTTAGACTGAGTTAATGGGAATCAGAAAAATACAGGTTTAAAGAAATTCTAAAATGTTCTAAAATTCTAAATTCTAAATGTTTTTTTATAAACATCAAGCAAAGTTCAAATTCCGATAAAATGCTTAACATCAACATATCTCGTCATCGATTAAGACAATATCTTTGCAATGTAAGTCAGCAATGTCTTACCCTTTATAATATCTTGACGGGACACTGCCTAGACCAACAGTCAACTGAGGGTATTGCAAATATGTAACACTGAACAAAATGATTTGATGATAATAATAATAAAAACAATAGTAATGATATAATTAACTTTGGGGGTGACAGAGAACCACAATGTGGCCCAACCTGCGAGTATAAACATCAATATATATATATAAAAGGATTATTTCACATCTAGATAATACATGCGGACGTGCGTATCAATGTGACGGTGGAGCTGGAGGTGGAGACGCCGTAACCAGCGTCTCCGCAAGGATAAAATATGTAAGATAAGAGAGAGAGAGAGATGAAGATATAACATGCGCACATGCCTTAATCTATCTCAAGCCTGCATCCGGCCACGTCTAGAATAAGAAGAAACTGTAAAAAAAAACTGTCTTCAAGATACGAGTTTCTTTCCCTTGTTCTTGAGCTAACTTCGATTAACTTTCTGGATGTAATCTCATCCGCTTTAAATACACAGTTCTTGAATGTGATGTGAAAGCTGCAAATTCGATGCATATATGTATATATATATATATATAAGATGAGGTCGCAATGTCCTCAACAAACACGGGAAGAAACTTTGATATACAGTTGCATGTGCAAGATAACTTTTTATCATACATGTACGTGCAAAATTTTAGCCACCAGGATGGCTGGAGTTTATGTAGAGGAGGTTTAAGGAAAGTTATAAATGTTTGATTTAGGGAAAACAAAGATGTTTAGGATTTACGTTTTTAAAAGATCATTTTAATTTAAGTATTAAAGTGCGTTTTATGAGTGTTGCTGCTTATTTAAAGTGTTTACGTTTGGCGTGCCCATCTAGGTGACACTTTACTAAGGGTTGGCTTGGTTAAGGCGCGTTGGTTGAATTATAATTAATTAGTTTTTTATTAGCATATATTTAAATGCATGATTGTCCAAAAAGACAAAACCAAATAAATACGTTATAATTTATGATACATGTTTTTTGAGGTTCATGGGTATGTATCAGATACCTTCAAATTATTAAAAAAAAATAAGAAAAATAGTTAAGATTAATAGTAATGAATAATACATATCAAAAAAAGAGAGCCAGTCGGTATTTCTTGTGTTGCTATGATAAAGAGAATGAATGAATGCACTTGTTCAAGCGTGCCAAACCTCGGTGCAGTGTTGCCAAACCTCGGTCCAGTGTTGAAGTATTGGCCAATCGGGGATAAGGTCTGCGAGTGACTTCCTGCGGGGGGCGTCACCCTCCTGCAGCCCAGAGAGAAACAATGGTGTCTTAGTTGGCTGAGGGCTTGCTGGGTGGGGGGTAGGTACTGGACAAAAAGGGTGGATGATCACTCAGCTCACCCCAGGTCACTTCTCAAGCAGACTATTAGAGCAGCATGAGCCGCAAAGGAGGTTGTGGGAGGGACACACACCGCGGGGAGGGCGGGGCAAACTGCGGGAGAGGGGGCGGAGCGAGCGGTGCCAGGCGGGCTGGAGGCGGAGTTGGGGGCGGGGCGTAGTACATAAGCTTCCTGCAGCTGCATATTATAAATTTCAATTTTAAATAATAAAAAAAAACAATTAATCCTTCAATATTGTATTTAAAACTGTCGAGTACCAACTATATGAATATATACCAAGTATACCATAATAAATGTCAAACGTATCTAAATTAAAAATAAAATAATAAAGGTAATCCAACATACAACTGAAGTACAAATTTTTATGAATAATAAACCATGATAATTGCAACACAGGTTGAACTTACACAATGACCCACGTAACTATTACGTCCAGAAGTGTGTATAGGACGTAAGAGTGGTCCTGTACGCACTGCTCTGTGCTACACTGCCGAGGGTCACTGTGTAAGTTTCAACTGCTTCTTCATATCTCTATAATATTATACATTCAGTAAAACAGTTCTATGTTAGGCTTGACTTATTTACTTTAATATAATATTAAATAAATTTAACATTTATTACACTGAAACATTAGTTAAAATTAACGTAGATATATATATATATATATATATATATATATATATATATATATATATATATATTAGGCAAATCAGGCCTTGCATATATATAGGTATATATATATATATATATATATATAAACAATGTCAGACCACGAAGGAAGGATTAAGACAGGAAATTCTTTAAGTACTCTAGTATTTAGTAATCCATTTTCAAAAGGATCAACTTTCCTAAGATGTATTATTAAATGCGAAAGTACTTAAGGAATTTCCTGTCTTAATCCTTCCTTCGTGGTCTGACACTGTCAGAACGCTTATGAATTGAAATTAGCTAGAAAATAAAAATAAAAAATATCTCGCTACTAATCAGTTCATATTAATAATAAGGATACACAGTTTAATTAATATTAATTATTATTTTAGCTGAGGTCAATAATTCGGAAACATTGTCTCTAGCAGCTCTTCCTAATTGGTTTCAATTATATACAAAGTGTGTGAATTTAAATGGATTTTCCCATGTTTAAATGTCAACAATGCTAATTGAAGGCAAAATATTTGAATTATTACGTCTAGATACATTAATTAGGAATACAAAATAATGTCTAATTAGGTGAACATATCCATAATAACAGATATATAACATTATTTATAACAATTACAATATTTATCAGTGAAAATATTGCCGCTGGGTGAAAGCTAGAGGGACACGTTGATTATGAGGAATCAAGTGAATGAGGGCCATTGATCACGTCTAGAAAAAAAACGAAAATTGCAAACGCATTACAACAGCACGTAAAAGGCAAAACAAAATGATAAAGCTCTGAATGAGAAACTGAAAATAATGACTAACAAGGAACAGCCGTACACATGATAATCATGGAAGTGTTTAGAAAGGGAACAAATGCGAGGGGATGGGCGAGGTTAGCGGTGTGTGGGGGGCGGCGGTGGAGGCAGGCGGCCGGGGTCATTACCCTGGAGCGTTTGACGGCCTGTAGGGTTGGCCAGTCGGGAATTATCTCAGACAACGATGGCTTGCGGCTTCCTGGCTCCGGGGGCTTAAGTCTTGGCGTGGGTTCCTGCCAGAGCGTCGAGTATGGAGGGAGAGATCAAGTTAGCAGCCACTCCACTAGCAACACTTGTCTGAGGGTACCAGCCTAGGCTCCAGTGCACCGCTGTGGGCGGTCACTCAGCCTCAAGTTAGCCCTTGAGGCTGACTATACTTACTCCTTGGCAGATGTTAACACAAACGCCCAGACGATATAATATAGGAGGGTACACAACGTCTTGAAGAAGCTATTCAAAATTTTTGTAAAAATATATCTTCAAAAATAAATGTAAAACTATGTTAATTATAAAAAATAAATACAAAACTATGTTAAAATACTATTTCTTATTTATAAAATGTTTAAAAACCATCATTCATTTGTTGGTTGAATGAGTTTATTTTAGTTTTAAATATGTGTTATTTGTAATGTTTGACTATAATTCTGTTTAAAAGATTTCTTATATTTGTATAATTTAATTTAAATAATTCTAAATAAAATAATAAATACTGCTACTAAAAAAAATAATCATGCATTCGTCCAGTATAGTATCAGCGTCTTGAGAATATCATCTCCACGAAAGTCCTGTAACTAAACAACCGGTTGAAATGGAAAGCTCCCTCTTAATATCTCCACAAGACGAAAGGAAAAAAATGAAGCTGTAAAGGATAAAGAAAGTTAGATAAACCAAAACAGAGCTGGAAGAATGAGATCGAGAAGTATCTTCAGTGCTTGAGACTAGTGACGTCACGTCTGCTTGCCCAAGGTCGCTTATAAGTGTACACCCAAGTTAAGAACTTGAGTGGCAGTCCTCCAGGATAGCTTATGAGGGGGCCACGTATTTTCTCTCCTGGTTCTCTGGCACTGGTATAAAACCTCAAGTGTGTAAAGGGTTAAGAAAGTTTCATTAGGCTGCGGCTGGAGAGGAACTTACCCTCTCGACCTTGCGGAGTTGAGGCTTCACCTCCTTTTCTGTTTCCTTCAGATCGCCCCAGTCCGGATCTTCGTTGTCCTTCTTCCACTTAGCGTACTTCTTTTTCTTCAGCATAGCACGGAAGTCCATGCCACTGGCATCTGGTTGGAAAAGGAAATTAAATGGAAAGTTGTTATTGTACAAGAAAGCGTATGTAACGCTCAATGAAATCACAAGTAAGTGATGACAAACGACATGCCGCTATCTTCTGCTTATTTGTGTACAGTATTTATCTAATTATTCTGGCATAACGCAAGAAAGATTTAATCATTAGACACAAGGCAATGATTTATCATTCACTACTATAAAACAAGCTATGCATCCTTGGTAAGTTTATTATCGCTTAACTCATCAAAATAAATTATTTCTCACCCGAGACGTAGAAGTCCATCTCGGCGGAGTCCTCGCCGTGCTCGTTACCCACGATTACCTTGTAGTGGCCCTCGTCGTTGGCCTTGGTCTTCCTGATGCAGAGGGTGATGGTGTTGGTCTCGCCCTCCGTGTGGATCTTGTAGCGACCGCCATCGATGATCTCGGTGATGCCCTTGAAGAACTTGATCTTGGTGGGTGGCGGGATGCCCTCCACCACCAGGTCGATGTAGCCGTTCTGGTCTGTAATTTAAGGCATATGCTTGGACCTGCTGCTTGGGTAACAGCTTCACCTCCATATCGATCTACACTGACTTTGCGCCCCTGGAGAGGCCACTCCAGACCGACAGTGCAACTCCATAGTCTCCTGAGACTAATGGATGGATGCCTACTACTACTATTATGTCATGGATCGATACCTGTTTTTTTTTTTTGGTAGCAATTTTCTGATTTAAAGTAACTTTTTTATTTTTTTTGCTAAATTTCTTCGGATAGGAGTTATTCAGTTCATTCTCTTAAAATGAAAGTACTCATATCAATTATTTGGTCGAAAATAACAATGTAGCGATGAACCACCAGAAAGTTGACTTTTGTATTATTGAATTTGGACAAACCGCTTTTTTTTTTGTTATCCATAACGTAAATATAAGACCTAACTTAACCTCTCCTAGCAATCCTATGCCTAAAACACTATCTTAGGCCTAATATAGTACATATATGTGCTAGGCCAAGGAATATTTAAGTTTATTTTCAACTTTATTTTTTCCGGACAAGAAAAAATAGTACAACAGGTGTTGTACTCGTGATCCATCACTACGTATTGGTACTTCAGACCAAATAGCTACAGTAAGTACTACCATTTCAGGAGAATGGGTTGAATTATTTCAGTCTTCGCACCGAGCGTAAGATGAGTCAAGGGTTGGTGAATCATTGTTTTGGTAAGAGCCACATAGAGGTGGACTAACCAAAGTGAATCAATATTTGGTATGAGACACATGGAGGTGGACTAAACAAAGTGAATCAATATTTTGGTATGAGACACATAGAGGTGGACTAACCAAAGTGAATCAATATTTGGTATGAGACACATGGAGGTGGACTAAACAAAGTGAATCAATATTTTGGTAAGAGTCATAGAGGTGAACATACCCTCAACTGCCGTGTACTTCTGCTGGACGTCGACGATGACTGGCGGACCCTCCTTACCGACGGCGCGGAGTGGGGTACACGGCTTGTCCATCTTCTCGTCATCTTGCACAGACGGTCTCCGCACATCACTGCTAGGGCGTCGACGCTACGGTGGTGATGAAGCAGTGAAGATGGTATCGGTGATGGCGATGGGGTCAACGCCAAGGAGGAGAGGCCCACGAAAAATCGAATTTGTGTTAGATTTGTACACACGCGGCGAGAGAGAGATTTACCAAGAACATTTGAGCAGGAAGTAGATGGCAGTACAGTTGTAAAGAAGTGTCTAAGACGTTGATAAGGAACACAGGATAGTGGGAGGAGACAAGGATGAATGTTTGGAGAGTAAGAGATTGAAAGTAAGTTATGAGATACAAATGTTCCTGATGGATCCGTCTCTAGTAGTTTGAGTGGCTGGTAACTTACCTGGTGCTCACTCGTCGCCAAGACTTAATGTAAACATATGCTTGTATAAATAACCAAAGAACGAATTGTCTATTTTTTGCAAATAATTGCAAACAAGTTCATTAAATATATATAAAACCAAAAATAACGTTTAATGAAACATGAAAGTCACAGATAAGGAAGAGTCGGTTTTGCACCGTTTATATAAACCAATATCTAAATATATAAGAAATTTCTAACTTTTTGAACACAAGAACTAAATATTTGTTTCTACGTATTCTACATTTTTTTTAATTACATCACTACATAAAAACACTTTGCTCTTGTTTCTTCGTTAATCCAAGAATTTGTGTCGTAAACATAGAACACATTTTTGTAAAAGGAAATAATAAGGCTTTAAATTAAATACTGTACACAAAGTGCACAGATACAGGGTAATACTTAATGTATTAATAATACAATTTATAAATAGCCAGAATGGCAAAAATATTATACGCACTCACATTGAACTTCAGTACTCTTGGTTTAACGAAGACAGCCTAAACCTACGACACACACTATATAAATTATTGTATCTAGTATACAGAACCACACCCTCATACACTTAACACTGAGAAATTGAAAGATAGAGCAGCAAGAAATATACCAATAATATATGCATTGTCATTCGTCGTTAAAAGAAAGCTGAGCATTCTTGTGAGAATAAAAGCTCATGACTCTATTTCAGGCTCAAAATGCAGTTACTAGCGACTTGAATTTAGTATAATTGTCAATAGTACTTTCACTCAAGAAATATTATTGATTTCTGCTGTCACACAACAACCATATTGAGCTTGAAAATAAGTACGATAAGAAGCTCATTTTAAAGCAAGTCATTTGTTGATTTGGTTCTAGGTGGCTGGAATAGGCTGCTACACACTGGTCTTGTCGCTCAAAGGAAAATAGGCTCTACGCCATTGGCTCTTTACTTAAGTATCGCGAAACCAACCGGTGGTTAGCCAATATCAGCGACCTAGTCTCTCGTGGGGAAGATGACTGTGAAAAATGTGAAACTTAGTATATCTGCCAGCACTAGACCTATACACGAGCGATGAGATCAACACTACTTCCGCATATTCTTGGTGCTAACTTGGGGTAACGTACACACTGCAAGTGACACCAAAATAGATCATAAACTACAAGAGTGACGGGAACATTGCTCTTGTGTTCGGCTTCAGGCCTATCAACCTCTAGTCTAGTGGAGTTATTAAGACCACCATAATTGTTTACAGACCAACTAGCAAGTATACTTTAGTACTGAACGTAGTCCATGACTTAAGTATACTCTCAAGTGAATATACAACGAGAAGAAATATATACTTCTCTGCGTATATTCCCTGTGACGAGACTACGAAGTTGAATAAGTATTTACCCTTACTATGTGAGCACAAGAACGTGCGTGGTAGCGAGATCACCAAAGCTCTATAGAAACGTTTTTATCGCGATTAAAATGCATTATACAAACAATAGCGTAGCACCGTGCATCGAGGAGTTTGAGATAAACTATTTGGAATTATTTTGCCATTTGGCTAAGGAACAGCCATTTCTAATATCTGAACCATCTGCCACAGCGGTACTTTAGCTCAACAGCGGAAACGGAGCAAGAGAATTCTGCAACACAGCGCTGCGAAGCTAAAGCTGGCCAAGACAGCTTGCTGGTTTCTAGTAAACTTCTACCAGCACGGTATCTATCCACTGCAGCGTCAAATATAAAGCTTCACTGAACAGATGAGCAATGAACATTTGTGAATGTGGGGCGAAACAAGTCCAGCAGTGAAACGACTGATGCAGTGTGAGTCAATACTGTGAAGAGTGGGGGAATGCTCCGAGCCATTCCACAAAAAAAAAAGCAAACAATTTTTAGTTTTCCCAACCTGATCATCGTCTAGAATTTCTCCCGGTCTCAAGCGACTCTGTTGTTAGCAAATAAGATAAAGGATAATTTGTTGAAGTGAGAATCAAATATTCGTTGTAAATATATTTTCTTAAAGACTTTTAAGAAGGAAACATTAAAGAGTAGGCTGTTAGTATAATGTGAATTAAAAAGGAAGAATAGAAAGCATACACTACGAAGTGGAATTGATAATAGATTACTGACAGAAAAAAACAGAAGAAAACGCGCGCGAATACGCTGATTCAAGAAAAGTTATCCAAGGCAGAAGCGCCAACGAAATTGGTACTAACGGTCATAGCAAGAGAAGAAATACGGTTTATCATCATTATAAGGTCGGTGTCAGGGTTTAAAGGTTGATCATTTTATAATATAAGTTTGTTTTAACATTTATATATATTGTGGGCAACAAAATACATTAAGATGATAAAAACAATTCATCACTTTGAGGGCGTTGAAGACTGCAGACGACACCGTACAGGGATCTGCGTCTGGAAGTGTTTCATGCTACTGAAAACGTTCCTTAACTTTGGTTGTTATATAATGTTTAAAATCTTAAGAGTCAGCCTTCGCTTTATCACCAAATTTAACAGGTATTTGTTTTTGTTTTATTTAAGTGAATTTAGTGTTTGCAATTGATTTAATGTGACCTTTATAAAAAAAAGAAAAGAAATGTGTTAGACCCAAGATAATTGCTGTGCAAATAAATATGCTTAACATAAGTAAACAAATAGCAAATAAGCTGGCAATAATGATTCTAATTCTACAATACAAATACGAGTGAGCAAGGAAAAGACTACTGCAAGAATCTTAGGTCTAATGTAGAGAAACATAATTCGTTCTTACAGCAGGTGACAATCAGCCTAGGTGTTACAGAAAGCAATTGTTGCTCTATACTTGCCAATGACAAGCAGTTAGTTTGACAAAAAAAAATCACTATATAAAACATCAGTTTTTGTAGACATACTAGTTACGTGAATAAGTGTGACGTCTCTGCCGGAATACTCTGTGATTGGCTGATCTGAGCACACCAGTCATGTTTACAAGTGTGGCGTCACTGCTGGAACACACTGTGATTGGCTCATCTATCACACTAGTCGTAGCTACAAGTGTGACGTCAGAGTCAGAACACATTGTGATTGGTTGGTCTAGTGTTGCCAGGTCTCGCAAAAAAATCAACTGCTTGTCACTACTGTACACGAATGAATCTAAAATAGCAAGAATTCATTCGATATAAACGGAATGATCCTACCCAGTACTGAAGTATCTAAGTTTAGGTAGGTTGTGTTTAGGCGTTTGAAGTACGACACAAAAATATGTGAAAATTCAGTAAATTATGTAAAGGTTAAACAAAAAATTAAAATAACCCAATTTTAGAAGGAAGAAAACGTGAAAATACTGCTTATCAAAAATATATTTGTTGTGATTTCATTGGGACTTTTGAAATAGAAAATCTCAAATGAGACAGATTAACAGAAGAAATACAAAAATTCTCCACTCGTTCAAGACGAGAGGTAGGGGGACTCAGCACTATAAGACAAATCTTTGGACAAAAAATGCGACAGTGGACAAATGAAATAAAAAAAATATATATAATGTGTATACATATTATAACGAAAGTGGCAAAAGAGAGAGAAAGAAGACGGAAGAAAGGACTTTTTTTATCATAAAAGTTTATCATTCCACGCCGACTTGACACAAGAGCCACAGATCAACGTGGTGTACCACAGCTCACCTGTTTGGTTGCTTGCTCGCCGGGTTTAAGTTTCCCCTATTGAAGAGACGGTGAGGAAAAGATAAGAGCATTATTTGGGAGAAAGCGTTTTAATATTGGAATCTGTAAAGCAAGCACCTCGTCACCAACGACGACTACTGCGATTAACCGAAATCCTTCTACAAATGAAAGACTGAAATGACAGGAGCACAGAAAATTAAATTATATGATAAAAAGTAAGAGGACAAGATGCAACCTACTTTATATTAACAATTAATTAAATGTACCTGTAATATATATATTTATATAGATATATTTACACATTAAAGTTAGAACAGTTATAGAGAGCTGCGAAGACATCCGCTGCATTAGTCCAAGTAGGTTAGTCGAGGTCCAGCACAGCTGGCTATGCCCAACATACTTGCTACGAGTAATAACTTGTAGATACCACTTGCGTTACGCCGAGGATCAGCTGTGCGAGTTAGGCCCCCATATAGCAAGCTCCTGAGAACCTGGTATGTGTCGTAGACAACTTAATGTTCGCCGTAAATCAACATTGTCAGACATTTCTTCACACACCTCTGGATTGAATTATTTAACCAAAAGAACTTTCATTTAGGACATATATTCCAAAATAAGCGATTGAATATACTGTTCAAAACTTTAAAATGTACCCTTTGGAAAACTACTGAAATGAGCCTATTACTGGACTTGAGTTTATGAACATTATGCCTTCGACACATACCATACGTCTTCATCCTGGATTATACCCAAGCGCATGCCCATATATCGCCTACATTACATCCATATATAGCAGCTTCTGAGCGCGGTATAAGATTCCAATAGATGCTCATTTTTTTTTTTTTTTAGGAAAGGGACACAGGCAAGAAAAAAGACAATGGTGCTGAGAGACACTTAGACGCGACTGCTTATGTTACCACAGGGACAAATGACCTCTGTTACCTTGAATTCCTCTAACACTTCTCCGGGGCGTAATTTTCGTTGTCCCTATGAAATAAAGGCACGACATTTAAATAAGTTTCTTCGGTTACCTTCTGTAATGGAGTTGAGAGTTGTAGAGTGTGAGAAGTTTAAGAGTGGATTTGGAGTAGGTGAGACTTGTGTGTGTGTGTGTGTGTGTGTGTGTGTGTGTGTGTGTGTGTGTGTGTGTGTGTGTGTGTGTGTGTGTGTGTGTGTGTGTGTGTGTGTGTGTAACAAAGGCGAGTAGTACGTACGTACGTCGTCAAATTTCACCGTCAGCTGTGTCAAGATTATAGACAGACTTCGGGAAGAACTAAGTGATATATGGCTTAGCCTAGGTGAAGGAAGTGTTTAAGGCGAGTTGGACCTAGATGCCATTTTTGAACTGGAATTAACACTTGGTTTGCGATGTCGTAGGTGAGTAAGGTAGTGATTGATCTGCATGGGTCGAGAACTGAATGGTGGTGTCGGGGTGAGGCAGTGTTCAGTGTCTGTCATTATGGACTCACGAAGTTTACCACAATATGTATATTCATAGTCTTATGTTTATGGGTTAATGTGACACGCAACTCGAGCGAAAATTCGAATAATATTTGGTAAAATTCCTAACTAATAAAGACTCATTTGCTGGGTCTTAGATATTATATGTTTACATACAAGATTACACACACACGTACACATATCACTGAGAGCATAAAGCACCACATAAATATCGACAACACGAGAGGCATGGTAAAAGGCGGTATTTTTAACTTGAAAATACATGAGGCGTTTACCGTTGTAAATTTAATATATGTAAAGAAGCACTGAACACTGATGAAAATTTTGTTATTAATATAATAACAATACTATATGAATAAATTAACCCAAACTAACTACTGGGAAGCGAAGGGAGTTTAGGTAAAATTTGATTGAAATTTTCTTCAAAAAGGTAATTAAAAAAATATTTGCACGCAAAATGGGATATATCAAAATAAAGCAAAAAAAAAAAAAAAAAAGGCAGATTAAACTTTGAAGAGCTCAGAGTGGTGTCAATTACATGTTGTTTGTATAAGAGTCAAAGTTTAGCTGTATTTGGAATCCTTTGAAATGCAATCAGTTGTCATGGCATTTGTTTGTTGTTGGAAAAAAACTAAATATCACTCGCAGAATGAAGCTAGCTCACACCACTGTGAGAAGACAAAAAATCTGCCAAATGTAGGATCAATAGATCAACTTGTAAATAACATCTTCAAAACAAATTGTAATGTCAAAAAGGGACGAGTCCAGTGTTATGAGGTTATAGGGGTCTTTTATGTTACCTTGCCCCCTACTAATTCTTCTCCAGGACGTAATTTGCGGCCTCCCTATGAAACAAAGACACTCAAGTCATTATCTGTCAGTTACCTGCAACAGGGAGGGTGTGGGGGGTTGTGAACGTGTCAGTCAGTGTAAGGGCTCATGATGCTAACCTGGGGAGGGACGAGGCTACGCGGCACAAGTGTCGGGAAAGCATTTTCTACTAAATGCTTATAGTCTGGCATATGTGTGATACGTGAGGCAGTGTGCGAGTGTGTGTGTGTAAACAGAGAAATAATGAAGGGCTAGTTTATATTATGAAATAAATATTAGTGTCATAAACTTGAAAACGTAGCAATTTTGGAAATTCAGTTTGTTGCTCTATGTAGGCTTCTTGGTATGAAAAAGAAGACTTTGGGTATTTGAGTAACTAGTCATGAAAAAATCAAAATAATATACAGAGTATATATACATACATACATACACAGTATGTATATAATATACTAGGCGGCAGTGCGGGGGAATGCTTTGATCAGTGATAAGTGGCAAATTAGGACAGTTAACAGCCCAGTTCTGACAAGCTTCGTGTATGACATGTGAGTTGTTAAGCTTTGTTGAGGTCACCAATGCTTCCATTGGCTGTGGCTATATGTTGGGTCACTGTTATTATTTATCCCTGCACTGGCTTTGACGTGCTAGTGGAAATGCTATACAAATAATTTAATCACCTTACTCTAATGGTTCCCAGTGTCTATCGGGCACAGTTAACCACGGCCCTATGATACTCTTGTTGAGAAGGTGTCTTATGTTGCTTTTAATGTTATGTAGAGGAGGAAACAAGGATATGATTAGTCAGAATATTAAAAGTAATTTATAAATTATTTAATAATTTATGAAAAATAATAAATACAAAGTTTTTTTGGAGTAGTTTGGTAATCGTTACGTTGTGAATAAGTCAACTGCGTAAGATTTGACTGAGAGAATTAATGTAAGATTTGATTGAGAGAATTAATGTAAGATTTGATTGAGAGAATTAATGTAAGATTTGATTGAGAGAATTTATGTATCAACATCTAAGCGTATATTTAAGTTATATATTCAGTAATCTATATGAAAATACTTGAAAAACGTAAGGAGACATAGAAAAATATTATATATCTATATTACGCTACAACGAAAACAAAAACATATAGAAAAATAACTGGAAAACAAGTGTCAACAAGAAGGCACTGTAATATCAAAAATTACAGACTGAAAAAAATGGTCAGAACACATAATTAAACAAATTAAAAACAATCTACGTAACCTGGCCAGGGGTTCCAGGCTGGCTGGAAGAATGGAACAGAACAAATAATACGTACTCACAAAATTATGTACAAAATACTAACTCCAGAGGGATTTATTTATATACAAAATTTATTTTAGGTAGTTATGATGTATTGTGTTTATTTTAGGGTCGATTTTTTTTATAAGTACTTGAATGATAAGGGACGAAGGAGCAGAGGGTGTGGAGACAAAGTACTCATTAAGTAGTGTGGAAACGGAGGACCATCTTCACATGGTGGTAGGTGGGTGTCGAATCAATAACTGAAGCAAGCTATGAGGTGGAATGGTTTTTGAATCAACATCTGAAGCAAACTTAGGGAGGGGAAGGGGGGTTGAGGATCTTTAATAAACATCTGAAACTGACAAGAAAGGTGGGGGGGGGGGGGAGAAAATCAGTGAAGGGTAATAATTCGGAGAGACTTAAGGGACGAGGCCCCTTTCTTTGTTACCTTGAATTCCACAGCTTCTTCTCCCGGGCGTGTTTTGCGTTGTTCCTATGAAATAAAGTTACGTCATTGTAGTGGAAGGTTTTAAACATGAGAGTGACTTTTGCGACAGCAGGAGAGTGATTATGTGTGTGAGTGGTATTATTAGAGCGTGTGGGGGGGTGTACGAGCCCACAAGTGTGTGTGAGTCTGATGTGAGTAAAGTGTGCTGGAAGAGAACGGAGACTATAAAACAGTGGTACTAAGAGGCATGTATGTAATTCTGAGATTTCACGTTATTACAGCCAAGACGTGTGTGCTGTACGGATCCATTAGATACTGAATTTTGAAAAGCAGTGTAATGTATATTGCAGTCATAGTTGCTTTACTTGGGCAGCGTGCATGATTGTAAGGCAGGTAATTAATGCGTTAAATTAAATTCCAGTGAGGGGGTAAAATCTACACAAAAAATCACAGAATAATGATGCGGTGACGGATGTTAGAGTATCTCTGCTTACCACAAAACACAAGACAGTAGCCAAAGGAACAAGGTAGGAATACAACAAGTGTTTGTGACGTCAGGGAGTTAGGTGTTTACCACAAAAACACACTATGTATTCCAACACTTGAAGACAAACATAACAATGTTCAAACTACTAGATGATGGAGATATTGAAAGTGTCTGGAAGGAGGCTTCTTGTGAAACCTCTCCTTGTGAAGCCTCCTTGTGATTGAATTCCAAAACAATTGAGCTGACCAACATATGTGATCAAGATTTTCAAATGCCAACTTGAACTGTCATATGGGGTTAGCTATCGTTTGCCTTAATGAGTTAATCCACATTATACATTTGCTGACATCGTACATAACACATAAAACAGTGAAGGAAGTTGTTAAATGATGTGTGATGTCAGGAAGGTCTAGGGTTTTACCTGTGTGATGGTCATTGTCACTTCTACGGCATGTTCATGCTACAAGTAACAAGATGTAAACTTTTCATCATTACAAATAATAATGGATGAATGGAAATTTATGAAGAGCGATAACCGAGGACGTCCAAAAAATTACTTGTTACATCAACATGTGAAACTATGTTTATAATGGAAAAAAAAGCCTTTAAATTTCAGTTCCAGTGGCTTTCATCTGCATGTGAGAAAACAAACTAGCCATTATTGCATAAAAATAGTAGCCATGCAATAGTAGCATGGCTACTTCTTATGCAATAGGAGCCATTAATGCATAAGAAGCCAAATTTCGGATTTTGGATTATTTTAAATAGTACATTGATAGGCATGCTTAATTTATTGACAGGCAAGCAATTTTATTTTAAACTTTATCCAAAACTATGTTGGCAACTTGCAAATTATTGCTCAATACTGCCTAACTTAGGTAAAATTTGGCCAAGTTAATAATTCATGTAATGTAATCACTTTAATAGGGTATTAATAATGGCAAACTAATCATGAAATATATAGAGTCTGGCTATTAGTCCGACATATACCCGTACATATTAATATACTTAATCTCAAGTAACTATAAATACGCAAATTAGCCAAATTGTTTGATGATACAAAAAGCGTATTGCTATAATGTGATACAAATATTACAAAACATTGACCACAACATTCCTATGCCGACCCCAGACATCACGCCAGTACCTCTATGATGTACTAAACTTGGACTGAATGCACTTCCTACCCGCCAAACACACACCGAAACTACGACGTTGGTACAACGTTCGAACAAGTTTTAACACCACCTAACCAGGTATAACAACCAATATAGCAAGTTTTAACAACGTTCTAATACGTCATAAACACGTTAAGCCAAGATGTAACAACTTTATTACAAGTTTTAATAAGCGGAAAATAGAGACAGTTTCGGCTTGTGTTTCCAGGGTAGATGCAGACCGAAATAAAAAGGACTTTATATTTAGAGTGAAAATGATTATAGATATCGGTTTACTTTAAGTAGTATGGTACATATATAGTACAGTACATCGACAGTGCACATATGAACTTGATGGACCAATAGGAAGTAGATTTTTGTATTACTGAATTTGGACAACCCGGAAAAGTTTCTATATTTATGTTGTAAATGAAGCCTAACCTAACCATCCTCCGTCAATACATGCTATCTGAGGCCTAATATAGTACATACATGTGCTATACATGCTATCTGAGGCCTAATATGGTACATACATGTGCTATATTAGGCCTAAGCATATTTAATTTTGTTTTTTAATTATAATTTTCTGGACTATGAAATGAATACGACCAACTTCTACTTTCTATTTGTCCATCACGTCGATGTTTGTACGATCGTTCACATTGTAACAAAATGTCTTATCAGAAGGCTGGGGTCATCGATGATTAACTGCATAGGGGTACGTGCTGTGTCTCAAGGAAGGGTTCCAAAACTGCTGAAATGAATAACAGCATGCTGGACCTGTCTGCAGTCCGTGTGACATGTCGGTGATATAGCTTTGTGGTTTCTCTGTTTTTTACACTGTGTATACATGACTTTGTAGTACATATGTGTAAACCTTTGCCCCATGTGTATGTGGAGTGTACACCTTTTTTGTTGTATATGACATGCGGTTATGTCTCACCTGATTTACCTCCAGGTTTTTTCCCAGGCCTGAGTTTGAGTGGCTGACCTGACCTCTTATCGATAGTCGTGCACTGCTTGAGGACGCGACGCATCGGGCCAAAAGTTTAATATAGTTTACTATAAATGAAGCGTTTTAATTTATTTAAGAATATACGTTTTCTCTGATTGAAAGAGGTGACAATTATTTTTGTTACTGTAAGGAAACTGTTGTAACTGATAAAAGAAATAATATTAGCAAATTTGTCGGTGCAAAATAAATATACCCCAAACTATGGTCTAGAAATACATTATTGTATATTTAACATTACTGTCGGCAAACAAGGGCTTTTTCAAAGAAAACGAATATGATTTTTATTAGACTAGGATTAACTAGCCGAGAATAAAATTGTTTTTTAAATAATTTTATATTTATTATATTCTTATAAATCATTTATTGCATTTCATGTAACTTCTAAAACGAGCCCAAATTATTTCAGTTTTTGGAAGCATCTTGTTCTTTGTACAAACCCAACCCAGGTCGTCCTGAACAGTGTATTATTTGGAAAAGAAAGCATAAATAAAATGTAAATTGAAATGCGTTTTAAGTGTTGAAATTTAAGATAACATACTGCCGGAGATTAGATCACCTGCTGGAGAAAGACCTAAGGGGGTTATTACAGATCTGGTAATGCTGAAAGATAAATGTAATTACTTTAATACATTTTAAAAAACACCAGGTAATTCTGAAAGAAAAAATATGTTTAATTATATCACAATTTCATTTATTTAGCCGCGCAGTATAATGTTTATTTATTAAGTTTATTTTATTTAGGATGGGGTAATATTTGTTTAAGTGACGGCGCCCGCGATAGCTATGGAGATTGACAAGCAAATTGTTGAAACACCCAGTTCCGTTGGGTTCTAGGCTTTGTTATTTTGCCAGAGTAGTTCTAGTGAGGAGCGGCCGGAAAGGATATTGCTCTCTTGATCAGGCGGGTTGCACATCGCGCGTGCTAAACACAAGTTCTCTCTGATCAGAAAGACATTACTCTTTTCCGGTGCTGGACGTTAGGAACCAATGTCGCGCTCTGGTCTTGGGCCATCATCCCGTGAGCCTAAGGATCCCATAGGTCATTGGTGTCCTTGACTGGCATGACTAGCATACAGAGCATGCCACCAAAAACCTAGGGTTACCAGGGCATCAAGGTCATCAGGTTCTAAGGGCATCCAGAACATCAGGGACCAGGAAATCAGGGACCCAAAGGACCTTGGTGCTCACTAAGATCACAGGACCTCAAGTTCCAAACTATTACTAAAACTTTTAAAGACCACCAGGAGCTTGGGTCACCAGAAACTCAGGGGGGTTGTCAGACCCCCCAGGGACCATCAAGCCCCTGTGGTAACTAGGACCTCGAGGTACCATGCCTCAGTAATCACTTTAGGCAGCGACATTGGTTGCGTATGTGTTGTCTAACTAGAGTAGGTCTACTTGTATGAGTGGTCTAGAAGGGGTTTGTTAGGGAAATATTAAGAATAAGGAAACAGTCGTAAAATGAAGCTTTAGTCGTAAAAGAAAAAAAAATCTGTGAAAGAGCAGATGAAGAGAAGATAATTTATTTCCAAAATATATTTCATGAGAAAAAAATATTTTTTAAATCTCGGAAACTTACAGTTCATATGATCATATATAACACAAACTGGTAATAGGAATTGTAACAGGTTTGTATGATAGGACAGTGAGTTAAGAGAGGAAATATGACACCCGATCGACACAAGCAATTTTTCGCAATATATCTTTACGAAGATATATATATATATATATATATATATATATATATATATATATATATATATATATATATATATATATATATATATATATATATATATGTGTGTGTGTGTAAATCACGAAAAAATTAATTAACACGTGATGAATAAAGTGACAGTTTCAGATCACGAAGGAAGGATTAAGACAGGAATTTCCTTAAGTACTTTCGTATTTAATATTACATCTTCAGAAGGACTGTAAAATTAAATACGAAAGTACAGGAAATTTCTGTCTTAATCCTTCCTTCGTGTTCTGACAATGTCATATATATATATATATATTTATGCACGTCTTTGCATGCTCGTAATAAATTAATTTTCTCAAATAACTGTACTTCTTTCTAGTCAGGTGAAGCATGGTAATGAAGCAAATACTTGCAGAAACGTTGCTTCAGTGATGCCAACATGAAAATTACACACACAGACATCGATGCAACAAGACTGAGGCAAAATGTTCAAAAACATGAACTGAAATGAGACGTTTGTGTGTGATCGGGGCCAGGAACGTTGTGCTGAAGACCGGTGGTGGTGGTGTACAGGACCTACCTCGTCTGCGATGAGCAGGGAGGGCCTGCGTCCGCCGGCGCCTTCCTCAGGAGGTACAAGGGAGCCCCTCCTGCTGGGAGGTCCTGAGCCAGTGGCCAGAGACCCACGACGCTCGGGGGACTTGTCCTTTATCACTTCTATCTTAGGAGCGTCCTGGGGAAGAGACAGAATCTTCGAGAAGCTTGATAACGATAAAGTTTAAACTAAGCACACAAATAGGCATGCTGAGACTTGGTGAACATTGTGAGAACAAACATATTCAGTATTATGGAGCTGTCATAGTGATTAAAATTCTCTATGGCATTTTATTTTTACCATTTACACTCTGCGCTTCTCATGCATCTGTAGGAGTGTTAGAGCAGTTAGTGCCACAAGGAGAGGCAGAGTCTTGAATTCACTCTTTTTTTTCTTCTTGAGCTTTGAAAACTTTGGTACTTGGAGACAACAGTGACGCCGGACCCTCTGTAGCTTATGACTGAGTGGCGATGAACCAATTGGTGCAGACACTGCAGGGAGAATTATCTAGGGACATGGTGGCCCTGGTGAGGATTCCCTGGCGAATTTCGGATGCTAGCAACCTACTCGCAAGATCTTTCATAATCAAAGAAATATATAATGTTTCTTATCACGGACCGCCCGTAGCTACGAAGATAAGAAACGGGATCGATATGTTCAGATATGTGTATTGTATGGGGCTTATACGGGGGAAAGCTAGACTAGGTGCACCAGAGCCGCAGCAAACATCATCGTCAGGACTGCCGAGCTGGACGTAAAAGTTCCACCTTGGCGCCATAAGTACAAAAAACAGGTCTCAATGAATTCCGATTCTCATGAATCTCTAATTGAAGTGTTTCGAAATGTTTGCTGACAGACTTGTAACGCACTTGGGAAGATCACCGACCTTCCTTGAAGTTCTAAGGTTCAGGGGGGCCTCTTGCTATTCCTTTCAGGTTCAACAGCCATTAAAGCTGCGGGACTCTGCCTCTGGTAATGAGTGAGTGAGTGGCTTTATTGGTGTTAGTTAGCGCTCTCGTCCCTTACACCTCAGTTAATTATTCAATATTGTCGCAGCACCCAGGCCAGCACGATGCGCTCCGCCGGAACACTGATCACAGCCGGCAGCTGTTACTGACACAACAAAACTTTTGTCTTAGAACAAAACTGAACCATGCAAAAAAAATATGTATAAACATTAAACTAAAAAAAAATCTGTAATTTATTTCCCGTCAACTAAACTATATATATATATATATATATATATATATATATATATATATATATATATATATATATATATATATATATATATATATATATATATATTATATATTTGTAAGTAAATCCCACGAAACGAAAATCTAATATAAAATATAACATTTAATTTCCAAAAAGCGTTTTTTAATAATATCAACCATAAAAAAGACAAACCCACAGCGCTGGCTTGACTCTTGGGAGCTGTATTGCAAGATGGCAGTTTACATATATATATATATATATATATATATATATATATATATATATATATATATATATATATATATATATATATATATATATATATATATATATATATACACATATATATATTTATCGTATATAAGCCGTGCACTAGCGGTGTGCCAGAAAGCAATATGTAAGATGCCCAAAGGGGTTCAGGTTACGTAGGGCATTAGCAGAATGATTCAATAATGGTGATGGGAATAGGTGGGTAGTCATTGAGCAGGCAAGTGGCTAGTTAAGTGCAGGGTACCTTCCTTACCTTGAGCAGGCAAGTGGCTAAATTAAACCCCTAGAGGATTAGCTTGAAGCCTCATATATAAGGTCGTGATTTAAAAAGTATTTTCTGTCTTACAATTAAGATTAATTACATATTCATTGATTTTTTTACACGATATTTTGTCTTTAAAATATATTCCTCTAAAATACAAGTAATCAAATTTATTGATGTACAAGGAAACGGTAAGACTGCCCTTAACGTCTTCAGGACATTACTGAGGCTTGAAACTATATGATGAATAAATACATACACCACATCAAGTAAATAAACATGCTTTATTTTCATTTGTTCTAACTTCCCTCTGTGTGTAACAGGCTACTTATTATGTAAGCCAAAGTTTCATATGTAAAAGACAAAACTAATTATATTTTCGAGTTATATGAGGCAAAGGCCCGGCGAGCAGCAGATGTTACCCACAGAAAGTGTTGGTGCTGGGAACAAGGGAATGGTCGCTCAACGTCGGCTGTGGTGATGGGCGACTGAGTGGAATTCCTCATTACAAACAGGCAATCCTCTGCCACGCAAAGTACTCTAAATAACACGGAGTAAAGCAGAAACTATCTAGATATGCAGCATTTGAGTGAAGCTGATGTGAACACTAACATTCCGCCAGACACCTCCACACATACACACTCACACACAGTACCTTGCAGTCGATGCTCATCCGTCGCTGTCGGAACATACGGATGCCCTTGTCCTCCTCCTCAGGTGTTTCAACGATTTCTGGGAGCTCATACTTGCTCCTGCGCCTCGTGAGCACAGGGATGGGCATGTCCTCCTCCGAAGGACTGATTAAGGCGGGGATTTGAAGCACAGGTAGGATGTTGAGGGGGGGTCGGCCCGGCAGGGGAAGGTTTGGTCTAGGGGGACGGGCAGTGACAGGGTAAGGGGACCTTCCACTTTCCTTTTGCTGTTGTTCATCGCGAGAGATGGTAGCTGCGTTGTTTTCGTAGTCGACGTCGTGAACGGTAATGTCAATGAGGCTTTCTCGACTGCTTTCGATATTTTCAATTGTGTGCAGACTTGATTTATTCTTAAAGTATAGTTCACTGATCGCTTGACTAATTTCCATTTCGTTTGATTCCTGATTAGAACTTGTACCGCTTCGTCGTTTCGTTATGGGCTTTTCCTAAAAACAGATACAACTCTGTTTATTAAACTTTAACAGCTATTGTTATTACGACACCGAACATCGAGGTTTAGCTGACGACAAATTGCTCGCGCAGGCATGGCAGACGACGATGTAATGGCTAAGGTAATGCAGGCCAAACGAGGTATTGGCGAAAGTAATGCAGGTGAAACGAGGTGCTGGCGAAAGTAATGCATGCCAAACGAAGCAGCACGTTTCTTAAAAACAGGGTAGACAAGGATACCTCGAATTTACTAATTAGATGAAAATAAATATGGAAAAACATAGAGGGCTTGAAAGCAGATAAGTTATCTACGAATAGATGAGCTAACATGAAGCCTCATGTATCGTTTGAGGTAAATTACCAATTTGTAAAACTAGTCACGGATGAAATGTACGGAATTATGTTCCTGAAAGTAGTTAGAAACATCAACTATGTGTTTTGCAAAAGCTCATAACATCAAATGTATTCAATGGATTGGTTAAAACATCAAATATGTGAACGTAAGTATGGAAAAAAACAGATATGTGGATAACCATATATAAATATTAGAATATATTTGTCAAGATCCATATAAAATATTAATGACTGTGAAGGAAAAAATATACGCAAATATGAAGGTCTCTCAATAATTTTAGACATTTAAAGCATAAAAAATGAGCTCCATTAAAGTTAGGAACACTGGTAATATGCATCACATGACCAGCAAATTCTCGGAGAGAAAGCCAAGATCAAGAGCAAAATTTGCTTGTAACACCAATGTTAATTTTGACAGCGATTCATGTTGAACTACTAAATTTTCATCCACATTTTGTCGTTAGTAACATCCATAACGCCAAAGTGTGTGCCATTCAGCTAGTCTAATCAAGCAACGCTTCATTCATGTAAACCCGAAATGAAATCTCTGGAGCAGGACTAGAGTTGCCATCTCTAGCACAGCATCCCTTTCTCTTCGGAAGGAATATGAAGCGTTACTCGTGGAAGATGACTGAAGGTTACATACTTTGGCGATGACAGCGATAGGGTCGTCGGTCCCCGAGATCGAAGGAAGGTGGTGGAAAGGAAAGCACAGTTCAAGATTTTTCCGCAACATCTCGCGCCTACAACCTACATGTGCCGCCGGCCAAGCAACAAACTTAGTGACCACACAAGCACACAATGATCGTAATCGATTAAAATCAATGATAACTTTTTCTATAGGAGTGTATAGAATTTCTTAAAAGTGAATGGGGTAGTGACGACGATGAAGAAGGATTAGGATAGGAGGAAGCACTACTGTCAGGTGAGGCACTACCTACCTGGCTTGATGTGGTAAGACTCAGCTTAAGAGTAATCTCTCCACATAGCTTATGTCAGTCCCCGTGTAATCCATCACATTAATACTGTCCAAGCTGACACTAAACATAGCTAGTGTCAAACCCGGAATACTGGCGGTTAGAGGAAAATAATCTATATGTAAGAAATTGCAGATTAAAGCCGAAGAAATTGTCTATGAAGCTTTGTATACAGACATTGATTAAATGCTGAAAACTGCTGAAACGTGGCAAATCTTGTTTGGCGACTTTAAGCGTTACTCGGATTACACTGATGAACATTTATAATAATAGGCTACACCAAAATGTTGATAATTCAGCGCTTCTTCTCAATACGTAACTTTTGAACATAATCCATGACTGCTCAAACAGGAAGATCTGCAAAGATTCAGCAGTTTCCTGTGAAAACTAAATACAACAATCCTTCATATCCGTAGAATACGTTAATTTTACAAAGTGTACTTACCATTTTGCCGAATTTTAATTCAGTCGAAATATAATCTACAAATGTACATATTAAACCAAGTGATATCAAATTATCCATGCATTTTATCACAATATCGTATGTGGGATGTTGTTTGAATTCCCAAGGCATGTACACCTCACAGTCAAGATCTACCGTCCTCACACAAAATGCATCTATATTTGCACGCTATGGATGGAATAAGGTGAACACATTGAACTTCTTTACTGGAATAAACAAAATTAAAAAAAAAATACCAGTAGAGTAAGCTAGATTCATTCATCTCAGTAGATTCACTTATGGAAATACAAATGCGTTCAAATTAGACGCTTCTCAAACTGTGAGAACGAGATGAATTAATATATCGGTTCCATGTGGGTCACAAACATCCGAAATACGACATACAAAAAAAATTAATTAAAATTCACTGGCCTGTTGCGGAAATTCATAATTCGATTTTCATTGTATATATATTCTTAATCTATTATATACAGTAATTACAACATATATAAAAATAAATATTTGCCTGCAACAGCGAAATTGCAACTGTTGCCTGCAACAGCCAAGCTTTAAGGCAGGAGGAATTAAAAATGAAAAAATCGCATTTTCACCAAGGTTCAACTCGGAAAGCAAACAGCGAAGGTTGCAGAACAATACGGGAAGGTATGCGGACACGCCGGATAAAGTGAGCATCAGCCAAGCGTAGGGAAAGGTATATAACACTTCATTAGGCCCACTTACCGATGGCTTGGGCTCTACGATTTTCGGTTTCTACACGCCAGGAGAGAACCCAGACACGGAGATGATAGAAAAAAAGAGAGGAGAGAGGGAGGGAGAGAAAGGGAAGGAATGTCATTGACGAGAGGAGGAAAAAAAATTGAATTAGATCATCTTTTAAATGGTACACTTTTAGAGAATTTCATATACAGTACAAGATATTTCCGTCTATCTCCTCGCTTAACATACCAATCATATTATGTATTCCTGTTAAAGAAGAAAACAACATATCTCATACCATTAATTCGTCATCAGGACCAACATCTTTAATAGAGTTTCCTGAAACAAAAGTTATGTACACCCTAAGTGCAAACAAAAGGGATTACTGTGTGTTTGCGAGTTTGAACTGCAAGTGTTATATAATACTATGAAGCCTAGAAGCTCGTCAGTTTTTAAATAAAAATGTGCCTACATTAGTTTACTTATGTGAATTATATATATATATATATATATATATATATATATATATATATATATATATATATATATATATATATATATATATATATATATATAATATAAATGTGGAAGCAAATGTGTTTAAATATATAGTTGCAAGTATAAAGTTTTCCGTGCAACTACTGAAAAAAACACATTGGCTTCTACAAAACAACTTTCTACTAGGCTAACTGGAATGTGGGAGGCGTTACCGAGTATTATTTGTTAGATCTGCACTACCTCAGTAATGTGTATGGCAATTGTTGGGTCCAGTTAACTGCATTAAGTTAACACCTCTTATCAAACAAAAGTATTAGCGAATTTCACTGATAAGCCTACTTAATTTTGTGTTATTATAAAATTATCGGTGTTTAGTCAATCGAGAAATTTGAACGTGTTTCCTGGCCATAAAAGCTTTAGCATCACCGTCCTATATGGGTTTAGACGCTCTTAAAACAAAACAAACCCTTGGTAACACAATCGTAGATTAGCTTGTTTATGGTGTTATAGTCGCCTGGTGCGGTGTCATTCAGAAATATGATCCTTGTTCTTATATCTATCATCTACTACGCCTACTGTGATTCTGTTCCACTATTTGTTTACGTATTATTCCCCCGTATTAGTAACAGTAAGACGTGAAAGCTATCGCTGGATCATAAAGCTGAAAATCACCGAGTTAACACCAGGATAGTGGCTACTGAGGTACCTACGTTTAAATCCTTTTTGGGATTGGCTTTAGAATCTTTGGGATTTTCAGGTTCCAATTTAGATTCTGGTTTATCTTTGGGATTCTTCGGGTTTTTAGGGTGAGGGTTATCTTTAGGCCCCTCAGGGTTGGGGTTCTTCGGGTCTTTTGTATTACTTCCCTTTGACTTCTGTTGAGGCAAGCAGGATTGGGGTTTATCATCTGGTTTACAATTTTATCTTAAAATGACTCAAATTGATCTTACACAGAAAGATATTAAAATACGCTAAATGCTCTAAGTTCAAAGCAACTTTATCTAAGAATGTTACAACTATACTTGTGACTGTTTGATAATATATCACCAACAGTGCTAACAATCTATGAGGTTAGTAGGTTACAAGTAAGAAGTCAATAAGAGTTACAGGCACATACAAGGAGATACTAATGTCCCTTAAGACTACATCCTACAAACACGAGACAAACGCCATGGCACAAAAATATAAACATGAATAATTCAGTATGATAATACATTGTAATTTTAGGTTATTTACACTGAATGTCACAACTCAGCAGACAGAAGTAATGTCACACTAAAACATCAACAAATGTTATGGTTAAATGTAACGGTACATTGTAAATTAAGTCTCTTAACGTTCAATGGGACAAACTTGGATAGCAGACAGAAGTAATGTCACTGATAATTACTTCGTTATTGCTGAGATGGCAAATGCCTATTAAGAGTAACAAGCTAGTACAAAAAAGTGAAGATGTGTTGTCAACCCGTCCTCTTAAAAATAACGTCGCTTTTCGCTGGTATGCGCGCTATGGCCAAAAGTGGACGTAATTTGAAATGAAATCTACTCACAAAAGTGACGTACTGTCCCGTTTTCTGTTTGAGTCGTCCGGCCTACTCGTAACGGTTAGGAGAGGAAAGTTTCAATTAAAATTTTTCATAAAAATTTGAAACTTTATGAGAATTTCCTGCCGACATAACTTACCAGAGGACCCTTAACTTACTGTTGTTGAAAAAAAATCCCAAATGTATCTTCATTTTTTGTCATTTTCAAATTACGTCCACTTTCGGCCATACGGGCAAACGGCCAAAAGCGACGTTATTTTTAAGAGGATAGGTTGAGAATAAACGATCCCAACAATCACCTCGCATTCTTATTCTAATTCAATTTGTAGCCTCAGCATTAACAAAATATTGTATACTGCTCCGTCAGATTCATTACGTACAACAGATTCCCTGACATTCTGGTCCTGAATAATAGTTTTTGCCACCATAATCAATGCGACTCTAATCATTAAACTTTAATACTGTAAAGACTTGCTTGATATCATCCTTGATAACCCATACCGGAGAGAGCTGTTATCAAAGATAGCTAATACTAGTGAGTTTTTTAAATGACACATCTTACAGAATGTCAGGTAAACAGTCTCTTCAAGTAATAACAAACATATATATTTCTTATGCTATTTGGTATACAAAGACATAACGCTCATGAACCACAAACAGTAATAGGTTTGTTGTAATGGTAGCTGGGAGCTGGGGCACAGGAAGAAATGCAAAACGTCATTCTATGCATTGAGGATGCTTGGCAGGGGATGAAGGGGCTATTGATGCTTGGCAGGGGATGAAGGGCTATTGATGCTTGGCAGGGGATGAGGGCCTAATTGGCGCAGAGGAGTTGTGACGCCGTTCTAAAAACAATAATTAATGCTTATGGTACTATGCTATCAATTAAGTGGTGCCGGTTTCCATTAATGTTTCTCGAGATAATGGTATACCGTGATCTTCATTTATATATATATAAATTGGACAACGTATAATTAATCTTAATCATTGTACTAGAGTTGAATAGGGGAAAATCTTCAATTACTCTAAAAGATCAGACGAAGGATTCTATACAGAAAAATATACAATATAGCCAGACATTATAAACAGGAAAAGTGACCTTAAGCGAGATAATGGTATTATCTCGGTACAGGTCGAGACTGTGATAGACCTCAACAGTTGACCAACTGTGAGGCAAGGAGATAAGGGAACGCTGGACAAGGAACACTGAGCAATCTGGGACCAGATTAACGAAGTAGTTACGCACGCACTTACGAACCTGTACATCTTTTCTCAATCTTTGGCGACTCTGTTTACAATTATTAAACAGTTAATGAGCACCGAAGCACCAGGAGGCTGTTTATAACAATAACAACAGTTGATTGTGGAGTTTTCATGCTTGTAAACTGTTTAATAAATGTAACCAAAGCCGTCAAAGATTGAGGAAAGATGAACACGTTCGTAAGTACTTGCATCACTGCTTCGTGAATGTGGGTCGTGGCGCCTCACCTTCCGTGGCCAGCCTGAGGCAACCTCACACCTCGTCGACCTCTTAGTACTCCGCTGTTTTCTCGTTCATAATTATTGCTTTAATGTATATTTTCCAGATGTGTAACTGTGACTTTTACTCTAAATACAATAATTGTATTAAGATGATTCCCGGTATTATTATTAAGCTCGCAATTATGTCACAGTTCACTAGATAAACGTTTCATAGTTTTAAAAGTTTCAAAAGTTCACTAAATAACCACTGAAGAAACTGAACTTTGAAATAAGGGTAAAACAGAGGTATGACTGAGCTTTGCCTTACCCATTGTTTCAATATGTCTAATCCTCCACCCCAACTATCCTCCTCCTCACTGGAGTACTCGGAAGACTCTCCCTCATCCTCGTCAGGGTAGGAGAGGAGAGGTCTGAGGGGACGGTGGTGCTGGTGGTGGAGACACCGGGGTCAGTATTCTCCTCCACACAACATCTGCAGCCTCACCTTTATTCTTTTATCTCAGTCTGCTCCGGACACCTACCCCATCCACACCTTTATGCCGCTATCAAAATGCTCCCAAATTAATGTATACCACACGACAGAATTTGAATATATATTTCCCTGGGTGTAAATTTTGTTGTGCGTCGTAGCCAATTCAAAATTACTAGTTACGCTATTACTCTTACTAGAGTATTTGGTCATATGAACATGTATGTCTAATTTTTAACTGGGGAGTCTACTCTTTTATGAGGTGTAGGGGTTCGAGGTGGTGTCCGGAAATCATCCTTACTGCTGGATAGCATTAGGGTGTTTGTTTAATGAGGTCTACGTGCAATTTAGGCAGTTATTTAGAAAGGAAATTAAGGTATTGTCAAGTGTCTGGTATTATTGCTGGAAAAGGATTCTGTTACGAACACATAATCACAAGAGAGAATATGCAAGAAGTAGAGTCCATTTGTAAACAACATATTATAAACATTTATGTCTGTCCACAGTCAACATTTTGGACAGCTGAATCACAAAGACAGGAGGGAACATATCAACATAAAGGCGTCAAAGACTGGAATATCAAACGGACAGTCGTTCATTGAAGAGGAACACTAACTTGGTTAGATGGGTTTATAGAACATTATTGCTTATAGAGGTTTACTGGATTTCCCACTAAAGCTGTATATAATGTACCTGCTGCGTGTCTGTTCTCTGTGATGTGTCTGTTGGCTTGGAAGTTCCGACTTGTACTGTGGGCGGAGACTTGCCCATGTGTTGAGGGTTTTCTGTCTGGGCTGTTGGATGTCTGTAGTCTGTGGGAATACTTACTTCTGCTGACTGAAAATCCTGAGCATCTGTGGTTTGTGGTGCCCACTTGTTTGTTGGCCTGATAGTGCTAGCTGAAATTGTGGGTTCAATCTTGCCCGTATGTTTGGAATTTTCAGTTTGGGCTGCTGGTTGGATGTGCTTTGTAGGGCTACTTACTCCTGCAGAGTTTTCGTCCAGGGTATCTGTGGTTTCCGACTCCCATTCGTCTGATGGTGTGACTGTTTTGACTGGAGCTGTTGGCTTAGGTTTAAATGTATGTTGTGGGCTTTCTGTTTGGCCTTTTGGCTGTGCGTAACTTGTAGGAGTAATTACTTCTTCAGGGTCTCTGTCCAGGGTATCTGTGCTCTCCGATTCCCATTCGTCTGATGGCTTGACTGTTTTAGCTGGGGCTGTTGGCTCAGGTTTAAATGTATGTTGTGGGCTTTCTATTTGGGGATGAGGCTGTGCGTAGCCTGTAGGGCTAATTACTCCATCAGAGTGTTCGTCCAAAGTATCTGTGGTCAGTGGTTCCCATTCGTCCGATGGCTTGATTGGTTTGGTTGGAACTTTGGGCTGTGATTTAATTGTATGTGGTGGGCCTTCCTTTTGGGCGTCTGCCTGTGTGTAACCTGTGGGATAACTTACTCCTGTTGGGCCTTCCGACGGCTGTCCCTGAGAGTAAGCGGGTTCAGGTGTTTGATCATTGTTGCTTTGGTCTGACTTAGCACTTTCATGTTGCTTGTGACGAATCTGTGTCTGTTGTGGACAAGACAATGGGGAGGGGGGGGGGGGTGAAGGACAATAATTATTATTACAATACAATTTTGAGTATTCACCGGTAAATGAATGCAAAGGTGCACCTAGAAAATACAGAAGCGACTTACTTTACGTGAAATTGAGTAAACAGACCCGAAACTGTTTCAAGATAGGATATATATATATATATCCTGTCTTTAAATGAAATATACCACATTCTTGAAGTGTTTATCACGCGGAGTTGGAGTATTTCTTAGCCAGGTGACGATAAAGAATTACGATTTTCAAACATTTCTCAAAAAGATCTTCTTTCGTATCGCATTTCCAAGTCGACATGGGTATCGTCCATAAGGTGTCAGGCTTTGCGAAAGTTTTCATGTCAGACGTATGATCATAACCTGTCACAACTTGCCCCCCAGGGCGACAGGTTGTAATTCTATGTGTTGTAAACCGAGTGAGCCAATCAAAATAGAATTGTGGAGCGTCCAGGTGATGGTAGAGTGGTAGATTGTGGGAGTGGTTATCTTGAGGTTATGTTGAGATGATTTCGGAGCTTTTGGTGTGGTGTGTGTGTGTGTGTGTGTGTGTGTGTGTGTGTGTGTGTGTGTGTGTGTGTGTGTGTGTGTGTGTGTGTGTGTGTGTGTGTGTGTGTGTGTGTGTGTGTGTTGTGTAGCAAGTTCAGCTTGGTGGGAATACCCCTACAGCTATTCTTTTTTTTTAGTTCGTGATCGTATTACCACAGTCTTCTTTATTTTGTTAAAATACATTATCATCTATATAGTCTAGTTAATAGGTTAAAACTACGTGGCAATTTCATCTCTAGACGCTATTGCTATTCCCTGGTACTATCCTAGTGTTAGTGCCGCCACTAGTGGAACTGCCACACTAATCATCGCTTCAGAGGACTTGATCATTTGTTTATACAGGTAAAGCTTATAAATGTTAAAACTATATCATTTTCACTATATAAATTATAGTATATAAAATATATAGTAATAATTTTAAAACTATATATCAATAGAATTACATATAGAATGAGACTTAACACCAGAAAGGATCCCATATTATTCGGAAAAATTAAAGTTATCGTCCCTTCATTAGAGCCCCTAAAGCGACGTTAGATAACTATTGTTATATTCTTCTTCCTAGTAGAGGAGCAGGACATGTAACCTGGGATTGATAGCTCCTTTGTTTAATACAAGAGCCGTTACAATGACAAGTAATTCTCCTGCCGCAGACTTACTCAACTGTGAGAATCAGCAACAACCAAACCGTACAATGTAGATTATAGCGATAACAGCCTATCAGAATTTTTGGATAAAAAAAGGTTTGAAATATAGATGCAACAAAAAAAATTAGGTTTATAGCTGAAAAGAGCCAAGCAAAAGAAAGCCATATAGGAAGCCTAATAAGATACTTTATCTGCAGTTTAGCTATGGACACGTTTAATGTTAAATCCCAATGACATGATTTTAATTTTGTTAATTATGTACTCCATACCCATCCCGTGGGCGGTAATGGAAAAGACTAAAGAGGCACATAATGGGCTCAGGAACTGGACCCCCCACACGTAACATGGAACAGTCTACCCTTGTGGCCAGGGTGGCAGTCTACCCATGCGGCCAGGGTGGCAGTCTACCCATGCGGCCAGGGTGGCAGTCTACCCATGCGGCCAGGGTGGCAGTCTACCCATGCGGCCTGGATGAAGCCTATGACAACTAAACTATAATGTAGAGCTAATATTTTCATCGTCGCCACATTGTGAAGCCAACTATACCCATGTCATTTAGTGAAATCATATGCATTATTATATAGTATTAACTACCAAATGTAATATGAAAATATACGAAGATTGTTCTAGTGTTGAACACTAATGACTGAGCAGTGCCATAAAAACTTACACATAACTGCAATTAATTTAAGATACAATGACAATAATTAGAAAAAAGTTGTTTATCCATGTGATACTGAATAAAGGCAATACAAGTTGGTCATCGATTCAATTTAAACAGCCATTTCAATAATTTCCAAAATTTCATTCCAGGATAATATCTAGAAAATTTCAGTTTAAATATAATCTTGGATAGGTTAAACGTGTTTTGGGTGCTGGAACATAATCTAATCAGAACCCAATCTAACCAAACCCAGTTCTACCTAGCCCAATCCTACACTATCCCTCCCAATCCAGACCAAATAACAGTGCCTAACCTAATCCAACTTATTTTTGCATAATTTAGCATAATAAGCTTTCACGCATTTTATCAACAAAATCTGAAATGACTGTTGGAAATTAGAATTGAGGCTTCCATAACATAAACTACAATGACCAATGCATTAAACAAAATACTGACATGTAAGCAGAATTGCTGAGGATGAAAACAAAATTAAAGTGGGCTCATGAAACAAATTGCAATATGCGTTCACAAGTTTAAATCAAGGTACTACATTTTACATACTTTGATCACCCGCTGCAATAATTTGACAGCATTCATAATTATGTGTATAAGGGGTCACAGCTCAAATACAAAAGCCTGTTTTAGAAACATTGATCAGCTAAAACAAATAAAGGACATACGCACCGCCTGTGAGATTAAAAGAAAGTCTGCACATACACAACAGCCAACATGTAGCTATAAAAACCTGCATTTAGGCCTCAAAGTCTGCATATAGGGAAAAGACTGCACAGTATTGCCAAAAACCTACAGGCAAACAGGAATGCCTACAGTAGACATCAAAAGCTTAGAAGAGTATATAACAAAACTTGTAAGTGACTGAAAATCAGAGGTAGACATACAGTAACTAGAGGTGCACATATAAGATAAACAAAAATGATCAAAGATGAAGATGTACAATGCCTAAAGATACAGAAAGCCCTGTTTATAGATGTCCACAACGGTTTGAATCTTGCTGAATCTTTTGAGCTGCGTACTATCAATTCCAAAGTTAAATGTCTCTCTCTATTTAATATCAGACCCCTGTGTTGCCGTGTCGATTCACCCAGTGCTGCCTACCTGTTCCTCAGCCTCCTCCTATGTGGGGGAAAAAAGTGGTCAAAGACATTAATGACTTCCAGAGAAGATGTTCACTTGGTCCGTAAGCCTAGCCTGCTCTTAACCGCTATCTGCCTAGCCTAGTATACATCTGTTTGTTGTGGATTACATAGTGTGTAAATTCTTAAATAATAAAATGTTTAGACATCTTTAGGTGACAGGATTTGATTTATGAACTTAAAGGCTTTATAAAATATATCAAGGCATAGAGCAAATGTGATATTTGCTCTGTTTATATATATATATATGAATATATTTTAAGCCGAAAACAAACTAAAATGCTTTAGAACAACTATTTTGGAGAATGCATTTTATAGTTCCATTAAATTTAAATAATATATGTAGAACCTTGAATTTAACTCTTAAACAGGAGCTTGAGATGCACATGCGGTGGTAGGTTATATATATTTTTTATCAATGGGTAATTAACAATCAGGTGTTATTACAGGGTAAAACAAATTTTTATATGAAACAAAAAGAGGAAAAAAATAATAAACACCGCCCATTGGACACTGAGAATCTGGCAACAATAATGATAATTTTCCCCTACTAATTCATGGGAAATTTGTTCTTATTTGTGCAGTCTCAAGCTTCCGATGGACGCTTGTAAAAATGGGTGATTTTGAACTCGAATATAAAAAAAAGCCATAAAATTTTTAATGTGAGTCGCTGTAATTGTAATGACAAAAAAAAAAGAAACACAAAAAATATCATTACACAAAACTAGTGAGTTACCGCACTGGTGTTGGCCTAGCAAGACATACATAGTCATTGTATAACGAAGACAATGAGTTTTGAAACAAAATGTAAAAGTTATTTACACCTAATCTATATCAATCCAGTATAATACAGAGGCACCACCAGTACGGCAGGACAGATGAGGTACAAAACAGTAGCGGCCGTAAAATATAGAGGTGGATGACGAGACTTTCTCACGTAAAACAACTTTAGTCGGATTAGAGAATGCTTCTTTCTATAAACATGTTATGTTCAATAACGACTATTAAGGTGAAAGAACCCATTTGTTCATACGTTCGCTTGTTATTATAAACAATTCAAAATGTTTGTAACTATGGAAAAGACAGGCCATCCTCCAGAGTTGCCACAACGGACTTGAAAACAATGTATTAAAACGCGCGAACCTAACCTAACCTACGACCCACGCATAGAAAATTGTTCCTGAACAGCTATGATTTATAGTACCACTTTATTTGTACTTTTTGGAATTTTGACGTCAATATGTGATGTATTATCTAAGACAGCGGGTTGGAGAAGAACCAGTCTCTCAACTTGATTTCTTGCCAATATTTAGGCTTGCTATGACCGTTGGAAGACTATTATCTGTGGTTTACGAAATGCGAGGTTGAGTTCGTTATCAGAAAAAAAACCGTAGCACTACCGCAAGTATCTGTCAGGTGTTTCTCACGAATATCAATCAAATGCAACATTTTATCAAACAATGTTTCCTTTAGTAAATTGGAGTGAAATTTAGTCTTTTCGTGAGCCACGCCTTCGGCTCTTCAGGTGCGAGCGCTGACTACACACCCGCAGAAGCAACTGACATAACCAACATTATTGAAGTTCAAGTAAGTTTATTTCGAAAATAAAATACATCCCAAAAGGACAGAGTAGATTAGGCTATTTATACCCTTCTAACCAACCAGTAACTGAAATCTGCGTTGCATGGGATAACCTATTTTGTAGACTGTCGCGTCATCCAGAGAGAGATAGAGAGAGAGTAGTGTTGAGTTAGTGTATAAGTCGCATGGGTGAACAAGATCATTATTCGTGTTAACGAGTCGGACAAAGAGAATCTGGTGTCAGGATAGAACTGGATATAGCGGCCACAAGAAAAACAACATCGAACAACACACAAACGGCCTCGCTCGAGTTGTAATTGCCAGAGCGTTCAGCTGTATATGTCTAGTGATGACGTGAATCATTCTTCTGTATGCTTATTATTGCTCAGTGATTAGGGGTGGTGATTGAATCTTGTCAACCGTAAGAAATACAATATTGTCAAGTTATCGAAACGTTTCTCTGTCATTTACAGCATCTCGCCCTGCCAACCATGTATTATAAGCTTCCATAATAAGGTGAGGCATTACAGTAACAATCTTGCACGAAAGTAGATCAAATCGACATATATTATTTTGTGAATAGAACTCACATATATACCGTTGGAAAAAACAGAGCCCTTGTATCTGTATCTTTGCATTTGATTTACCGTTAGTTTAGACTGTTACTCTTCCATGCACTTCCTTTATGATTGGAGTAACAAATTATTTGCTGATCATCTTGTTCTGAGCTGTTTAACGAACTTATTTGTTTTTATTTAATTTTATTAATAATTTACATTATTTAAGTGAGTCATAACAACCCACATAATTTATGTTATTGGTACTGGTTTACTATGTGCAAAAATATTAAATACTTAAATCTTGTTGTTTATGGTACGGTAAATTTAAAAAAATTAAAGTTGGATAAGTATTTAGTTTGCATAAACCAGTCTTAACAAATTTTGGCTCTTATTTAGCTGATTTTAAATTATGGTTGCCAGAGACGGCGTCTTAGTGTTAGTATTCAAGAGCTTAAAGTGGAGCGTATTTATAAGATACAAGAACCGTCATCTTCCTCAAGTGTGCGTTCGTGCGGGTTTGAGTGCTGGGTTAAGAGCTCACTCGTCCACCAACAAACCTGGAGGGACTCCATTTTGGTCTCCCTTGCTTCCTCTTTCTTCGCTTCCACCTTTACAGTCTCAACCTTTTTCAGTTGCACCTTCTCAGCCTCTTCAACCGCTTCTTCCTTTCTAGCTCCGACCTTCTTTAATTTAGCTCTCTCACCCTCTTCTACGGCCTGTTCCTCTTTCGCTCCGACCTTTTTGAGCTTAACTTTCTCTCCCTCTTCTACGGCCTGTTGCTCTTTGGCTCCGACCTTTTTAAGTTGGACTTTTTGAGCTTCTTCTGTGGCCTGTTCCTCTTTGGCTCTGACCTTTTTGAGCTTAACTTTCTCTCCCTCTTCCACGGCCTGTTGCTCTTTGGCTCCAACCTTTTTAAGTTGGACTTTTTGAGCTTCCTCTGTGGCCTGTTCCTCTTTGGCTCTGACCTTTTTGAGCTTAACTTTCTCTCCCTCTTCCACGGCCTGTTGCTCTTTAGCTCCGACCTTTTGAAGCTGAACTTTCTGAGCCTCTTCAATGGTCAGTTCCTCTTTAGCCGTAACCTTCTTTAGTTTAACTTTCTCACCCTCTAATACGGCCTGTTGCTCTTTATCTGGGATCTTTTTAAGCTCAATTTGTTGAGCCTCGTCAGCGGCTTCTTCCTCTTTAGGTTTGACCTTTTTAAGCTGAACCTTTGTGAAGTCCACCGGAGCCTCCTCTTTTTTAATTTCTCTCCTTTTAGGTTTATCCTTTTTGACAGCCTTTTCTTCCTTCTTCGACTCCTCCTCAACCTGGGCTGCTTCCTTAATAGTACAAGGAGACCAACATCAACAATGAGCACGTGTATCTCGGGGCACGTGCAAACACTGACCACGGAAAAAAAACACTGACCATGGGAAAACATGGATCACGTGTAAACACTGGCCGCCTGTAAACACCGGCAAGGTGTAAACACTGACCACGTTTCACCCCGGAGTACCACAACACCGTCCTTGTGCACACGTGTCTCACTGATGTGACGCCATAGTCATCAACACCGCCTAGCTATTGGCTGGAGACGTGATGTCACATTCGCTAACGCCCACCGGGGTCAATGGCAGGAAGAGGCGTGACTTCACACTTGTCAACACCACCTAGCCAATGGCAGAGGAAGGTGTGACGTCACACTTGTGAACATCACCTAGCCAATGGCAGGAAGAGCGTGACGTCACACTTGTCAACACCACCTAGCCAATGGCAGGAGGTGTGACGTTGCACTTTTTCAACACCATCTAGCCAATGGCAGAGGGAGGTGTGACGTCACACTTGTCAACACCACGTAGCCAATGTCAAAAACGAGTCAAGGCAGGGAGGCGTGACGTCACATCTACTGGACATATGATTACAAGAACGGTGATAAAAACTAGACAGAAGATGAAATATACGAAGGACTTGTCACGTTTAGCGATCTGACAACATGCACAGAAGAGCGAGATACAAATGGGAGGAGAATAACATAAAAGTAAAATAAAAGAATATTTTATAAATTGATGTGAAAAGTTTGTAAATAGTTTATATGATGTTCATATTGGTATTATGCATGCATTATTTTTATTTTGTTTTAATTTTATAAAATAAAAATATGTTCTGTTTTTATATGTAGGTTTAGCCAGTGTAAAAACAAAATTGAGAACTTTGAGTGACTAACTTTTATATGAAGGTAATATTGTGTCAAAATCTATTCATATCTGTACTAAAGTGATATAAACAAAAATATATTTATTTCAAATCTAATTTAAAACAAAAAACAAAATATTGGCACTAAGACATGTGAGAAAACAGCAAGAAACTTAAAAAGAAATAATACCTGTTGCTCCATCTTCTCCTCCTTGACCTCCTCCTTCTGTGGGGTAAGAAAGAATGCACAATGCTGTGTTAGACACTACTCTGACAACCTCTCAACAACTGCCTACCACAACTAAATGAAGAGTTAGTTTTGCCTGTACCTACAAGTGACGACACAAACCTTGCGAGTCAACTCTACAAATGACAGGAGTCAAAAATAATAAAGAAAGCATTACAGATAATATTAGCATAACCTGTGTTGGGAAGGAAAAATAAATGAGCTTTAGACATGGTTTATAAGATTGTCAGATTTGTTGTTCAATTGTTCATTTATGTTGCCGAGGCAACCGACTACCGGGCTATTTATGGGCGGGGTTTTTTAGGGGTTTCGTTTCACTTTAGTTCTTCGGTGTTTTTTAAATCCTCTTGATATTTTATGTGTTAGCTGGGAGGAAGATCTTGAGATGCAGCGAACCAAGGATAAGAGCGAGAGGCAGCGCCTGCTACACCACACCACGACCAGATAGGGGACGTCAACGCTCAAGAGAACCTTTTATTCTTTGCCACTAACACAAAAAATAAAATAACAAGAGTCAGATGAATGCAATGACTGTATTCATTACTATTGTTTACTTTAAAAAAATATGAAAATGTGTAAAAAAGTAATATTGTTTATATAAAAAAAATCAAACATGTAGGGCAAAAAGGTCTCTGAGCAGGACATCCGTGTATCTGGGAACGGTATTGCCTACCGGAGAGTCTTCTTCAGCCGGGCCACCGAGCAGTTCTAACAGATAACGCTCCATGGGCGTCATATCGTCCATGTCCACCTTAGGCTTTGGCTTTGGCTTTGGTGGAGTTTCAGGTCGAGGAGCGACTGGAGTGGGTGAAGGCGGTTCTTCTTCTTCGTCAGTTTCCTTGATGACTGAAGTCAGAACTTGATGTTTGCCAAGGGAGAGAGGCGGCGATTTAGTCTTCTCCTTTGGTGTAACAGTCAGTGACATGTCTTCCTCACTTACCTCGGGTTCTTTCTTCTTCTGCGTCTTCACATTCGCATCCCCTTCAACCGATGACTTCTTCTTTTTCTTGAGATCTTCCTTTTCTTTAGCTGTAAAGGCAGCAGATTGCTCTTCATCTTCTTCTTCTTCTTCCATTGGTTCTGGTGCTTTTACTTTGAATTTCATTGGTTCTTCAACTTTGCCTTTCTTTGGTTCTTCAACTTTACGTGGTTCTTCTACTTTGCGTGGTTCTTCAACTTTCTGTGGTTCTTCGACTTTCTGTGGTTCTTCCTTGCGTGAGACTGCTGGCTTCTTTTTGTGCGTGTCAGGCTTATATGATAGCTCTACAGGCTTTTTCTTTTTACTACCAATGAACTCCGACAGAAGAGAAGCCATGAGGTCCTCGCCTTCATCTGACTCGGTCTCGGGTTCAGAGATGGTGACAGCGGGGGCTGGCTTAGTTGGCTCCTTCTTCAGGACGATCTTCTCCGGCGGCACGTCATCGGGTTCGTCGCCCCAGATGGACTCTTCCGTTTTAGTCGTACTTTTTCTTTCCTTTTTCACCTCTTGTGATTGCTTCCTCGACTGAGCTTCTTCGGATTTTTTAGGCTCCTCTTTCTTTTTCTCCACCACTTCTTCCTTCTTTTCCTCAATGGTGGAGGTTTTCTTTTTGGGTTCGTCCTGTTTTTTCTTGGCTTCCTCTGGTTTCTTTTGAGGTTCCTCTGGTTTCTTCTTGGCTTCCTCTGGTTTCTTTTGAGGTTCCTCTGGTTTCTTCTTGGCTTCCTCTGGTTTCTTTTTGGCTTCCTCTGGTTTCTTTTGAGGTTCCTCTGGTTTCTTCTTGGCTTCTTCTGGTTTCTTTTTGGCTTCCTCTGGTTTCTTTTGAGGTTCCTCTGGTTTCTTCTTGGCTTCCTCTGGTTTCTTCTTGGCTTCCTCTTTTTTCTCTTCTTGAACTTCTTCTACAGTTTTGTCTGCCTTTGAAGTTTTCTTTTTAGGTTCCTCTTGCTTTTTCTTTGGTTCTTCCTTCTTTTCCTCAACCATTTCCTCCTGTTTACTTGTCTTCTGCTTCTTCTTCGGCTCATCCTTTTTCTCTTCCGTTTCCTCTTCCATGCGGATTTTGGAATCCTTCTTCTTGGGCTCTTTTTTCTTTTCTTCCTCCTCCATCTTGGTCTCTTCTATCTTTTCTTTCTTCGTAATTATCTCTTCCTCCTCCTCTGTTTCCGAGATCAGAGTCTCAGATTCAGATACTATTTCCTCTTCTTCTTCCTCTTCCTCTATGTGCTATATAAAGGGAGGAAGGGAAAACATGGATGAATCACTAGACAAGTCACGCATGCTACGTTTTAAACCATTGTCCGTGTGTCTGACCCTCTACCACTCGTCTGCAAGTTCTCAAACATTAAGAAATGGTCTGATCCTGAGTTGCATAAGGCTTTTGGAACTTAATTAGTTACCTAAACAAAATGGAATCACAAGAAATTGAAACATATCTGAGGGTAAACACTGAGGCTGTATGATGGGTTCTAACCCTCGGCGCTAGACTCACCATGCACAAGCACTATTACCTGGACCAGTTACATTCAAAATGATGTGGCATACCGAGTCAATTATTTAATAACTTGCAAATTTCACGGTTCACACGATCTCTTGCAAAGGCCTTGCCGTACCGTTTGCTATTCATTTAGTGGTAAATTTGACAAAGCTGATGCATCAGAGTTGCGGGGCATTAGGTAATGGGGGTTCTCTCTCTGCTGGACAAATGGCTGTGGTAAGGGGGATGATCACCTTCCTTAGATGGAAGGGGATCTAAGCTAGATGGAAGAGAGATGTTCTAGACAAATGTTCACGGTGTCGCTCGTGACAAGCCCTCCACCTGTGACAATCCTTACATGTCTTAATGCCTGAGAACTGCGCTCGAAGGAGGACGACACACAGGGGACACATTACTGTGGGCATCGTGACACTGCGTGCAAACTTTGGGGCAGATCACGTGAGGGGGGGACATGCATAACACACTGGGGGAGAGGAGGGATTTTTTTCTGCCAGGAAATGGGTTGCATTACCTTACAGAAGTGTGATTTCTATGACTTAGACTTTATATAGAAAGTTGAAAGATACTATTGCAAGAACCCACCAGAGACTTACATATATGCAACAAGACACTATATACTATATAAGGAAAAACACCATGAAAAAATTTATATATAAAAAAAATTACTATAGCTCGGATTGACAATTTTAAACTGGTTCCATAATTACGCTAAAAGCATGCAAAGTAAACAAAAAAAGTTTGTAAACACATATGTTGACTATTAGAGTACATGTTGCATCACGTCGACTACACTGAACAGTGACACAAGAACCTTATGAATAGATCACAGCCTATTACAAGATATCTATCGTGACAAGACGGTAGACATCTTCAACAGGAAACATTGACAGATCTAAGGTCTCAAGACGTATGGCAGCACCAAACTGACCACATTAAGGTCATATAGTATATACAGTGACCACAACAACAACAACAACACGAGTGCCGTGAGGGGCCACATACAACACAAACAACATTACCCGAGGGCGACCTTCTCACTCCTTACCTGGAAAGGAAAAGTTCATTTAATTAGAAAAATATAGGTCAGACATCATATAATATATATATATATATATATATATATATATATATATATATATATATATATATATATATATTATATTACATTATAAATTAAATGTACTGTATGTGTTTGATGCTGTTTCTCACTATACGAAATATACATTACAAATGATGTGCTACAGTGTCAATAAGCAATGTATTATATAATTGGATTTTCACATATATATATATTTTGTCATTAGTAACAAAGGTGTGAGTAACGGCTGGGAAATGTTATTTTTACAAAGTGTAGAGTAGAGTGTCGGCCATATACGAAGGTGTAGTAGAGAAATATATAACAAGTGATGAGCAGGAATGATAGATTTATTTTATTTTTGCGTGAAGGGGCAGTTGTGTGTGAGGTGTTGGCAGTAAGCGGCAGAGGGGGAAGAAAATAATCTCAGCAAGCTGCTCCAGTCTTCTTGGCGACGTTAGTTGAAAACTCTTCTCCGTCCGTTTTAATTGGCAAATCATAAATGAGCTTAAAGAAATACAGGGCGGCAGCAACACCCGGGCTGAGAAAAGTGCAAGAAGAGTTGCGGCTCGGCGAAGCTAGTGGGAGAGAGACAGAGACAGAGACAGAGAGAGAGAGAGAGAGAGAGAGAGAGAGAGAGAGAGAGAGAGAGAGAGAGAGAGAGAGAGAGAGAGAGAGAGAGAGAGAGAGAGAGAGAGAGAGAGAGAGAGAGAGAGAGAGAGAGAGAGAGAGAGAGAGAGAGAGAGAGAGAGAGAGAGAGAGAGAGAGAGAGAGAGAGAGAGAGAGAGAGAGAGAGAGAGAGAGAGAGAGAGAGACAGAGAGAGAGAGAGAGAGAGAGAGAGACAGAGAGAGAGAGAGAGAGAGAGAGAGACAGAGAGAGAGAGAGAGAGAGAGAGAGAGAGAGAGAGAGAGAGAGAGAGAGAGAGAGAGAGAGAGAGAGAGAGAGAGAGAGAGAGAGAGAGAGAGAGAGAGAGAGAGAGAGAGAGAGAGAGAGAGAGAGAGAGAGAGAGAGAGAGAGAGAGAGAGAGAGAGAGAGAGAGAGAGAGAGAGAGAGAGAGAGAGAGAGAGAGAGAGAGAGAGAGAGAGAGAGAGAGAGAGAGAGAGACAGAGAGACAGAGAGAGAGAGAGAGAGAGAGAGAGAGAGAGAGAGAGAGACAGAGAGAGAGAGAGAGAGAGAGAGAGAGAGAGAGAGAGAGAGAGAGAGAGAGAGAGAGAGAGAGAGAGAGAGAGAGAGAGAGAGAGAGAGAGAGAGAGAGAGAGAGAGAGAGAGAGAGAGAGAGAGAGAGAGAGAGAGAGAGAGAGAGACAGAGAGACAGAGAGAGAGAGGTGTGCAGTAGGTAGTGGCGCCAACACGACGTTAAAGGCAAGATAGCGAAGAGGCGCCACTCGTAACTCCTCATTGTCTCTCTCGACTCGACCAGCTTTCCCGGTCTGTCCTTCCTTTCACCCCCACCTTCTTAGGAGCCTTGTGTATCTTCTTTACTCGACGGCGGGAGTCCAGGTCCTTGTCTTCCCCCTCCGTCATGGTGTCTTCGTCCGCCGTGCTCACAAGGGTCTCGGACCTTTCCTCCTTCGTGACGGTTTTCTTGAGTTTTTTATGGACGGCTTCCTCGCCCTCGCTCTCGGTGACTTCAGATTCGCTCTTCGGCGGCGCCTTCCGGCGAGGTTTCGCTGGAGCCGTCTTCTTCTGGGGCTCCTCGGGACCTTCACTCTCACTTGCGTCTGAGGGCTTCGCTTCCGGTTTCTTGGCCTGAGGCTTCTCCTCCTTCTTCTTCTCTAGTTCGATCTTTTTCTTTTCTTCTTCTTTCTTGTCTACTGGCTTTGGTTTTTCTTCAGGCTTCTTGTCTTCCTTCTTCTTTGGTTCATCCTTCTTCTTTTCTTCTTCTTTTTTCTTTGCTTCTTCCTTCTTTTTCGCTTCTTCCTTCTTCTTTTCTTCCTCCTTCTTCTTTGGTTCTTCCTTCTTTTTTTCTTCTTCCTTTTTCTTTATCTCTTCTTTTTTCTTTGCTTCTTCTTTCTTCTTTTCTTCTTCCTTCTTCTTTGGTTCATCTTTCTTCTTTTCTTCTTCTTTTTTCTTTGCTTCTTCCTTCTTCTTTGCCTCTTCCTTTTTCTTTTCTTCTTCCTTCTTCTTGGGTTCCTCCTTTTTCTTGATCTTCTTCGTCTCCTCCTCTGTGACTTCCTCCTCCATTGTCACATCAGTCTCTTCAATTTCCTCCTCTTCTTCTTCCTCTTCTTCAACCTTTCTATAGATCTCTTCTTCTTCCTTGACCTCATCTTCCATAACAACAGTCTCATCACTCTCCTCCTCCTCCTCCTCCTCCTCTTCCTCTTCTTCCTCTGACGTATCCTGAGTGTGCATTGTACATTGTTAACTTATGCATATGACATTGTAATTGTGGAGTAATGTGAACTGTGCTATATCATTATAGCCTGTAGGGGGGCCGAGGGCTGTGTATAAGACTTCGGGCTCCTGGTGCCCTTTGGTACCGGGGAACAAAACAACTCATTTCTGTTCATGGACAGTTATAAAATAGGGGGGGGGAGGGGGTATTAATGGACTCTCAAAAAGTTATATATATGTCCTCATATAGCGGCTCAAACAAAAATAATTTTGCACCCTATGAGTAGGTCTGACGACAGGCCTATTAGCAGCTATGCTAATCGATACAGATTAATAATGGCTTACTATCAAGTTCAAAATGATCACAGATTGTCATGATGGACAATTCCTCCGACGAGCTTACTGATTTTGGGTATTAGGCTTTAGGCCTATCAAACTTTTAACGGTTAATATTAAGGCCAACTCAATAGTTTACTGATCAACTAGCTAGTATATATAAGGTATACCTCTAAGTATGCATACAATGAAAGCCTGAGGTATACCCTTGGTATTCCTTACTGTAATATTTAATTTAACAAATATAGTTAAAATAACTTGATAGTAATTTAACAAATGTGAATATTATATATATATATATATATATATATATATATATATATATATATATATATATATATATATATATATATATATATATATATATATATATATATATATACATACATTTATTTGACGAGTGTGCAAATTTATTTTTGTTTCATATTCGCAATGACATTAAACAGGTATTTATTCATAAACCAGAGGATCGGTGGTATAGAGGGATGAGGGGAGAGGCGTGGGGGGGGGGGGATGGGGACCTTCAGCTTCACTTTTACCATCGTCAAAACACAGGTAAACTCGTAGTTGCTACGAGTATTTACTTCAACAGTGCAGACACAGACACTACGTTAAATTGATTTAAGTCTCTGATGGAATGAAACTGGTTTTCCCCACAGACACGTCTCCCATATCCCAGCCTCCTACGACAGGGCAAGTCAAGGCATTTAGAGGCATTCCGGGTTTGCTCTCTCAAGTTTTGGGTGAGGAGATAGATTTTTTTATATTTTTTTATTATCATGCAAACGGGATGTTTTACAAGTTACAGTACTTGTTTCTTATTTGACGAGGATGGCGACACACAACATAACCACGTCTCTGAACGTTAATTCCCGGTTACACAGTTGTAACACGGAAACATCAAATGCAAAATATAGTTGTAGCCATGTTGTGTCTTTCCTAAGGTGGGACGATGGGGAGGAGGGGGGGGGGGGTTGTTACAGACCACATGTCCTTCTAATTATCGTTTGCAAGTCAGGGATTGAATCACAACACTGCTGACCTAAATCTAAGCACAAAAGGTTTGGATTGTAAGAGCCAATCATTAAACTCTAGGAATTTGTTGGTTGAAATAAGAACATAAGTTATCCAAAGGGGGATTGAAAGCTAACTTAAGAGCTCTAACATGAAGAGATATCAAGATATCCGCTCTGTGATGCTCACCTTTTTCTCCTCCTTCTGTTGGGTCGTCGAGAAGGGAAGGACAAGGAAAACAATTCACAATTAGTTGTATATTAAATAAAATTCTCCTCTATATATTTAACTATCTTTCCTGTACTTGAACAAGTCATAATTTACATTCTAAGAAAACTAAAAAAATAATAACACAGTAATGAGATGATTTCATATATTTAACACAAATATTGAAGCTCGTTCACATATTCCTAAATATGACATCCGCACAACATCACCGCATATTGTGCTTATGCATAAAACAGATAAACGATGATCAGTATTTCTTATTCTCTATTTTATCTATTTTACCGTATATGTAATGAACACAAATACTGAAATTGAAAGTTAAAATTCTTATATGATATGAAATAAGTTTATTGAGGTAAAATACACACAAAGGGATGAGGTAGCTCAAGCTATTCTCACCCCGTAATATATGATATAGGGGGTGGCAGTGGTGCCTATACTGACCTCCTCCAGCATGTCCATGGTGAGCTCCACGGCCTGCGAGGTGGTCTCCCCCTTCTCGTTCTTGGCCACCACCTTGTACGACCCACAGTCCATCTTCTCAGCCTTCAGCATCTCCATCTGCACCACGTACTTGCCCTCTCCCTCCTGCAGAAGGCAACATCTGTGTCAGACGCTGTTGTTGGGCATAAGGCTGCTCAACCTCTGCAGAGTTCTTAGGACGGTCACGATGCCGTAACTTGCTGGACCAACCAGCGAGTATACCTAAGTCCTGATCATAGTTTACATCTAAAGTAAACTCTCAGTGTATGTACACCAACAAGCGCACTGCGCTTCTCGCGCATGTAAACTAACGCCTCTCACTGTATGGATCCTGTTGGTAAACACTATCAGGCTTAATTTGCATACCATAATTTTACACTGAGGAAAGTACATCTTTATGAGAAGCGGAATAAGGGACCGAAAAGTCCAAGTAATTTAAACAATGCCATTTGGTTCCCCATTTTGGGGAAGAGGAAGCCTGCTGGTGTTAACAAGGTTCCCCACCAAGCCAACGACTGACCTTCCTCACGATTAATACACAACAGTTGCCTAACCTTCTGGTATCAACTTACTGCTAGGTGAAAAGATGCATCAGGTTACAGGAAACGTGCCCCAACGTTCCTGTCCTATCAGAAGAATTCAACCCGGGACCCCATCATCTGTGAACCGTCGACTCAGACTACTGCGCTACAGAACCCGGTAGGAATATAATATATACCCTATACACCTTTTGGAATAATATTAATTCTTTGTGATATAAAATAGCCTAAACACTCAGTTGAGTTTTTAGAAGTTTTTTTTCTTCGTTCTTAAAGCTGTCTATCTTACGAACTTCTCAGACTTCCTCAGTCTTCCTATCTGCTCTTATGGTTGATGGGTCTGACGTTGAAGACATACGTTTCATATTTATTTATAGTCATTTTAAACTCTATCCCTGGCTCTGGCTTCGGCGTGTCTTTTACCCACCAACAGTGTTTGTCCTAATGTGTTTTAACACTCGCTACTTCCTTACTCACTGCTTGCTTCACGAGGTCCAATTGTGTGCTAACATCCGCCACTTCCCAACTCAACACTTGTTTCAGGCTTTCCTTCTTATCCTAACACTCGCCAGTTCTCTAATCAGTAATAATTTCAGGGGTGACTCGCCTACTCTCTCGAACGAACACTTTCCGAATGTGACCAAGTCTCACCTCATTGATGTTGACGCAGTGACGAGTGTCGAGGCGGACCTTGGACGAGTCCTTGAACCAGCTGCAGGCGGGCTTGGAGGTGGAGATGACCACGCACTCGATCACCACCTTCCTGTTGAACACCGACACAATCCTGGGCGGCCTCTTGATCGTCGGCGCCACTGGACATTGATAAACCAAGATTAACACCGGCGGAAATAGGCAGAAAAACAGGATTTATATCGGACCGGATCGCGGCATTGGAATATGTGGCTAAAGATTATACTACGGGCAGGACACAGGTGTCGCTGTATGAATTATGACGTTACTGTCAACTCGAAATAATAATAATAATAATTATATTAATAAACAAATAAATAAATAAATAAATAAATAAATAAATAAATAAATAAATAAATAATAATAGCAGTACAGAAATGAAGAAATCTCATTTTCTTTATCAAGATTCAAGGTTAGGGGGTGACTAACATGAAGCACTGACTTGATATTAATATGATGGTTGTAGCTTTTATCACTTATTATTGGTAATGACACTCAACGTAATATGTAAATGAATGGTACATATATAATTTAAGACAAATTACCATTCGGGAACCAAACAATTATTATATAAAAATTTATCGGAGAGTCAAGGAGTTAAGTAGACTGATCCGTATAGTGCACAGAGAACACATGTGTTATCACAGATAACAGTGGACAGATATACTACCGCAGATGACAGACGTGTTATCACAGATGACAGACGTGTTATCCGTGTTACCACAGAAGACAGACGTGTTATCACAGAAGACAAAGGTGTTATCTCAGAAAACAGACGGGCAACCACAGAGGACAAACTCGCTATCGCAGTTTACCTTCGATGTTGAGATTGAGATTAGCGTTCAGCTCCCCAAATTCGTTCTTGATGTTGCACTTGTAGACGCCGCCGTCAGTAGGCTGAGGTTTCTGTAACCAAACACTTTCATCAGTAAGGTCAAGTGATAACAAAAGGTCATCTCCAGCGCTTTAGTGCAGGGTTCAGGGGGTCAAGGTCAAGATCAGGAGAATAATTTAGATCTTCAGGAAAGAGAAGATGGATCCTTAATGTTTTCTGTCACCTCTGTTGTGGTAAGTTGCTGGTATGAAGATTTTATATATTGAATATAGTGAATGGAGCTGTATAGTTCATGACTTTAGAGTACTGATATACTGAGAAAATATATCTCGTATATAATATATATTTTGACTAGTTCTGTAGGTATATATATTCAAGTATTTTCTGGAAATAGAGTATATGAGTTGTTTATATATTAAGTGTTAATGTTGGTTAGAAACTATAGTTCTAGACTATAGTATAGGTAACTAGAAGACAATATGGCACGGCTGTAGGACTAAGTGTCTTAGTGGTACAGTGTTTTAGTTAGCTAGGCTAGATCAGTCGTCGACTGAGTCAGTCTGGTTCTACTCGGAAAATAGAAATGTCTTGCTAGGCGTCGTTGGAAGAAACCTCAGAGCTGTCAACAAAGCCGTGTTTAATGTCCAACTACTCAAGAATTTCTTTTTTTCCGATTTCACCTTGTGTTGTAGTATTAGTGTTGAGTGAGTATGCTGTTGCTGAAACAAAAAGAGGAAAGAATGATGAAATCATAAGTTAGGTAATATAAAAAGAAGCAGATCTAGACAAGCAGGTGAGAGTAGGCAGAGCGCGCCACCCTTGTCAATGCCCAAGCAAACAGGGGGGAGGGCAGTAGTGGCTGCAGCAGTGCATGACGGGAAGACCCGCTCCATTACCCGCAGTTCCATGCGAATGCGGTACAAATCATCCTTTTCCTTGGTGACGGTTGCTGTTACTCTTGCCACATCGAGCTCCTTGCCGTCTTTCGTCCATCGGGAGGTAGGTTTGGGATCTGCGCGCACCAGAGCCTCCATCAGCACCCGTCCAGCCTTCTCTTCGAACTTGATGGTAGGCTTTTCCACGAAGACGGGAGCCTGGCCCGTCGGTTCCGGGTCAGACTCGATGTTTAGGTTTACGTTGGCTGTGGCCTCGCCAAATTGGTTCATTGCCACGCACTTGTACTTGCCAGCGTCAGCACCACACGGATCCTGAGTCAGCAACACCGTCAGCCAGGAGGAGCCAGCAGGCAACAGTAACAGAGCAAGGGAGGGTACAAGGTTGGTATCAGGGCTATAACAGGATCGGACTAACACAACACAGCTACACACCTTAAAACTTAAAAATCATTATTTTTAATACATATTCATTACAAATTAAGGATCTTACTCGGAAAGCAGTCAGTCCGATCTTGAGATTAAATAAGGTAATAGGTTGCTCGTACACCGTATCATACACAGAAATATGGATGGAGATAAGCGCATGAAGACACTACAGACTGAGAGTGGGAGTCCCCTCACACACACACACACACACACACACACACACACACACACACACACACACACACACACACACACACACACACACACACACACACCACTACAGTGGGTCTGTACAGCAGGGCACCGAGTGCTGTAGAGGGGGAGAAGCTTGGGTGAAGACCGGTCCTAACACGAGGTTGCGGAGAAGGATCATCAAGTAAAAGATATTTAACCCAGCTTTTCTGTGTCCCTATTAGTGATGTGGAGCACCAGCGTCATCACCCTCACCAGTAGTGTCAGGAACAACGGTGTCACCTCCACCAGTAGTGTCAGGACCAACGGTGTCACCTCCACCAGTAGTGTCAGGACCAACGGTGTCACCTCCACCAGTAGTGTCAGGACCAACGGTGTCACCTCCACCAGTAGTGTCAGGACCAACGGTGTCACCTCCACCAGTAGTGTCAGGACCAACGGTGTCACCTCCACCAGTAGTGTCAGGGCCAACGGTGTCACCTCCACCAGTAGTGTCAGGGCCAACGGTGTCACCTCCACCAGTAGTGTCAGGGACAACGGTGTCACCTCCACCAGTAGAGTCAGGACCAACGGTGTCACCTCCACCAGTAGTGTCAGGACCAACGGTGTCACCTCCACCAGTAGTGTCAGGACCAACGGTGTCACCTCCACCAGTAGTGTCAGGAACAACGGTGTCACCTCCACCAGTAGTGTCAGGAACAACGGTGTCACCTCCACCAGTAGTGTCAGGACCAACGGTGTCACCTCCACCAGTAGTGTCAGGACCAACGGTGTCACCTCCACCAGTAGTGTCAGGCATTATATTAGGATACACTTAGGAAGACTCAACACTGTTGCCCTGCTCGTTGTCTCTCAAGTTCAGGTTGATGTACATACAAAATACTGACAGATAAATCATGTTTTTAACCAAATTAGCCTCAAGATGTTGAAACAGTTTACGGCAGCGACGATTTATTTCACAGTTGCTGGATACGCGACTGGCCATGTCTTCCGAGTACCACATCTTGTTCTTTATGATCCTTCAATAGCCAACACTACACCGTAGAACAGTCAGACAGGGAGAGAGGTTTACGTGTTGCCAGGCAGCCTAACCGGAATACTAGACTCGTAATTACTCCTGAGGCAGAAGGGCAGTAAGTGCTAGCCTCATACTCTAGTATACTAGGACTACGATACTACTCTGGCCCTGGATTTATCAAGTCATTTATCTACCCACTTACGAAGCCTGTACATCTCTCCTTGATCACGGCGGCTAAGTCTGTATTTATTACAACGTTTGCCAGTTTAGACAATTCGCAATCAATTGTCGTTCTTTACACACAGAAATCACAATACCGTGATACATCAAATGAACTAATCCACAAGGGCCGTGATGAGGGTTCAAACCCTCATTGCATTTTTGAACCATGTGGTGGCGCAGTCGACTACGGCGCGACTGGGATAATCCCGGACGTAGGTTCGAACCCTCATCACGGCCCTTGTGGATTTGTCCAATTGTTGTTCTTGTTACAGACAACCTTGTGCCGCTTTGGAATTCTTATACTGTTACAAACTAGGACGCCATGATTGAGGATGGACAGACTTTGCAAGTCGATATGTAAATACTTGAAGAATCCTGGCTACTGCATGGATTTTTATGACACAGCATGGATGTGTCAGCAACAGAAGGGAAGTACATGTAGTAACTTGTATACTAATGGTGTCAATCACAAAGTTGTACCAGTCATGTGGCGCTGGGCAGCGCGGCGCCAGTCCATATATGTTGACCAAATATATAAATCGATATATCGATATATTGTCGTAGCTATATCCTCTCAGGCTGACAATAGGAGTCCATGTTACTTGTCTCTCACTTTAACAATACTGAGAGTCAGTACGTCGCTGTAAGTAGATCTTTCTATTTGGTGCTTAATAATCCTCATGTCACGTAAAGTGCACTCAAGAACTAGCGAGCATTTAGGCAAATATAGAGACTACAATATCATACGGAAACTAGTGGGGTGGGGGGGGGGGAATACTAGGTATGACCAATATGAATTAAATCTTATGAATAAATACTTCATAGTGTACATGTTTATGTGAAGAGATTCTATATATTTATATTATGAAATGCTTGTCAAATAGTAATTGTAACACCATATAATAACAATGAATGTCTTCGACAGTAATGGAAGACATATTATATATATATATATATATATATATATATATATATATATATATATATATATATATATATATATATATATATATATATATATATATATATATATATATATATATATATAATGTATATATACATTATGGCACACACACACACAACCGGACCTTCAAGCTCATGAGAGTGCAAATCTCCAAATCCAAACAATCTATCCACTCACGGTCATCCAGCCTGGGTTCGTTCGAACACAAATAATCTCACCCACCGAAAATTAAGCCTAGACTCTGGGGGGGCAGTTAGACATCGCTGAGAACTAAGCTTGGCGGCCCCGGGGTAACACTTAGACTCGCCACTCAAGGGGTCAACTCACTCAACCGGATCCGGTCAACTACAATCAGTCACTGCCATTGGGTGAGCAACTCACTAACGGCGCGGGAGAGACTTGGGTATAACAACGAAGAACGGCTCTGCGCCAACTTACCTTAACGATGCACGAATACTCAAACATCTCAGCGGTGACTTTATGTTCCTTGATAACGAGACGCTTGGCTGCTTCCAGCTTCTTGCCATCCTTGAACCACTCCACCGTTGGTTGTGGCTTGGCCTTGCACCGAACCTACAGGTACCACAAGTTATCGTGAATACAAGTTACACCTAATACCAGTTGAAGCATATGTGTTGCGATAAGCAACGAGCAAAGGGCATCGTAAGAGCCTAGAATATATAAATATTGTATCTCCCGTCTCATGTAAGTATATTGTTGTTGAAATACATCTGTAATATATCCAGATTTGTTGATGCCAACGCAAGATAATAGCTTTTATTCTTTATTTGAATTAGGGCAAGCATGGTGCCATATCTATTCTTTGGGCAAGCATGGTGCTATCTATCCTAATGGCATGCATGGTGCCATATCTATCATTTGGCAAGCATGATGCTATCTATTCTTTAGACAAACATGATGCCATCTAGCCTTATAGCAAGCATGGTGCCATCTTATGACAAGCATGGTGCCACTCACCTTCATGGTAATCATAGTGCCAGACTCGTTAGGGATGATCGAGGGTTTGTCGAGGAACGTGGGAGCGAAGCCCTCTGGAATGGCTTTGCCCTCTGAAATAAAACAAACCAATTTGAAAGTCTAGTTTCCAGGATTTGGTGTTTTGAGGTTAAAGGCCTGTCAGCCTCTGGAAGGTGATTAAGGTCGTGACCCCAGTTTACTGACCAATCTACAAGTATACTTTGGACCAGAACCTAGATCAGGAGTGAAGTCAACTTCGCGTATATTCACCGAGAAATAGGGTATACCTCTCGGTGTATATATATTCCTTTCTAAGTTCCGATATAATTATGGTATTTTATTGGCCATATGTAAGTTATGTGTACTTATTGAACTTATAAACAAAAATACTGTACAAATAATACTTCAAATGTAGCACATCCACTGAATATTGTTTACAAATAAAGCTGATTACTATTTATTACTGATTAACTATTCCGCTGTGAAGACTTGCATATAACCTCAGCCCATATCAGCTCAGCAATTAATTAGCAAAAGACTTGTAATAATATATCTATTGATTATTATCTTATAATTTGTGTTTTTTTGGCACAAATTTTTATAAATCCAAGTTTTTCACATTACTCAGTGTTGCCAAAGTTAATTTAAGTGCTCTGAAAAGCTAATGGCACTGATATGCATATCACAATATATTCTCAAGGATAAAGACTCTGACATGGACACCACAACAAATACATACTCTCAAAGTTAAGGGCTCTGACATGGAGACCACAACAAATACATACTCTCAAAGTTAAGGGCTCTGACATGGAGACCACAACAAATACATACTCTCAAAGTTAAGGGCTCTGACATGGACACCACAACAAATACATACTCTCAAAGTTAAGGGCTCTGACATGGACACCACAACAAATACATACTCTCAAAGTTAAGGGCTCTGACATGGAGACCACAACAAATACATACTCTCAAAGTTAAGGGCTCTGACATGGACACCACAACAAATACATACTCTCAAAGTTAAGGGCTCTGACATGGACACCACAACAAACACATACTCTCAAAGTTAAGGGCTCTGACATAGACACCACAACAAACACATACTCTCAAAGTTAAGGGCTCTGGCACAGAGACCACAACAAATACATACTCTCAAAGTTAAGGGCTCTGACATGGACACCACAACAAACACATACTCTCAAAGTTAAGGGCTCTGACATAGACACCACAACAAACACATACTCTCAAAGTTAAGGGCTCTGACATAGACACCACAACAAACACATACTCTCAAAGTTAAGGGCGATGTTGGCGTTGGAGTCGCCAAAGGGATTGAAGGCATTACACCGCCACTGTCCCCCGTCCGACGCCTCGGGTTTCATGATGGTCACCGACACGATGAACTGGTCCTTCCCGCAGATCTTCTTGTACATAGAAATGCGACCCTGCTCTTGTATGATCTGAAAACATCACAAACCCCTATGAGTGTTAAGCAACTGCAATAGTTTAAATATATATATATAGCTAAAGCTATATAGCTAAATGTATCTAGTATTCAAATAACATTAAGGAGAAAAATGTATACAGGCCAAGGGTGTAAACACCAATGAATTCTAACAACGATGTGGCATGACCCTGATCACATAAGAAGTGAGACTGTCATGTTGGTTTCATCACTGACATGAGGAACCAAGTAGAGAACCCTCACCTCAGTACCCATGAACCATGAGCAAGAACTAAGAAGAGAATCCTTATCTCAGTACCCACAAATCATGAGGAAGAAGCAAGCAGAGAACGCTTACCTCAGTACCCTTGAACCAGGTGACCTCAGGTTCAGGATTAGCCTCCAGGATACACTCCATCACCAGTTTGTCACCTTCCTGGCGAATTTCTGGCTTCTTCGGGAATCTTGGGGCCTTGCCGTCAGGGATCCTACAGCAGCAAAGGTTTAGTTTCACGTGAAATAGGAGAAAAACTACCTAACAAAATAAATTTAAACATGGGTAGTCAAAGAATAGTTTCAAAATTATTATCTTGATATAAACATAGCAAAAGTTTGTGTAGAGGGAAAGGAAGGGGAGGGAAAAGAGTTATCAGGAGAAGCACCAAGCCATTACGACAATATAGCACTGGGAAGAGGTCAGGGTAAGGTATTGGGATGGGGCGGTTGGGGAGAGGGGGGAGGGAATGGTGCCCAACTACTTGGACGGTCGGGGATTGAACGCAGACCTGCATCAGGCCAGACCGTCGCTCTACCGTTCAGCCCAAGTGGTTGGGCAAAGCTTTTCCTAAAACTTTTTAAAAACTTTAATATTAGTGTATTATTACAAAAATAAATATTGAATATAACTCATTACTCTTATAATAATACAAAATAAATAAACTCGTGTAGAACAGTAACTATCCATTTTCTAAAGCAGATACTTGCTACTTTCTTCAACTTACTTCGGCTTGTCTGAAGCTGTTTTGCCTTCGAAGTGCAGGTTGATGGTAGCGACGCCCTCCCCGAGCTTGTTGCTGGCCACGGCCCTATACTCGCCCTCGTCGGCATTGGTCACCTTGTTGACCTCGAGGATGACCATGTAGTACAGCTTCCCGTCTGGCTCCAGCTTCATCCTGTGTCGCGCCCCCTCGCGCAACTTCTTCCCCTTGAATTCCCTGCATACCAAGGATAAAAAATTATGTTTTCCGTCCTGCCAAAGGTAAATTACAAGTCCCCCCCCCTCCCCCTGCAACCCACCGAAACTACGAGTTTCCTTCCCTTACAACTGTTGAGTGAGACGTAAGGATGGTTACCGAGTAAGGTCATAAAACTATTAAGTAAATGTAGTTGTTAGATAAGGTCAGTGTAACCGTAATAATATAATCTATTGTATACAGCCTCAAACTTCAGTTCTGATGGATTGTTTTCAAGGCATCAGCAGGCATCGTAAAAGTGAGATAGTGTCATGAAAAACTACGATAGAACTGTGATAGACTACGAAAAATTTGTTGTAGCAAGGTTTTCGTAGTCTATATGCTTAGGAAATTTCTAATTAATCTAAGTTTGTAAAATATTAAGTGATATTTGCTCGGGGCAACAGACTCGCGTTCACACTAAGTTATGCCTCAGGCCCGTCGGCTGGAGCTCACGGTGACGCCACCATATTGCCTTGATTTATCTTGTACTTTTTCAACACTGCCAATGTTTACTTTTTGTGTTTAGTTTCACATAAAATAGACATATTTGTTTTTTTAACTAAAAACAAAAAATATGTTTGATTTTTTATTAATAAATATATATTTTTGAGATAAATAAAAATGTATATATTATATAAAAAAAAATTTATGCAGGGGTTCCTTGAGACATGAACATTATTGCAAGGGTTCCAAGGGTAAGAAAGGTCAAGCAAAGCTACTTCAGGTCCCCTGAGTCATATTTAAGAAAACATGGGTGTTATGTTATATATAATTTGACCTTTAGTCTTGGAGAGTTAACTTAAAATAACTGGACGAATATTAAGATATATATATGAAATCTATACTTTGTGAATCTTAGGTCTACCTTGGGAATAACAATATTTAAATGCCAGCTCGGCTAGGTTTCCTCAAGCATTTCCGCATCTATTTACGAAACCTATACATCTTGCAAAACAAATGTAAACAAAGCCGCCATGAAACCCATACATCTTTCAAAACAAATATTAACAAAGCCGCTATGAAACCTATCCATCTTGCAAAACAAACGTAAACAAATCCACCATGATTGTTGAAAGATGTACCGAGGCTCGCGTCAGTGGATGCGACAACGCTTGAGGAACGTGGCCAGTACATGGAAAGGAAGAACTCACCACACGATCGTAGGCTGAGGGTTAGCGACACACCGGCAGCTGAAGATGACGCTCGTGCCGTCCTCACTCTGCTTGATAGAGGGTCTCTCGGTGAAGGTGGGCCGCACGCCTTCCTTGGGCGACGGCACCTCGTCGGCTGTGAGCATCATAAAGGAACCTAGGTGGCGCACGCAAGGGGGAGGGAGGAGACCTCACGTTAGACGGAGCACAGGGGAGGACACACGGCGTGATATATGACCCATGACGTGATAGGGAAGGGCAGAGGTGATAGAGAGAGAGGAACATGATGGAAGGGAAAAGGGGGCGGGTGAACAGTAGAAGGAAGGGGGGTGGGGTGAGGAACGGAAAGAAAGGAAGGGGAAGGATGGATGGCAGGGACAGTGGAAGATGATAGGGAGGATTAAGGGATAAAATAAGCAAGTGCTTAAAAAGAGGAGAAAGAAGTGAGGTGAAAGTTGAGCAGAAAGGAGAACTGAAACAAGAGAAAACGGGAGAGACAATAAAGGAGGAAGCAGACCTTCCTAGAAGAAAAGGAACAGAAGAGAGGAGTTAAAAGTCGTGGAGCAGCACAAATAACAACACAAGAACAAGATTAAAATAATCATAGCGAAAAGGAAGGGGAAATAAGGCCAAGGAGGATGACAAATGAGGCGAGTAATGAAGATGTTAACTTCGGCTGCAAGAGATGTTACTTATTAACCAGGCGGCAGTGTTCCGCTCTGGATTTAGTATATACGCCAAAAAGTAAGAAAATAATAATAATAATAATAATAATAATAATAATAATAATAATAATAATAATAATAATAATAATAATAGAAACAGGAATAAAAGTACTAATAATAAAGACTACAACATAGAAAGGAATTCAGAGAGCACATAAACATGACCCTTGAGCTCGCAGTACTCAGTAGCATCTGTTCTAATGAACGTTTGAGAGCCTCCGTAAATTTGTAACTTATTATGATGGGGTGTTTTGTTATGGTGAATATTATAAAACAACCTTTTTTTCTTTTTTATACATTTGTCATTAATCAGAAATATGCGTAGAGTTGATGTTGTGGAAAGTGTGAGAATTACGAAACTTGATGAGTAGCGCCGTGTTGGTTTAGAGGTGTTGGAGGAGAGGTGTTGGAGGGGGGGGGGCGTGTTGGAGGAGAGGTGTTGGAGGGGGGCGTGTTGAGCCCAGCCAGTCCTGTAGGCTCTCTACCCACTCTTGGCCAAGTGCCAATCCTGGAGCGCTTAGCGCGCATACCAAGCTAAATATAACCAGGTGTATAATGGGCCCCATATACCTTTGGTGCAAGTATATAATGAACAGATATACCTCTCTCTATATATATAGTCTGTATACATACTATATGTGCATATGTATGCATACTAACAATAGGTATACATACTATGCATACTATAGGTATACAACGGACGAACATATCTTTGGGGAAAATATGTGAAGAGTACATATACTCTTTAGGTGGAAGGTTTGAGATTCAAAAATCATGCACAAAAACTGCTATTAAGAGCTGCACTCCAATGATAAAAATCCACTACAAGCTAATGGATCATATTTTTGCGTGAATATACTAGACAAAATAACTATATATATTCAGCCGATTTACTCGTCAAATTTTGTCCTTATTAAAGGAAAATGTTTGTGATTGGAAAAACAGAGTTGACTTGCAATCAGCTGTTACATTCATCCAAACAAAATGAAAACAATATGTTTACTTCATTGAGAAACAGATATGCTTAAGAGCTCAAGAATGCAAGGAATATCGTGCTCCAGCAAATTGTGAAATTCCTGAATATATATATATATATATATATATATATATATATATATATATATATATATATATATATATATATATATATATATATATATATATATATATATATATATATATACAAGTAGTAAACATAAAATAAATAACAAAAACATTGACTAAAGAGAAAAAAAAACGAACAAATATATAAAATAAAGAAAAATATTGAAATCATATAATGATAAATGAAGAATAACAACATAGAAGTACTTATAACAAGTATAAGTCTGGTAGTCAGCATATCTCCAGTATACTTGTCTGTGTCAGTTGTCAGTGTTAGTATGTTGATGCGGCTGCCAGGGGGTGGGGGGTATATTTTAACATTATATTTTGGTTTAGTCTTACCTATACTTTAGTATAACGATTATGGGCCTCTTGCGAGCAGGTTTTAGGTGACAAGTTTAGGAAGGCGTGCTAGTTATTGTAGAGGACTTGGTGGGGGAGGACTAACTCAACTTTTTTAGTTGTATAGGCTTTTATTAGGTGATCGTTTAATTAGTGGTGGGTTGTATAGCCTTGAGCAGTTAGGCAGTTTATGATAAGGTATGTGACACTGGGAGGTAAACACAGGACAACACACACACACACACACGCAAACCAACATCCGACCACACACAATGCGTGTCTTGAATTTTAGATGTTGCGTGAGTCGCAGGCGTGTCATTCACTCACACACAGGCTGGCACACCTGAGGTGTGTCAACGAGATCTCCTTGAAACTTGATTTAGATTCATCCCAAACGCTCATTTCTAACTTTAATAGTCGTATTCAGAATCAAATTTGGTAAACGCCAACTGTATAGTAGAATTAGTTCCTTAAATTCCCCATTACCATTGGTAGAAAAGTTAAGTCTCTAAAGGCCAGTGATTTTATTTAATGAGAAGAAAGTTTGAAGTTTCAGGTAGTAAAATAAAAAATAAAAGTTTTGTAAAAAAACTTTAAAATATGTGGTTGTGTCTATGACATACACCTAATTTCCGCGAACCGAAATTAAACCACACCTTCCTTTTCTTCAAATATTGACCCACGGAAGGTCATAGGTTAAGTGAAGACCCAGCTCCTGGGCCCTGCCTTTAGCGATGACTGTACTGTTTTCATAGAAGTAGCTACAATTTCAGCTTTTATACCGTCCCAAAACTCGTACTTTCTTTTATTTATATAAATGAAAACCAAAGTTGATGGGTTCTGGGGAGACCCCAGAGGACGCACAAGTGCCCCCTTATATAACCCACTGATTTGTCGGCACTGCCAGGATCTTTGAGTTCCGGGAAGGTCTGCAGTGCAAGTGAGGATATTGCAGTAATCGAAATCGTGTATAGTGGTTTAGTTTAAGGCTTAAGGCTTATCAACCGCGGAAGGGTTATGAAGGCCACCAGAACAGCTCATCACTGACCAGCCAGCAAAATATTCATTAGTCCTGAACATAGCACAGAACTAAAATATACTCGCAGTATAGGTACGCGTTGGGTACGTCTCTCTGTATAATTTAATGTAGTGTAGATGTACATAATGTCCCCCCCCCCCATTAATGTAGTGAAGATGTACATTGAATTACATCGATTTTGTACTGGTACAGTTCACTGTTAGCAACTGTATGAGTTAAGCTAAACACACCGGGCATTCAGATCCTGGGGAAACTGCCGGTGCCCGGGAGGGTCAGCTATACACCTCAAGATGTTACATTATGATTGAAAACTGTGTGTATAGAAGACGTGGCCTTTCACCTGGGCAACGTCGTCTGCCTCAGCCACCAACTGGTGCCAACTTAATAGATTCTGAATACGACCCCAAACACGTCATATATGAACATGATCCTAACCAAATTGAAACAATCATACTTGAACCGATCACTCGTTCAATTAACTGGATATTCGATCCATTATCCAAACACAGTATTATCCATTTGTACAGTATGCGTACTAGACGAGGACAAAAACGAACCACAAACACTGAACATACAGTAATCCTAAACACAGGGAAACCTATTCTTAAAGTAACTGTATACATACAATAATTCCAAACACCATTTTGAACATATTAAAGCTAGTTTCAAGCTAAAAGATTTGTTGTGATTTTTTTTAACTTTAAAAATATACTTTAAAATATTATTATTACATTATTTTGATGTTTAACTTTTGGGCATATAATTTAGTATTTGTAATTATGCAACATTTAAATAATTCGAGTACAATAAAAATTAATTTGATAGGTTTGCAACACAACATTCAATGCAATTTGATTTAAATCAAGCAATATTTTTATCTTTCAAAATTTAATTTCATTCCATAATCACCTGGGAGGAGTCGAACCAGTATACGGAGGCACAAGAGCCCAACAATATAATCTCAAAAGGACACATAACCCACAGAGAAATATTACGATTAATGGCATCTATGGAGTAAATATTTGTTATTCAAATTAAATTGATCAAAACATTTGCAAACTTATAACTTAATGAGTTTTTATCGCTTGATCTTACTTTCAGAAATCTTCCCTTCGAGTTTGTAGGAAAGAGAAAAAAATATTGAGCAGCCTCTTTGATCCCATGATAAAAAAAAAAGAGTCCTTGAATCCTCGTGTTCTAATAGTTTAAGATGTTGAGGATGTAATACGATAAATTAGAGTTTTTCATTTGTGAATAATTAATTTTAGACTTGGGGGACTAATCACTGATGGAATAGAGGGAGGACATGAACATCAAAACAAGGAGAGGGGGAAGGAATACCATTAGAAACTAGAAAGTAAATATTATTTTTGCTCGGGAACTTTGAGGGTTGAGTAAAACTTGACTGTGTAATGTATTTAAACATCATAATCCTCTTTGTCTCCTCTTGCACCGGCATGATTCATCACAATACAGTAAATTCTATTATATATTAATATTTAATTATTTGTGAAAACTCCAATTTTGAGGACACGGTATGTTAAACTTTGAGGTGTTTGAGATCGGCCGCAGCTTGGGCTAGCCTAGCCTGAGGACGGGCTGGGCTTCAAGAGGCTGGAACACTCCTCCAAGACTAGCAGGGGTGGGATCTAGGGGCAAGACCCAGGAGCAAGACCCAGGGCTGAGACCCAGGGGTGAAACCCAGGGGTGAGACCCACCTCCAGCAAGCAAGACAACCATGCTTGATAACATGTTTCTCTCGCCCTCCGCACCACATCCTTGGACTTATCCTTGCCTTCCAATACATATTACATAAACAAGCAGCGGTTGTGTATTATGTATATAGCTTTGCCAATAATCAAGCAACTAAAAGCTGTAGCGAGTAATCCGTACGCGTCTCAAAGTCCAACATATATTTTTCTAAGAATCGAAATATTTCATATTTGAGACAGAAAGCAGGTGTTGAAAGGGGGATTCGAGGAAGGGAAGCCACTTGAGAACATCTGTGGCCGGGTGTTCCTTATATTGTACTCTATGTTATCTTGTTTAGCTTAGGGAGTTAAGTGAACGGAGGATTGAGTTGAAGAATATGACCCGGAACTCTTGTTCATCCATTCTTATCAATTCTGCCCCCCACCCCCAAAAAAAAATCATCTGGCCAAAAAAGGCTTGTGATCAATATTTTTATCCGGCCACCGCAGTACAGTATCTTACTGGCCAAGCAGCGAGTATATCCAATTTGTCCAATCATCTCTTGGTATACTGTATATTCCTTATTTCCCAACACGACAGTTTCGTTAAACAGTTCCACTGTGCAGCCACTAACCGCCGGTATCACAATCCTATTTTACTTAAGCATTATTACTATTTTACCATTTATACTTTACTATTAATGATATATTTGTATATTTTATTATTATGGATTAATTAACATCGTATTTAAGATATAAATATACTCGGCCACATAGACCAGCCCGTTCTCACGACAAGCGTCAAATCTGAAGCGGCTTTTGCCTAACCAGAACTATCATGGACTGAAATAATATCAAAACTGCAATGTTTTTAATTTGACTAAAACACCGGAATAGTTACGTTCGATGCGTCAAAACTGCGATGCATTAAGAGTGAGAAGAGGTTACTTTGTATTCAACATTTCTAAGTTTTAAGTTCCGTTATAAAGGTTTATTTGACCTTGATAAACTTTACGTCGGCATCTTTGCTTGCGAGTCTTTTATACAAGACTCAAAAATTTTATACAAGTCATTTTCGTAAGCCTTGTGTGCAGAATTTATGAAACCACTATTTGACTCGACGAAATAACGCTCGCTTTTATGGACTTTTATTCCTTAACTGAGAACGGAAGCGATTCTGTAATTAAAGGTAAACAAATTCGTGTTTCTGTGCATATTCGTCAGGTTATTTCTACCAAGCAAGCATGCGTTGACGTGGGTTCACAGGCACGTTTTTGTAGGGAAATTATTCAACCCGTTCTCGCACTTGCTTCAGTCAATATTGGCTTATTTAATAAGTGCATATGTGACATACTAATTGATTGTGAATATTTTAGTTTACCTTGAAAAGTTTCATAGAAAACACCGACCTCACCTAACCTTCTTAGTATGTTAAGATAAGCCTCTTATTGCTTCTTATTTACAATTATTACTTAACCTATCAACGGTATAGGTTAAGTAATAATTGTAATTAAGAAGCAATAAGATGCTTATCTTAACATACTAAGAAGGTTAGGTGAGTTCGGTGTTTTCTATGAAGCTTTTCATAGAAGTAAACTAAAATATTTACAATCAATTAGTATGTCACATATGCACTTATTAAATAAGCCAATATTGACTATAAGCAAGTGCGAGAACGGGTTGAATTATTAGTTAATTCAGATCAGCAAGGGGTTCTTTAAGGATAATGTATTGTCCCTTGAAGTGAGTGAACGTCCGAGTTATCCGTTTTGGTCAAAGTTCGTTCTCTTAAGATCTATATTATTTTTATTATATGTCAGGGATCGTTCCTCGTCATTGTTTTGTGTTTCTTTGTCAAGTGTTCGTTCTTCAACGTCTTAATTTGCGTCTATTTTGATGCCTTATTGCCGATAGACATTCTTTCAATTGAAGTCAAATTTTTTAACCGCAAAATCTTATATTATTGTTCAACTATAATTTTTCTTGCTTTCTATTTAATTCTTAAGGTCATCTTACAAAGATATTATTTTGTTTTGCCACGGAGTCAGTACTAATTTGTTGATGTCACAATGTTCCCCAACAGGGTCAAGTAGCGGTGATGGGAGGTCAAGACTGTACTATCCTTGCGGGTCTCTGTGTGTGTGCCTGCCTGTCCAACTCTCTGAAACAATATGAAGTAACACGTTAACTAAAGGAGCAGCAGTATAGCAACCCCGGAGCCTCAGACACACACCGCAGCAGCTCCACTGCTTCTCCCAGACGGACCGGGAGAATGAGACTCAGGGGATCCACATTTCTTTTTGCAAAGAATTCTCTTGACAACCCTGTCGTCGTGGACCTGTCTGAATGCTGCACACAGCGGTTGAGAACATTGACTTCTACACACAACATTGAGAGCATTGACTTCTACACACAGCATTGAGAATATTGACTTCTAAACACAGCATTGAGAGCATTGACTTTCTACACTCAGCATTGATAACATTGACTTCTAAACACGGCATTGAGAACATTGGCTTCTACACACAACATTGAGAACATTGACTTCCAGAGGCAGCATTAAGAACATTGACTTCTAGAGGCAGCATGAAGAGGATCGCTACACGTACCTTTCACAAGCAGAGGAGGAGGAGGAAGAGGAATACAGAATACGAATAAGCGGAGGAGAAGGAAAAAGTGACCAAAACAGGAAGCGATAAACAGTGATACAACTGAAGACATCGTGCTCCGTGGCTCCCAGTACTGCACTACGACGTATTGGTCCAAACTGACACCCAGAGCTCATGCACTCTGCGCTAACATGTACCTCCCGGTACTGCGATATACAATATATACAATGCATTCTGTGCAACATTCAGACGGATCCAAACTTTTAGATCGGGCAGAGAAAACTCAAGAAATAACTGCTACGACAGGGGGTTGGTTCACGGAGGTTAGGATGGAGGAATCGCCGCCAGCTGGAGCCGAAGACTGCGCCAGCTGGGGCGACAGGTGAGCCAGCTGAGGCGGCAAGTGCGCTAGCTGGGGTCGAAGACTACGCCAGCTGGAGGATACTCACTGTCGAAGTTAAGGCTAATAGTGGCATTGCTCTCCCCAAGTTCGTTCTTGGCGGTGACCTTGTACTTCCCGGCGTCCTCCACCGTCACGTTGGTGAACGCCATCGTCACGAAGTACGACTTCTCATCCTTCTCGGTCGTCACCTGCAAGCATGCGAGTGTGGTTACTGTGGGTGGCTGTGGTTACTGTGGGTGGCTGTGGTTACTGTGGGTGGCTGTGGTTACTGTGGGTGGCTGTGGTTACTATGGGTGGCTGTGGTTACTGTGGGAGGCTGAGGTTGCTGTGAGGGGAGGAGGACAGAAGGAAGGGGAGAGAGATAAGCGGAAGCAGAGGAAGGGAAGTGACAGGGAAGGAGGTAAGATGAAAGAACATAAATCCTGTTTAACAAAGCAAGGAGGAACATCTTGTTTAAGCATGAGGCAGGGAACATGGTCGCCCGTTTGACCAACGTTGCGACAACATTGTAGGACCAGCGTACACGACCAGTCTTTTTACCCAACCTGTCCTCTTATAAATTACGTCTGAATTTAGCCGTTTGCCCGTATGGCTGAAAACTGGCGTAATTTGAAAATGAAAAAAAAATTGAAAATAAATTTGGGAATTTTTTTTTCTAAAATAGCAAGTTAAGGATCCTCTGGTATGTTAATAGTGTAGGAAATTCTCCTAAAGTTTCAAAACGTCATGAAAAACGTTAATTGAAAGTGTTCTCTCGTAACCCTAACAGATTAAGCTGGAGGACCCAAACAGAAAACGGGACAGTACATCACTTTCGTCAGCCGATTTCATTTCAAATTACGTCAGTTTTTGGCCATAGCGCACATACGAGCGAAAAGCGACGTTATTGTGAGAGGACGGGTTGCTCCCACACCGTGTGCGGTGCTTCACCTGCCCTACAACACTTGTCGTGATCTACCACACGCAACCCTCAACCACCTCAGGGCCTTGGACTGCGCTTCCCGTTTTTCATCCCTTAAGTCTAAATGATATATCTTTTGCATGCGTAATGAAGAGGATACGACTAAGACACAATCCTTGAGGCACTCTGCTTGTTAGACACTTCCACTCGGATGATCTTTGAGGCACTCTGCTTGTTAGACACTTCCACTCAGATGATGAAGATGAAGGCACTCTGCTTGTTAGAGGTGGTAAACCTTGCCGTGTTTGATCAAGGAGTGCCCCCCCCCACCATGGGATATAGCACGGGAGTAAAACACTAATACATCCATCAGCCAGGATCTGTTATTGTGAAACTTATGTTGATTGTCTTATTATGTTCTTATTTTCTTAAAATATTACCGACCTGTCAAACGAAGGAGGAGGAGGAGGAGGAGAAGGAGAAGGAGAAGGAGAAGGAGGAAGAGGAGGAGGAGGAGGAGGAGGAGGAGGAGGAGGAGGAGGAGGAGGGGTAGAAGAGTTGAAATATAAATAGCAACAACAGCTGCAGCAGCATAAACAGGAATAACAGGCTGGGGACGTCTATATATAACACGGGGCAGTCCCCACCTTTTATTTTTATACTGCCCTTTCTCTCTCTTTCTCCCTCTCTCCCTCTCTCCCTCTCCCTCTCCCTCTCTCTCTCTCCCACACACAGGTGTCTTACCTTGCACCGTGCGGACTCTTGCACCTTGAGTCCATCACGGAACCAGGTGATGGTGGGTCTGGGGTCAGCCAGGATGCGACACTCGAACTTGATATGTTTGCCTCCTTCCTCCTGTTTGATGACCGGCTTCTGGGCGAAGGTGGGCGCCAGTCCGTCGATTTGTCTGTCAGTGGGAGGGGTAAGAAGAGTGGGTGTGAACAAGTTGGTATTTTTATACAAATATGGGGATTAATTGGGGTTAAAGTTGGGGGTGGTTATTAAACTGATGTGCCAATAGGGTGAAACTGGGATGCTAATTGGTTGAAATTAGGGTGCTCATTTTATGAAATCGGGTGCTATAACAGCCAGACAAGGCAACTGGCTAGTGAAATGAAAAAAAAAGTGAAAATAGGTAGTAATGCTGCACCCATCCGATAAATGGGTGAAAATAATGAGCATATTGGAATTGAGCTGAAAAATTGTGAAAGTGGGATAAAATGGGTTTCTAAAAGGACTAAAAGTCCTCTGCATAGTATGAAATTTGTTGGTAATGTGGTAACAGATGAGAATAATTTAGAGAAAGGCAATAGTAAGGAGGCAAAATTGTTTGAGATTTGAGAAAGAGCGCAAGAATAAGGCGAGACACCCGGGAGACTGTACAGAGGGCAGCCACCACACACAGGATCACACGGAACATATTTTTTTGAGATATATACAAGAGTTGTTACATTCTTGTACAGCCACTAGTACGCGTAGCGTTTCGGGCTGGTCCCTGGAATACGATCCCCTGCCGCGAAGAATCGTTGTTACAACCAAGTACACATTTTACTGTTGAGTTAAACAGAGGCTACAGTTAAGGATTTGCGCCCAGTAAATCCTCCCTGGCCAGGATACGAATCCATGACAAAGCGCTCGCGGAACGCCAGGCGAGTGTCTTACCACTGCACCACCGAGACTGGTGAAACAATATATACAATACACACATCTCGGTCCTCCGCCACAGAGGCCGTACTGAGTAAACTTGTATAATTCCGCTCGCCCGGGGAACAGGAAGCCCGGTATTTAAACTTATCCAGACCCATTTTAGGCCAACTTCTGACCTTCACCCAGGATGCAACCCACAAGTTGTCTAATTCAATACGGTAAAGGTATAAAAACCTACACTACACACACACAGACACACTGACCGATAGAATATGACCGTGAAGGGTTACCAGTAAGTGTTGTTGTTGTTCTTGTTGTTGTGTTGATTTAGGGGCGACGACGATCGTGGGATCGGATGCGCCCCTTGTTGTTGTTGTAGCAGTAGTGTGCTGCGCCACCCCAAGGTAACCACGGGTTCCGCAACACTTACTGATAAACACACTCATTCTAATCATATTCAAATATATTTTGTTGTCATTGTTGTGTTTAATTTTTCTCACTTAACTAGTATCAAGAGCAAAGACGGAAATCTTCTCCTTTCAGTTCACAATGAAATTTGTCAGTGTGTTTATCTACACTACGACCCGGAATTATTCCCAGGCTCCAACGTTGATCAACGCTGGGTTAGGCCATCAATGATTCTAGCAGAAATCTTCTCTAGATTTCGTATTAACTTAGGAATTAGAAAATGTATCACTTAACATTTGATTTAACAATTCTATTTTGCCCGACGCTGAATTGTGTTTCGTTGAGAATGGCAACAATTCAACAGGTGAAATGAACTGTTACATAACCCATTAGGGCGGCGGCGCGCCCTACACGACCTCTCCCACCTCTTCACTCCTACAGTATTAATTTATTTCCGACAGAATCACAAAACGGAGGATGGAGTAGTGAGAGAGTTAATCAGGCGTGACCCCCTGTGACACTAACCACAACATGTAGCTAACTATATGTACCACTGAGTATAAAACAGGTAACTTGCTTTTGTAATCAGGTATCCTAATTCAGTAGGTAATTTGGTGGGCCAACTTCACTCCCCCCAACCCAGAAGGGGGTAACTGGGATTGGCAGTGGCACAGTGCAACTTGATAGTGTAAACTGAGAGGATTCCTGATGCCTCCCCCCCTTCCCCTCCCCCCCACTCTCTCCCCTCCCCCGACTCCCCATTTAGCGTCCCCATTCAGCGACATCTACCCCCCCCCCCTCAGGTAGAGTAAAAAAAAAAAAAAAGCAAATGATTTTCCGAGACGTTAAAATTAGAGTTGTATGTTTCGTGAAGCTTTTCCACATGAAGATATGACGGTGGGGGGGGGGGGGTGACTGGCGGTGGTGGGGGGGGGGGGGAGGGGGAGGTGACTGTGGCGGTAAATACACAACGTTAAGGAGGTTTGGTCTATTGGTGACCGACGGTAGAGAAATTTGTCTATTGGTGACCGACGGTGGGGAAATTTCACAGGTGTGACCGACGGTGGGGAAATTTCACAAGTGTGACCGACGGTGGGGAATAGTAACAGGGAAGTGGGACATACTTCGTATGCTGGTATACTAATATGCGTGTTTCCTATTGTTATTTATATGTTTTCAATGGAATTACCATAACATTTAATTTACAATTTCATGGATAGATTTTTAATCAAAAAAAACATTCAGGGCTCGATTAATACACATTTGCCAATTGACTTAAACGAGACAGTCATTTTTTAACAAGTTCAAAATTAAATTATTTACCACTGGTTAACAAAAATAATTTAGAAAGTATGAAATTTAGCATTGAGTAAAAAAGCTAGTAATTGCAAGTGTCTTAATTAGGTAAATGAAGTTTGGTGGTGGACGAAAACCTATCAAGAGTTTAGTGAGCAATCAGCAAGTGATAGACATTATATATATGGAGTGGGAGTGGTATCGGTACTATGTACTATATTCAAGCTTTTCACATATATATATGTATAAGTATAAAGTTTAATATTAGAAAAGATATTTAATATTATATAAGAAAACGGAGAGAGACCTGCACCTTGATTGGTAACGTAGTCTGCATTGTCAAGGATCAACAATTAATTAGACTCAACAATTAATTAGATTAATTAGTCTAACTCCGGAATTAGGCATTTTTTCTCATACAGTAAAGTATTCTCGAATTCGCTTCCTAACAGCCTTTCGTGACGGTCCGAGTGCCTCAGGGGTAACCAGAAGCCGGATAGCTGTAGCTACGGAGTGTCAGCTTGGGCTGCACCAGGGCCACAGAGGGCCACGGAGCCCACCACCGGGTAATTAACCTAATGCCAGGAGCCACATTACTGCCTCGACCCCATCACTATCACAACACTCTTGTAGCCATACTTATTACTCATCAACCACCACCACCCTCATCCACCAGCCTCACCCACCACCACCCTCACCCCCCCCCCACCACCCACGAGTCAGAAATAGATCAATTCAGATTGTGATAAAAATAGCAGACTCTAAAATACCCAGAGATTGTAGGAATGTGGGGGTGGTGGGGGAAGTGTGGGGGTGGTTGGGGAAGTGTGGGGGGTGGTGGGGAAGTGTGGGGGTGGTGGGGGGAGTGTGGGGGTGGTCTGAAACATCACACTCAGCCCCACAGCACTGTAACCCGCCTCTCAAACACCACATTCAGCCCCACAGCACTGTAACCCGCCTCTCAAACACCACATTCAGCCCCACAGCACTGTAACCCGCCTCTGAAACACCACACTCAGCCCCACAGCACTGTAACCCGCCTCTCAAACACCACATTCAGCCCCACAGCACTGTAACCCGCCTCTCAAACACCACACTCAGCCCCACAGCACTGTAACCCGCCTCTCAAACACCACACAGCCCCACAGCACTGTAACCCGCCTCTCAAACACCACACTCAGCCCCACAGCACTGTAACCCGCCTCTCAAACACCACACAGCCCCACAGCACTGTAACCCGCCTCTCAAACACCACACAGCCCCACAGCACTGTAACCCGCCTCTCAAACACCACACTCAGCCTCACAGCACTGTAACCCGCCTCTCAAACACCACACTCAGCCCCACCGCACTGTAACCGACGTCTTACCCGTCATCCGATGAGTCCGGAGAGTGTTCGTGTGCTGTGTACCGAGTTTCTTTCCTCCGGCTAGAGCTTGGACCACCAGGAGGCGGTGTGTTGAGCCGCCACGAGCGGTCAGGCTCCTCAGGTCTGGAGTATTCACTCGCTTTTTGAGAGCTCTTTTCAAAAGAAGTGCTAAATCTAGATGACACACTGTCTTTGACATGAGAACTGTCGGATTTTGAAGATAAACTGTCTTTTCTCCCATGAGAGCTTTCAAATTTTGAAGATAAACTGTCTTTTCTTCCATAAGAGCTTTCAAATTGTGAAGATAAACTGTCTTTTCTCCCATGAGAGCTTTCATATTGTGAAGATAAACTGTCTTTTCTTCCATGAGAGCTTTCATATTGTGAAGATAAACTCTCTTTTCTCCCATGAGAGCTTTCAAATTTTGAAGATAAACTGTCTTTTCTCCCGTGAGAGCTTTCAAATTGTGAAGACAAACTTTCTTTTCTTCCAAAGAAACCGTCAAATTTTGAAGACAAGCTGTCTTTCCTGCCGAGAGAGCTGTCTACCTTGGTAGAGTAGCTACTGTCAGACAGAACACTGTCACGCGCTGACTGGGAATGTATTGATGCTTTCGAGTGTTTGCTGAACAGCGAACTTTCCACATTAGAAACTGAACTTCTCTTAGACCTGTCAGAGAAAATGTCGGCGCCACCAGCCTTGGTGCGCGACCACTCCAGCGAAGTGCTCCCGGCTCTCCGAGACATCTTTCCGGAGGTTCGTAGTGTCGAGTTCGATGTTATTCCCTTCGGGGGGAGGAAACAGAAGAAGACGGGGAAAGATGGTTCCCCTCGGGGTCTTTCGATGCGACTGAGGGTTGTATGTGCGCGGTGATCTGGAAGGTTGGTGGGGGGGTTGTATGGGGGGGGGGTTGTAGGGGTGGGTGGTGGGGGTTATAGTGAGAAAAATGTTGAGTCAACTCCTCCTGGTCCACCTGTGAGTAATCAGCAAGGTGTGGTCATCTGTGTACACAAGAAGGCTCGGCCCCTGCCAAGATCAGCAGAAGACATGATAAGCGTTCTATATATATACCAGAATTATAACCCCCAACCCCGCGCCGCCCTCCTTGCCGTCGGTGATGGAGGGGTTGAGAGTGGAGGTGGGGGGGGGGGACGGAGAGGTTATCCAGGACAATACCTGAACATCCT